ACAAACAGCGGGTTGTCTTGTTGTTGTTGTTATAGCTGTAGTTATTGCACGTGTATTTTGCTTTCGCTGTCTCTGTTTCAGCATATGTGTGTGTGTATGCGTTAAAGCGCGCGTGTCTCATGCGTGTGTGTGTGTGTGTATGTATGTGTGTGTGCATGTATGTGTGTGTGTGGTGGAGTGTATTGAACTCTTGCTGCATTTTTTGCACAATATCTGTTTTTTTTTTATGTATATATTTTACGAATATATAAATATGCTCGACTTTTCTGTTTTCTGCTGCTGCTTTTGTTGTACATATATAAATATTTTTTTTGTTTCACTTGTTCTCTTCTGATTGTTGGTAATCTTCGCCGTCGCAGTTTATCGGACAATGAATGCAATCGATTAATTTACAAAGTGCGATGCTCCTCACACACACACACACACACAATATACATGTGTGTGTGTGTGTGCATACTAATTTATTATAATTAAAACTAAAATGAAGCATCAGCCTCAAATTCATTTGCATTTTTTGGCAGCTGACATTTTATGTGTGTGTTTGTGTGTGTGCACACCTCTTTGAGGCGGTCAACTGTGACGACTGGCCAAGGCAGCAACAACAACAACAGCAACAGCAACAACACTTAAGCAACATCTTTTACTTCCGTTTGAGTCGAGTGTTCAAGTTGAAGGTTTAAATTTCAGGCAAGAAGCTGGCTTAAAAGTGCACATTTTATGACCGATCACTTTTAAATGCACAAGCAGCAACAACAAGAACAATAAATTAGAAACACTTTTTAAGTTCCCAACGATTTAAGTTGCTCATAGAACTTAGCCATTTTTAACCATAATTTAAAAAAAGACACACACTTTTAGCACATTAATAGTTATGTATTTAATATATTGAAAATTATCTGCAAAATGTTTTACATGTATGTGTTTATTTCTTGTTCCAATGCAACATTTGAATCAAATTAAGGATTTAAGGCGGAAGCTGTCCATGGCCCCTGCCCATAACTAGCCACGCCCATGGTCCAAATTCAAAATGGTTTCTCAGTGAATACCAAAAACAAAAAATTCACATTTATATGTGAAGCATTTTGCCGCTAATTTTTCCAATATGAGATACATAATTGTTAATGTGTTAAATTTGATTTTCTTTTTCGAATTCGGTAGATAATGAAAAATAAATACATACATATGTATGTAGATACATAACAACAGCAAGTAGCCAATGGCAACGAGATTTACCCAAATCCGAAAATGCATATTCAACAGAGACACAACACAAGAGCAGCACGCACACACACACATACACATATACACATACACAAATGTACAGCAGAGTGAAGAGTGTATTTGAGAATGCTCCAAAAGGAGATGCCCTGTAAAAGTAACACATGCTACATACATGCATATTTACATCACACACACATAAATGCTAAGTGGAGAGAGAATTCTTTCAGCTCCTGGTGGCTGGGCAATAAACACATACATATGCACATACATGTGTGTATGTATGTATGCATGTATGTATGTGTGTATGTGTGCACATGCAAACTTGGCATATAGTGCGCTCTCGCTCTAACACGCACCGGCAACGCACGCAAGCGACATGCGTGCACACACACACACACACACACAGTAATCCTATTTGCGTCCAAAATAAAACGAAACGAAAGAAAAATCCAACAAAGAAGCGGCAAAGCTGCTGGTGCTGCTGCTGCTGCTTCTGCTTCCTTCGCGCCAAAGATTTTACGAGTAACGCGGCAAGCGACGACGATGTCGCGACGTCAGCGTCAGCGTCGCTGCTACTCTGCAGTTTTATCTAACCAATACCAGTGCAAGATACACAGCCAACCACCAACAACAGCAACAGCAACAACCAGCAGCCACAGCCAGCGCGCTGCTCTCACGAGCGCACAAACACAAGCACACACACAAACAAATACACTCGACAAAAGCACGCACACACTGAGCAGAGCCAGAGCCAGAGCAGAGCAGCGCCAGAGCAGCGCAGCGCAGCGCAGAAGCAGCCATTGCGTTCTCTCTCACTGCTGCCGTCTCGGGTTTTTTTTTTGTTTTTTTGTGTGTGTTCGCTCAGATGTCGATGTCGATGTCGCGTCAGCTGCTGCGTCGCTGCTTGGGCTCTGCTCTGCTCTGGTCTGGTGTGGTCTCTTTGCGCTGTGCGCTTTTATAAATATAACTTTATTGATGCGTTCAAATACAATTCAGAAGTCGAACCGAAAAGACGTCTTGAATTTGTTATTTTTCACTTCATTTTCTTTATTTTCTCGCATTCTTCATTTTCGGGGCAGCACGAGCGAGCAGAACGAGAGCAAAGCAGAGCAGAGAGCAGCTGAGCAGAGCAGAACGGGAGCAGAGCAGCGCTGAGAAAATTAGATAAACGTTGACTGACTGACTGACTGCCTGCCTGCCTGCCTTGCGCTGCGGCTGCGCTCAGAACTCGTGTGCGCGTCAACGTGAAAGCATCTGTGGCGCGCTGCGACAACATCGCCGAAACGGGATACTTGTAAAAAAAAAAAATAAAATAAGAAAAATATTAAAATAAAGACCACAGAAATCCCAAGTCTTAAAGAAATTCGATCAAAAAGAACGGTGCAAATTTGGATACTTAATTTATATTATTTTACATATTTTTTTTTCTATTTGCTACTACTCAAAAATTAAACCAAAGAAATGTGCTACAATATATAATTATTTAATTGTAATAATTGAGTGCAAGCAAAAACAACAACAACAAACAACAACAGCAACAAACACAAAGTTACCAAATCAAAACCAAGTGCGGAACCCAAGTGAAAAACTTAAACCAAATATTAACAAAAGTGGCCAACCAAAATTTCGAATGCCGCCGCTAAATTGTGCAAAAAACCAAAACAAAAACAAAAAAACAAAGGTAAAAATCATATTCATATTTTTTTTCATGTGTTGTTCAAGTGTCTTGTTAAATATACACATACATATAATATTATAGTATGGTATATCAATCTAAAATTATGAAATATATTCAGCTCGACTGCCTGCACCTGATTTATTGGATTAAAGACGAATGTTTCCTTCTTCTTTTTTTTTTGGCAAATTTCGATTCGCTCCTCTTTCACTCTTCTTAGAGGATTTGCCCCCGACTTCTAATTGAATTGACCTTGCGATCCCAATCGTGGTTCATGGTTCAAAAGCCTAACAAATTACAAAAAAAAAAGAAAAAACACAAATTCTGATTTTCAATCCCTCTTGAACTTTGAACTCTCAACAAACCCGTTCGGGTAAAGGGTTGAATCATCAGATCTCAGTTCTCTCTCAGTTCCCATTAAATGATAGCAATTAACCAACTTTTCAATTTGGAGCAAAACTAAATAGCTTATTGAAACTTTGAGAGAAAAAAATATTATTATCATTACTTTTAAATATAGATAAATTATATACAAATATATTCTAGATTTCTATATATTCTCTGTGATCAAAAATATCAGCTTAGGCATGTTTTGAGTTCAATTTGTGATTGCAACAATTTCAAAATTCATACTAAAAAGTCAATGTTTCGAAATCTCAGGTTGACTTTATATTTGTGACGAGTTTCAACATTTTTTCGTGTTTTTTTGTAATCGTTTAATTTCTGTTGAATCAAAAAAAAAAAAAAAACGATTAAATTTTTACCAAACTTCTTCAGGCTTTTAAGCAAAAACTATATTTCAATTTCAAGTAAATATATTTTTAATGCATATTATTCATTGAGAAACACCAGAAATAGTACAAAAAAAATACATTGTCAAATTACAAATCTTAAAAAATAAGCAGTTCGAATTATGTGCACAAAGATGATTGGGTTCTTAGCCAATGGCATCGATTGAGTGAAGTGGAGGTTGAGGCGGCTTTAGGGTGGAGCGGGGGGCGGAGGGAAGAGGGGTTAAGAGGCGTGTCTTTATCTCAAACATTTTTGCATGCGAACGAGAGACAGGCGAAAAATTGAAAGCAGCCAACCAAACTGAAAGACCAAAGCTCCAATAATATACAAACAGCAACAAGAACAACAACAAAAACAACTCACAAATACACACACACACTTATACACACGCACAGTGGTCGCCTGTTATCGCTGCAAAGTTTTCTTTTGAAATTGTCAAGTTGTTGTTGTTGTTGCTGTTGTTTGTATTTGGATCGCCATCGTTGCCAATTGGAAATCCTAAGCGCAACAACAACAACAACAAGCAGAGCAATTGCCAATTGATAACGGTGAATGTTAATGAGCAATGTGCGCCTAGCGAATGGAAATGCAACAAATACGAAACCACACACACACACATACGCACACACACACATACACAGGCAGACTGGCAGACCGATAACAAATCGATACAAAGAGAGAGCGTGCTCTCTCTCAGCAATTTGACACACACGCTCTCTCTCTCTCTCTCTCCCTCCCTCTCTTTGTCTCTCTGTGCACTCTTTGTGCTCTTATTGGAATTTCTGTTGCAATGCAAACGCTTGACTTGGTTTCCAATTAATGATTGAAAAACAGAAACCGTTAGAACAACAACGGTTCGATCAATCGATCAGCTGTTTCACAGATTCCTCGAGCAGTGTTTTTTTTTCTTTCTTAGAAACTGCTGCGAGTAAACAAATGCGGATGTGATTTGAACTTGAATTTGAGTTGGAGTTGCAGTTGCAGTTTCCTTCTACGAATTTCGAATTTAATATCGCATATTTATCCTCGCTTTACCAACTCTGAAAACAATCCGAAACAATTTGTTTTAGCTATAAATATTAAAAACCAAAACATAAAAAAACATCAGCGATCAGCTGCAAAGAACAGACTTTAAAGCATACATTTCTTTGCTCTACACTGCTCAAAATCAGCAGTTAGTTTGAGTAGTTAATTATTATTAATTTGTTGTTTATAATTATTTGAGAATGTTTTCTTAAATTGATTTAAGCTTGACTCGTTGTCAATCAGTTAAATGTTAATCGTCATTATGTTAATAACATTCTTGTTGCAGCTAACAGCAGCCGTTAACGATCTCAGTGCGCCAACTTTAACAACGACAGCAGAAACATGCTCGCCACACAGCAGCAGCAGCAACAGCAGCAGCAACAACAACAACAGCAACAATCGCACACAGCATCAGCAACTGCAGCAGCAGCAACACATGAGGATGCTCGGGATTTGGGTTTAATGGAGACACGACAACGTCGCGATTCGAGCACCTCAGAATCCTCGCTGGAGCATTTGGATTTGGGTCGCACGCCCAAAAAGTTGAGCAGCAGCAGCGGCGCACCGCAGCCGACGTCGACGCCGCACGACACAGCAGTGACAGCGACGTCGCGCAAGCGTAAACTGCGACAGCAACACCACCAGCAGCAACAGTTGCCACTCTCCGATGAGGAGCAACAGCAGCAACAGCAACAGCAGCAGCAGCTGTTGGATTCATCAGCGCAGCGACCGCGTCACAAGCAGCGACGCAGCGCCGTTGCTGCCGCTGCCAGCGCCAGCATCGTTGTCGACTACAGCGCCAGCGGCGACGCCAGCTCGCTGCGCAAAAAGTTTCGGCTAAATCGCAGCAGCGCCAGCAGCAATGCCGCCAACGGTGATTTATCCGAATCGGGCTTCGTTGATGGCAGCGCCCTCAGTGGCTATCTGCTTGGCAGCAACAACAACAACAACAATAATAATAATAACAACAACAACAATATCAGTAATAGTAGCAGCAGCAGCGCAGTCGCTCAGTCAGCATCAGCAGCAGCGTCGGCAGCGCAGCATGCGCCAAGCGTTAGCAGCTCGGGCGGCTCCTCGCCACAGGGCCTCTCGAGCGCCGAGTCGGGCATCGGTGCCGGTGATGAGCACATGAAATATCTGTGCCCCATTTGCGAGGTCGTCTCGGCCACACCCCACGAATTCACCAATCACATTCGCTGCCACAACTACGCCAACGGCGACACCGAGAACTTCACCTGCCGCATCTGCTCCAAGGTAAGCCACCACACCATATAAAATCAAATATATACAAAAAAAATTAAGTTCATTTGATACCCTGTAATTGGTAGAGGAGTCTAATGAAGCTGTGCAAATCGATTTCGGTTCTGTTTATTAGTCTGCCTGCATAAATACGCCGATCTGCTCGGCGACTATGTTAGTTAGCTAATTTTCGTATACCACTCACAGATCAAGTTTATGTCATGCTATCGATAGTTATCGATAAGAATTTAATTTAATATTTTCATTTTTTGTATATACTCACACGATCTAGAATAAGTAAAGAAAAGTCGTTGAGAAAATACCATATTTTCTGAAATAGATCAGTTGATAAATAAAACATAATTACAGGGTATTTGGCTAGTCGACACTTATCGTAGTGTACTAGAGGTGGGTAACAGGGTATTTGTATAGACGACTGCTAACAAAATGACGAGCTAGTAAACGAAGCAATTAAGAATGTTGTGGTCGAGTGAGCTCGACTACGATATTCCCTGTACAAAGCAGTTAAAACTTTGCCTTACTTTTCGACTATAACTTGAATGTTTCTTATCCGATATTGATGAAATTTGTCCAGTTGATCAATAATATGCTTCTGAACATTAATTATTAATAAGAAGCCTCTGACATTTATCGATAGTTATCGATAATATTAAGCAAACTTCTTTTGCCTATGGTGTACGAGAACTTATATTAAAAATTTGATGACTGTAGCTCTTATAGCCTCTGAGATCCCGTTTAAGAATATACATATACTTGATGGGATCGGAGATGCTTCGTTCTGCTGGTTGTCACATACCTAGGCACAAGACCAGTATACCCTTTTTACATGTATTTTAAGTATAGTATTTAGTTGTTGTTAGTACTTGAACACTTTACATTATTCTAAACTCTTTTTTCCTTCTTTACACTCTTTTCTCTTCGTCTCCCATTGTCCCTCCCCCTCCGACACCTCCTCTCCCTTTTCCTACCCCAATTGTAGGTACTGTCGTCGGCATCCTCGCTGGACCGGCATGTCCTGGTGCACACTGGAGAGCGTCCGTTCAACTGTCGCTATTGCCACTTGAACTTCACAACCAATGGGAACATGCACCGACACATGCGCACCCACAAGCAACATCAGGCGTCACAGCAGCAGCAGCAACAGCAGCAGCAGCACTCGCAACAGCAGCAGTCCACACAACAGCAGCAACAGGCACAGTCGCAGCAACAACAGCAGCGACGCCAGCAACATGCAGGTGGAACAGGAGCAGCTGGTTCGGTATCGGGATCAGCACAGTTGTTGACGACGCGAGCGGAGAGCTATGAGAGTGATGCCAGCTGCTCGACGGATGTGTCCAGTGAGCTGAACAGTCACAGCAGCAACAGCAATCAGTCCAACCACAACAACAACAACAATAGCCACAAAACGAACAACAATAATAATAACAACAACAACAACAACAACAATGAGGATGAGCTCGAGCTGGAGGATGAGCAGCTAGTGCTGAGCAGCAAACAGCGACGCCACAAGGCAGCCCTAAACAACAACAATATAATTAGGGATGAGGAGCACGAGAATCGGCCGGATGATGATTCGGATGTGGATAGCGCTGATAGCGTTGCCCAGGTGATAACAAGCACACCGGATGTGGCCACGCTACTCGCCTCGGGCGGCACCTCGCCCACCCACTCGAATTCGGAATCGCATTCACCGCCGCTGCTGCTGCAGAGCTGCCCGGCCTGCAATTCGGGTGAATTTGAATCTGTGCCAGCGTTGTGCGCCCATCTGGATGCCGAGCATGCGGACATACCGGCCAAGTGTCGCGAGTGTGAGGTGATCTTTGCCACACATCGACAGCTACAGGCGCACAGCTGTCGAGGACTGCCGCCGCTGCTTGGTGTGAGCTCATCGCCACTGCACAAGCAGGAGGAGAGCGAACTGGAGGAGCAGCACCAGCAACAGCAGCAGCACGAGGAGGACCACGAGCAGCAGCAGCACAAGCAGGAGGAACAGGAGCAGGCTGAACAGCGCGAATGCGAAGATTTCTTCCAGCAGCTGTATCTGAAGAATAAATCGTCAGCAACGCTGCTTCCCTCACCGATCAAACATGAGCCGGCGGATCAGCGACAGGATCTGGCCGATATTCAAAGCATACTCAACATGACCAGTTCCAGCTGCACCTCGAGTTTCCTGCGCAATTTCGAGCAGTCGGTGAACACGCCCTGCTCCAGCCAATATAGCGTCGATGGACGCGATGGCGAGGAGGAGGCCCAGGATGCCTTCACCAATGAATTTCGTCGCATGAAACTGCGCGGTGAATTCCCCTGCAAGCTGTGCACCGCCGTCTTTCCCAATCTGCGGGCACTCAAGGGCCACAATCGCTACCATCTGTCGGAGGTGGGCGCCGCCGGTCCATTCCGTTGCAACATGTGTCCCTATGCCGTCTGCGACAAGGCGGCGCTCGTGCGGCACATGCGCACCCACAACGGTGATCGGCCCTACGAGTGCGCCGTCTGCAATTATGCGTTCACCACCAAGGCGAACTGTGAGCGACATTTGCGCAATCGACATGGCAAGACCAGTCGCGAGGATGTGAAACGTGCGATTGTCTATCATCCGGCCGAGGATGCCAGCTGCGAGGAGAACAAATCGCGGACCGAGGCCGATATCCTGACGGAGTTGAGCGGCTATCGTTGTGCAACACCCACGGAGCACAGCTCCTCGGCTAGCTCCTCGTCACAGCTGAAGCACATGTTGCTGGCGGAGCCGACGCCGTCCGTAAAGGTAGCTGCAACAACAGCTGCAGCTGCAGCAGCAGCAACAACAACAACATCGCTGCCACAACAACCGCTCAAGATTCAGGTGAAGAGCTTGGATCAGCTGGTGGATAAGCCACTGCCAGCACTCGATCTCAGCATGGATGCGCTCGACCTGAGCAAGAAGCCCGCCCAGCTGCTGGCCGAGCAACGGGAGCAAAGGGAGCAGCTCGAAAGACACGAATTGCTGCTGCAGCAGCAGCAACAGCAGCAGCAACAACAACAGCAGCAACAGCAGCAGCAGCAGCAACAATTGTTTGGGGCTGGCGATGCAGCTGCTCAGTATATGCAACAGTTGTTGCGCAGCTTCATGCTCCAGCAATCACCTGGTTTTCCTTTCTTTGGTTTTATGGCGCCACCGCCACCAACAACGGCAGCGGCAGTAGCAGCAGCAGCAGCAACAGCAGCAGACAAGTCAATGACAACAAATACAACAGCAGCAGCAGCCGGCGCAACAGCAGCAACAATTGCTGCAATGCCACTGTCGCTGCCAGTGCCACTGCCCGCTGGTGGTCCCGTCAAGATGGTCATCAAGAATGGCGTCCTGATGCCAAAGCAGAAGCAGCGCCGCTATCGCACCGAGCGTCCATTTGCCTGCGAGCATTGCTCGGCCCGCTTCACCCTGCGCTCCAACATGGAGCGGCACGTGAAGCAGCAGCATCCACAGTTCTATGCGCAGCGCCAGCGACACCGCAGCGGTCATCATGTGATGCGTGAACGGGCTGCATCCTCGAGTGCTGCCCAAGCGGCAGCCGCTGCTCAGGCAGCAGCAGCAGCCGCCGCCGCCGCAGCAATGAGTAATCTCAGCCAGCAGCAACAGTTGCAGCAGCAACAGCAACAGTTGCAGCATTCGCATTCACATCACGTCCATGCGCCAATCTCGGAGCAGGTGAAATATGCAATATTGGCGCAGCAATTGAAGGCGCGCAAGGATACCGATTTGTTGCAACAGGCACTGGCACATGGCTCCAGCAGTGTTGTCGCCAATCCGCTGTTGCATTTTAGCTACAACAACAACAATGGCAACGGCAACGGCAACAGCATCAGCAGCAGCAAGCAGCAGCAACAACAGTTGTGCAACAACACTGGCAACTCTTTGGTGCTGGACGACGATGAGCCGCCCAAGCTGATCATTGACGAGGATGACGAGGATGTGGATGGCGAGGACGATGAGGATGAGGAGGAGGAGCAGGAATTTGATGTTGATGAGGAGGAGCAGGAGGATGAAGAGATGGACTTGGACGATGAGCATCAGCAGCAGCCGCACGAGGAGGATGACGATGATGATATTGATGATGATGATGCAGCAGCAGCAGCAGCAGCTGCTGCAGCAGAGGCGTCGCAGCAACAATTGCAGCCAACCAAGGACAAGCTGCAATCCAAGCCAATTGAGGCGGCCAAAAAGGTAGCGGAAACCATATTGGAGCAGGCAATCAAAGAGCGCGAGGAGAAAGCCGCCGAAAAGCAGCCGCATCCTCAATCGGAGTCAATTGGCGGCAATAAGCCGGCGACGCCAACCACAATGAAAACGATGATTGCACAAGCTGAATCGGTGGCCAAGTCCTTGAAGGAGGTGGCCAGTTCACCGTTCAAGGATGAATCTCAGGATCTGGTGCCGGTCGCCAAACTGGTGGACAATGCGACCAGCAATCAGGTGTCGTTCAACAGCTATTTCCGTCCCAGCGACGTCGCCAATCACATGGAGCAGAGCGACGAGGAGGGTCTCGTTGCCAGCGGCAGCGCCAGCGAGAGCAACAATTCCGGCACCGAGGATGTGACCAGCAGCAGCAGCAGCTGCGGCAATGACACCAAAAAGAAATCCGCCTACAGCCTGGCACCGAACCGTGTCAGCTGCCCGTATTGCCAGCGCATGTTCCCCTGGAGCAGCTCGCTGCGTCGCCACATCCTGACGCACACCGGCCAGAAGCCGTTCAAGTGCTCCCACTGCCCGCTGCTGTTTACCACGAAGAGCAACTGCGATCGCCATCTGTTGCGCAAGCATGGCAACGTTGAGTCCGCCATGTCCGTCTATGTGCCCACCGAGGATGTCAGCGAACCGATACCCGTGCCCAAGTCCGTCGAGGAGATTGAGCTCGAGGAGCAGCGACGTCGCCAGGCGGCCGAAGCCGAACAGGCCGAGCGTGAGCAGCGCGAGCGCCAAAAGGAGCGCGAACGTGAACTGGAATTGGAACGGGAACGTGAGCGGGAACACCAACAGTTGATACAACAGTTGCGCCAACAAATGGCTGCTGCTGCAGCGGCTGCTGTCGCTGTGGCCGCCGTTGCTGCACCAGCGCATCCACCACCGCCAGACCAATCGCCACCAGGCCTGGAGGCGAGCAGTGATCTGCCCTACAAATGCCATCTGTGTGAGTTCTCATTCGGCGAGCGGCTGCAGTGCCTCGAGCACATCAAGCAGCTGCACGCCCACGAGTTCGCCCTGCTGCTGGCCAAGGGAGCCATCGAAACGGATGCCCAGCTGCAGCACCAACAGCAGCAGCAGCAGCAGCAACAGTTGCCAGCGACTGGTGGCGCTCCGCATTCGGATGATGAGGCGGCTGCTGTCGGCACCAGATCGGGCAAATATCCCGACTATAGCAATCGTAAAGTGATTTGCGCATTTTGCGTGCGTCGCTTCTGGTCAACGGAGGATCTGCGGCGCCACATGCGCACCCACTCCGGTGAGCGGCCATTCCAGTGCGAGATCTGCTTGAGGAAGTTCACATTGAAGCACAGCATGCTGCGACACATGAAGAAGCACAGTGGACGCAGTCACAATGGTGGCGAGCTCGATCATCAATCCGATTGCTCCGAAGATGAGCAACTGTTGCCCTGCTCCCCACCCTCAACGCCAACGCCCACTAACAACAACAACAACAACAACAACAACACTTGCCAGAACAACAACAATAATAACAACAATAACAACAACAATAGCAATAGCAAGCAGGTGCTGCGCGAGCTGCTGGGCAAGGCGAACGAGTGGCGAGTGAGTCGCCTGGGTGAGCACAAGGAGAACATTGCCGAGGCAACAACAACACCCTCAGCAGCAACAGCAGCAGCGGCAGCAACAGCTGCAGCCGCAGCAGCAGCAGCAGCAGCAGCTGCTGTAGCCAGTGGCGATCTAATTGGTAATCTGTTGGGGATCAGTGATCAGGGCATACTAAACAAGCTGCTCTCCTCACCAGACGAAGCTGCCAAGCTGCTAGGCGTGGAGAAGTAAACTCAGCAAGATAGCGAGAGAGAAACAGAGAGAGCGAGAGAGAGAGAGAGAGATAGATGGAGAGAGCTAGTCAAGTATATATATATATATATATATATATATCACAACCAAGGATGCCAGATTTGTAAAACGGATTAGCCAATGGGTCAACTCAGTGTGGGGTCAAAACACAGCTCAGTAGTCGTAGTCAGTAGTCGAAAGTTAAGTTAATGGATAACAAATACCGATACAGTTTAAATTCACCCCAAATGCAGCAAAAGTAACGGGAGATAACACATTCTATATCCGTAAGACTTTTGCCGATTTTTTCATTTCACTGAAAAACACTGAAAAAGAAATTCATCTCAAAATTCGTACTTCAATTTAGTTCAATTGTGTAACATTTGAAAATCGATCTCTTCAATCCGTCAGATGTTCAATATACACTGTGAAAATCTTCTATACTTTTGCGGGGGCTAAACAAAAATTAAAAAAAAACACAACTAAAATAAAATAAAGCTTAAGACAAAACCAACTTTATGGGAATTTATCCCGAACTTAAACGTAAATCAATTTAATCCTCTACCAAAACCCAAAATGAAATTCCATAACAGAGGCCGTTCCACAAAACGTTAACGACTTTTGTCCGGAACGGCATTTTGTTGATGAGAATTTTGAACTGTATGCGAGCTATCATGTATGTATGTACCGTTATATACTACATGCAGTTATATATATTTATATATATATATATATATATATACGCTCGCCTTACAAATACCAAAGCTTAAATAGTGTTTTTTTCTTCATCAATCTAGTTACTGTAAACTCAAGTTTAATATTACATAATGCAATTTTTTTTCTTTTATATATATATATTTTTTTTTGATTAGTGTACTTAAGAACCATTTTTTTTTTTTGTGTATGTGTAATTTGAGTAACGGTACAACCGAAAATGTAACGAAACGAAACACATTTGAAACTGATGCAAAAACTGAAATCGTGTTCCAAATTCGCTAATCGCAAAAATTGCGAAAATCGAATTGGAATGCAAAACAAAAAATATAATCAAAATTGGCAAACAAAACAGAAAAGAAAAAAAAATACAAAAAACAAAGCAAAAATAACAAAAACTTAACTTTAAGTTGTTCCGTATTTTTTTTTGTAGAGTTTTTTTTTTTTTTTGAGAATTAGAATTAAAACAACAACGAACACAATTAAATAAAGTTAACAAAAACAAACAAAATCCATGACTTGTAGAAAAGAAACCTGTACAAGAAATGTTTGCCTTCGTAGTGCTCTTCTACTTATATTATTATTATTTTTATTATTATTATACTATATACATATTAATATATATACATTTAATATGATTATTGTACATTGAATGAGGCCTTGAACCGCAGCGTGGCTTAAATCTAATGATTAATGAATTAATTATATCAAATGCATCGAGCATCCCATATTAGCTTAAGTGACTTTTTTTTATATAAACAATACCATATACATATATACCATATATACATAAATTTTACTATTATTATTATGATTACTATAGAAACTCACTGGAAAAGCGAAAATTCATTGCTGTAGCTTAGAAACAAAAATTAAAACATTGTAAACCTAAATTTAAGTTGAACAACTTTAATGCATATATACATAATACATATACATAAATACATACATTTATATACATACATACATACATACATACACACACACACACACATACATACACATACACCTACATATATATAGAGCAAATCATATACATACATATATAAAAAGTAGTCGGAACATTTTACAGCAATAACCAAAGCATTTCACCAATTACGAGTTTTTATCTACTTTACTTGGAAAGCGAAAGAGAAACAAACAAAATTATTGAACAAATTAAATTATGTACTTAGCGTTTATGTACTTAATAATATTAATTAATTAATTAATTACGACAAACAATTGATATGGCAATGCAAATATAAATAAAACAGTTGCGATCAAAAATATTTGACAAACGACTTTTCTTTAATTTTTTCTTATTTCTAATTTTTTCTTATTTGCTATTGAGTCTGGTTTGAATTTAAGATATCTTGGTAGACCAGAAAATTGTATTCTTTCCAGGAATCATCTTTCGATCGATAGTTATATGTTATGGTGGTATGAGATACGTCCACTTCTGAAAATGTGTTTTTCTGAATGAAGGTGAATATTGCATTTTTTCCATTAATATATATTTAATATCACAATAATAATATATAATAATAATAGATATATAATTGATTGCCATCAGGCACTGCTCTTTTAATCATATAACTATTTGCGAGCTTTCTTGCTGGTACATTATAGAAATTTCATTATATATTTATCTAAGAATGTTTTTACTCAATGTAAACAGTTCTAATTTTTTTGGACGGCACTGTATGTGTACAGTACTCTATGCACTGACCGTTACAGTTATGAGCAAGTAATTATTATATTAGCCCAAAAGTATGCTTTGCGTTTTTTAATGCAGCCCAAAAGTTACCTAACATTTTTTGCTTATTTATTTTTAGCTCTGCCTGTTGAACATACAACATACATACATATTGTATGTAATTGAAAATCTCTTTTTATGTTTTCATAACGTAAAGTTTGCGCAATATGTCAGTAAGTATGTGTAAGTATGTATTTAAGTGTAATACAAATTTAAAAAGATCTTGTCGATTTTTATTATTGTCAAAAATATGTATATAAATACACATATACATATTTCTGATAAAAACAAACATTTATAAATTGTACACGCGCCGGCTATCAAAGCCAGAAATACACAAGGGCGTACGCGAGAAATTGTATCGCCAAGGGGGGACCGGAATTGTATTTGATTTTTGTTTTATTTTTGTCTCAGACATCCTAATTCAAAGTTTTTATGGTTTCTTAGGGTTTTTGCATAACTCATCTTAAGTTGGGCACTGCACTCGCTATGCTATGAAGAGGTTTTAAGTGTTCGCCCCCACCACGTACGCCCATGTGCGCACTGACGTTCAAATACTCATTAAATACATACATACACACACACAAATGCACGCAGAAAAGCAAACGTCGCAAAAAATATACGCACACCAAGCCATTCAACAACAACAGCAACACACACACACACACACACACACACACACTCAAACGAGCCTCCAACGAATTAGAGTAATACGAAAAACAACAACAACAGCTGCTGCTTCAAGTTCTAGGCTGCGGCACACGCATACATTTACACATTGCTTGCTCGTGTGTTTGAGCAAGTCTATCTATTAACGTCGTGCGGCCCCCGTTGCCTCGTCGTACATCAACAATCACACCATCCATCCATGCACACGCTGGCCAACAACTTGACACAGCCTCAGCTGCTTGCTTTCAGTTCTAGTGAAACCACCGGTTTGGCCAGCCGCATTTGGAATCAGCAGCAGCAGCAGCAACAGCACGCGCTCCCCGCCCGATTGTACATTAACCATAATCTTTTATTCCTGACCTGTTCAAGATGTCCTTTGTTCGTCTAATTGGTGCCGAGGTAAGTTAATTGTAATTACTCAATTGTCGACAACATAGTTGCATTGAAGTGTGCCATGCTGGAAAGCTTACAATGTACATTAAAGTGCATTGCCATATGTAAATGCGCTTGTGTGTGTGTATGTGTGTTTACATATGTGCATGCAATTTGCAACTGCTTAATGCATATTCCGATTTATTTGCGTGTGTGTGTATGCATAAATTGGTCAATTAAACGGTACAACGTATAAAAGAATGGGCAATTGATAGAGAACACATGTTACGTAATTTTTGGTTGGCTGCGGTTCAGATAACAGACAACTGGCCACACATCCATACTAGACAGCAGATACACGCACGCACGCACACATGCTCATAAGAGCGTATGGTTGATGTGTATTTAATATGCATGAAAATCAATTGGATTTTAATTAGGCGCCAAGCCATTCAAATGCGCCAATCCAATCATAGGCGGCTGCTGCTGCCATCCACTGATAAGTGTGGGCGTGGCACACATGTGTGTGTGTATGTGTGTGTGCATATTATCATGTTGCCAGGCAATTTCCACCTGTTGACAGACCAAGTAGTAAAACACTTGAATTGCGAACCATATATAAACATATATATGTAGATAAGTGTAGATGTGTACAGTCAAAGCTGTTGTCTTTTTGCATAAATTACTCAATATGCATGCGCCTTGCCTGCTGCAGTATTTTACTATCGATATATCGATAAAATACCCTCATTGATAAAGGCAAAGATGCCGCTGATAGTGTAGATCCTTTTGAGACGTTACTCACATATCGATATATCGATATATTAAGAAAATGCACTGATCGTATTATTATTATTTGTAGGCACGACTGATCGCGAGGCGCAGTTACAGTTCGGCAGCTCCAACGACGAATCTGTTCATCGATGGCAAATTCGTGGAATCGAAGACAAAGGAGTGGATCGATGTGCACGATCCGGCCACGAATCGGGTGGTGACACGTGTACCCAAGGCCACCCAGGAGGAGATGAAGACCGCCCTCGAGTCCAACAAGAAGGCCTTCAAATCTTGGAGCAATCAGTCGGTGCTCTCCCGCCAACAGGTCATGTTCAAGCTGCAGGCCCTCATCAAGGCCAACATGGGCAATCTGGCCAAATGCATTACGCTGGAGCAGGGCAAAACATTGGCCGATGCCGAGGGCGATGTACTCCGCGGATTGCAGGTGGTCGAGCACTGCTGCAGCATTCCCTCGCTGCAGATGGGCGAAACTGTGGCGAATGTTGCTCGTGATATGGACACGTATTCGCTGGTGATGCCATTGGGTGTCACCGCCGGCATTGCACCGTTCAATTTCCCAGCGATGATACCGCTGTGGATGTTCCCAGTGGCGATAACCACCGGCAACACAATGCTGCTTAAGCCATCGGAACGTGTGCCCGGCGTCACCATGATGCTGATGGAGCTGCTCAACGAGGCCGGCTGCCCGCCGGGCGTTGTCAATGTCATCCATGGCCAGCACGATGCCGTCAATTTCATTTGCGATGCGCCCGAAATTAAAGCCGTTTCCTTTGTCGGCTCCGATACGGCCGGCAAGTATATTTACGAGCGTGCCGGCAAGAATGGCAAGCGTGTCCAGAGCAATATGGGCGCCAAGAATCATGGCATCATCCTCAGCGATGCCAACAAGGAGAACACATTGAATCAGCTCGCTGGTGCCGCCTTTGGCGCCGCCGGACAGCGCTGCATGGCTCTGTCGACGGCCGTCTTTGTGGGTGAAGCCCAAAAGTGGATACCCGATCTGGTTGAACGTGCCCAGAAGCTGAAGGTGAATGCCGGCCATGTGCCCGGCACCGATGTGGGACCAGTTATCAGTGCCGCTTCCCGTAAGCGCATCAACGAACTGATCGAGTCGGGTGTGAAGGAGGGCGCCAAACTGATTCTGGATGGACGCAAGATCACTGTGCCCGGTTTTGAGGATGGCTATTTTGTGGGTCCAACCATATTGAGCGATGTCAAGACGAACATGAAATGCTACACCGAGGAGATCTTTGGCCCGGTGCTTGTCATTCTGAATGCGGATACTCTGGACGAGGCCATCTCGCTTGTGAATGCCAATCCTTATGGCAATGGCACTGCAATTTTCACCACTAACGGTGCCGCTGCTCGCAAGTTTGTCAATGAGATCGATGCCGGCCAGGTGGGCGTCAATGTGCCCATACCGGTGCCATTGCCAATGTTCTCGTTCACCGGCACTCGCGGCTCCTTCCGCGGTGACCATCACTTCTATGGCAAGCAGGGCATCAAGTTCTACACACAGACCAAGACCATCACCCAGCTCTGGCGCGAAACTGATGTCACCCACACCCAGGCAGCTGTCGCCATGCCCACAATGAAGTAAACCCACAAACATATCTATCCTGCGAGAAGGAGTAAAAGAAATTGCTGCATTTATTTTCTGTGCCTGTTAACTAGAATTAAGCTAAACGTTAAACTGAAAACAAAACAAAACACAACAAAAAAAAAGAGTTTATGAAACCCAAAAGCAATCGTAATAAATTGTTAAGAAAACAAACAGAGAACATTTCGTTGTCTAGCAAGGAATTGGGCTTTTCCCAATCCGTTTATTTGAAAGTTGTCAAGGACTCAATGATTACTCAATGATTTTCAAAAATTATGAATGTGAAAAATGTGAAAATTTTAAACATTTCATAAAAACAAGCGATTTTGAATTAATCTGAATCTCTGACCATTGACGATCCATTCACCAATAAGAACTGTTTGTACTTATCTTCTATCGGGGATTGTTAAATAACATAATCTGTTATGTCTATGCCTATGCAAATAATTGAACACTAAATTACACTGCGAATGCCTGCTTGGAAACCAGTTCTCTGAATTTGCCATCTGGTATTTGCATAAGCTCATCGTAGGTGCCCGCCTCAACAATGGCTCCGTGCTGGAGGACGGCTATTTTGTGCGCCTTGTGTATGGTGCTCAGGCGATGGGCAATGGTCATCACTGTGCGACCCTTGATCAGTCGATCGAGTGCCGTCTGCACAAGTTGCTCCGACACCGAATCCAACGCACTTGTCGCCTCATCCAATACGAGTACGGTGGGATTCTGTTTGAGGATTACAATTACAAATAATGCATAAACAATATAATAATAATAATATATATCAACTGTTAACTATTTAGCTACCTTAATTAGGGCTCGAGCAATGGCGACACGCTGCTTTTGGCCACCACTGAGGAGGATGCCGCGTTGGCCAACAATCGTTTCCAGGCCAAACGGTAGATTTTTGATAAACTCGAGCACGTTCGAGTCGCGGACGACACGCTGCAGCCGATTCTCGTCGGGCGGGTCGTCCGGATTCAGGCCGTATAGTATGTTGGATCGTATGGAGCCGGAGAAGAGCACCGGATCCTGGGGAACGGCGGCAACATGGTGACGCAACCAAAGCGGATTTATTGTACTCAAGTCAGTGCCATCCAGATAAACTTTGCCCTGCAACGGATCATAGAGACGCAACAGGAGCAATGCCATTGTCGATTTGCCGGAACCGGATCGACCAACAATAGCCGTCGTCTGATGGGGCTGCAGTGTCAGCGAGAATTTCGATAGCACATTTATATCGGGACGCGACGGATAGCTAAAGTCAACATTATCGAAACGCATCTCGCCAACAGGTTTGGCCTTCGGCGAAATGCCCGTGTTGATCGGTATTGCATATTTGCGATCGATTATCTCCCAAATGCGCGTTGATGCTCCAATGCCCTTGTTCAGATGACTATAGAAATTGGATACACCATTCATTGCAACACCCACATAACCGGCGTACATCATGAACGCTGTCATAGCGCCAATGGTGAGCTGATTGTCCAGCACCAGAGTGCCGCCATAATAAAGAACCGATATCATCACAAAGTTACCAGAGAAACCAGTCTGTGGGAGCGACCGAAACAGATATAGAGATGGAGAGACAGAGAGAGCGAGAGAGAGAGAGAGAGAGGAGTCATCTTGGGAATTAAGTTTGAATTCGACTTCGACTCACCATGCCAAAAAATATGGATTTGGCTTTTGCCTCCTTATAGCCAATTAATTTGGCTGCATCCAGTTTTTTATCATACTGGTCAAACTCCTTCAGCTCGTGACAGAAGGATTTCACAGTGCGCACATTGCCGAATCGCTCCTCGGCATGCTTCATTAAATCAGCATATTCATCCAGCTCCAGTTTGGTTATGCGACGCACATACCGTCCATAGACAATGGCCATACCACCGAGAGCAGGCACAACCAGTGCACTGACCAGCGCCAGCTCCGGCGATGTTACCGCCTATAAATGGCAATTAATGGATCCGTACAAACGAGCGTATAAGAAAAATACAATAAAAAAAACTCACCATCATGACGGAACCAACACCGATCATGGCAGTTGAACGTAAACCATCGGAGAGATTATAACTGAGCGCAGTGCCCACCACATAGGTATCGTTGCTCAGACGATTGACGAGCTCGCCAGTGCCGCGAGTATCGAACCATCCGACCTCCTGTGACAATATCGCTCTATAGAGCTTGGAGCGCAGACGACGCACTATGCGCAGAGCTATTTAGCATGAAATATTTGGTATTACACACTGAAATCTTGGCGTATTGCAAATGGAGAATCGGACTTACATGCCGCACCAAACAGATAGACGCGAGCCAAATTTGCCAGGCCGCCGATAAGGAATAGGCCGAGCAATTGTAGGGAATAGCCGCGTAAGTTCTCCAATGCTTTCGCTTCCAGGCCCTTCTTATTGAAGACAACATCGACAACACGTCCCAGAAAGAATGGCACACTCATCGTGATCGCCGAGGAGACAACCAAACAGATGAAGCCGACTGAAAATGCCGAGAGCGAGATACAAAATGTAAAACAATCGATCCAATGGCAGACGATGGCATTTACCTACTTAATAGAGTCCCTATCTCGTCTGTGGTCAGTGTGAGCAGACGCTTGTACTCAGACTTGAATGACTTGAAGAAGTTACCCACCTCCTCCCCCGGTTTGTGGCCAGTGCGAAAACCGCGCCTAAAGTTGAGCAGATAGGTTACCCATTTGGTACTGCCACCAGTTGAACGGGCAACAGCTGGCGCCGGCGGTGTTCGGATCTTGCACAGTTGATTGAATGGTCGCCGCAGCAGCAGCAACGGATTACGCTGGACCGTTCGAGTTATTTGACAAATCTGCAGCGCTGTTCTCACATGCTTCACTCGTGTGCAGTTCAGCAGCATTGTCAACTATTTTTACAAATCTTTGCAAATTTTAAGCAAGTCAATTCATTTAATTAAATACACAAAAAATTTAAATAACAATTTAAATCGGCAAAGCGGCTAAAAAAAAAAATAAAATGAAAAGTTCGCTACTATAAATTCTGTCCACTTTGCCTGCCGGTCCAAAAAACAATTTAAGCAGCTGTTTATTTACATTTTTCATATTCATTAGAAGATTGCTGTCATGTCTTTTTCACTCAAAAGTGACGTCAAGGCAAACTACGATTGCTCTAACTGTTCGTATTTTTAATTTTGTTTAAGTTTTGTTAAGGTGTAAGTTTGCTAAAAGTTTTCATAAAATATACACAATAATTGCGGATTCGTTGAATCTTTTTATTAGTATTTGTTATTATTATTTTACATACAAAAACACTCTGTTGTGGTCGACGTTGACGTCACAAAAATAGCTGAACACTCAACGACAGGTTAAACGGACAAATCTACATTTTGAAATGTTCATAATGGGTTCGGTCTGTTTCATTCAAAATGTAAGTCTTGGTCAATTATACTTTTTATTAACTCTAGTTACCGAACTTTAAGATTTAGAGAAGCATACTCAACTCGTGCGTACGAAAGTTTCAGAAACAATTAGAAAACAACGTACTTTACTATGACCTACCTTAACAGATGATATAATTTGTTGGCTTATGCAACACTGTGCTGGTACATTCATCGATAATAGATAACACGGCACAACACGTGCGCACACGTAATCGAAATCGAAATTTGTATTTGCCTATTATTTCAATCGGCAACATGGAGATAGGCGAAGGTAAGTTGCCCGCCAACACAATATAAATAATGTCTAAATATATACGGATATAAATGCATTGCAGAGCTACGAACGTGGTTAGAGGACAAAAGCAAACAGTATACGGCACGCTTGGAATTTGCAATTAAAGTGTGGCAATCTCTCGATTTTGTCTACATAAATAAACACGAAGTCATTTGTCAATGGCTGGCGGAGACGCTGACAAATGTCGACGAGGAGCTGCCCGTGTCACAGCTGCAACAGCTGTTCAGCCTGCGCGCCCAACCGGGTCTTGTGGGTGTGGCCACAAAGTCGGCTCTGATTCAAGCGCTGCTCAAGCGCATTCAGGATGCGGCTCCCATTGCTGGTCACACACATCCGGCACTGATCCAGCAACTGCTGAACTTTGAGCTGGTGCAGGATGCGCTGCGTGCCGACTACGATCTAATCATGTGCAGCTATGGCATTCTCTTCACCTGCTACGAGCGACAGCTGCTCTTCTGTGGAGATGACAAGGAAATGCGTCATGCTGACTTTATGCTGCCGCTGCTGCAACAGCTGCGCGACTATGTGCAACGTGCCCAGAATCGTCCCCGTCTGCTCAAGGCATACACGGAGGCGACGCTGCAGCCTCTCTGCCAGCTGTTCCTGCAGTTGCGTGAGCGCGGCTTCTGCTGCTTCGAGCAACTGGCGGCACTCGAGATGCAGTTAACGGATCATCTGGACACCAGTGAGTTGACCACACGCATGTCCAAGCTGCCACTGGCCTTGCATCTACTCGTCCTGGAAGCAGCACTGCTCAATCATCGGTACGATCCGGTTAAACAATTTAAGCTAATAAATTACGTGCTCAGTTGGAGCGTTCAATGGAAGCCGGAATATGTTGATCCACCGGAAGCAGTGATCACACTGACCACCCATGCGCTGGAGTCGCTGCGCAAGCACAACATTCCACTGCAATTCGAAGAGATGCGCAAACAATCTGCCGTCGCCTTCGTCGCCGAACATCTGCTCAAGCAGATCAGCCAATTCCGAGGCGAACATCTGCGGCAGTTACTAATGATGCTCTGTGCCGCTTTGCGTCTCAATCCGCTGCTGATTGAACCGAATGTCTATCAGATCACCGTGTGGATGCTGTGCGCTCCGAAACGCAACGATTTGGAGTTGCGTCTCTACGCGGAGTACCTGGTGCTTCTGCTGGACATGTGCAGACGTTTGAGTCGCACCGAACGCTTCATTATGCAGCTGCTGAAATCGTTGCGAGAATGGCTCTCCAAATTTGAGCTGCCAATGTCCACGTGCAACGGCGAGTCCAAGCGCAGTCGCCTCACATCGGAGCAGGAGGAGCAGCCGGCCTTGGAGCAAGACGATGATATTTATCTACAGCTGTTGTTCAAGACAACGAGGCCAACGGAAGCTGTGTGCTGCACAAGGGATCGCCTCGCCCAAACGTGGCCAAGTCAGACAGCAGGCGCTGCGTTCACACGCCTCGTCAGTCAGCTCATGTCCACGCCATCCATTGTCATCTGGCGAATGCTGCTGCACAGCTTTGCCGATCTGCTGGTGACCGATTCGCAGGCGGTGCTGCCGGTGAATCTTAACTTTGCCATCGAGCTGCAGGCAACTCTGCTTAGTCAGTATCTGTTGGGCACACGGCTCGCGGAGCAAGTGCAGCAGCACGAGACCCAGGTGGCCGAGCAACGTCAACATACCGCCCAGGTACTCTGCCAGTTTGGACGACATCTGCTCGCGCGGGAGCACAATCGTCGCACGATGAACGCATTCCTGGAGTGCGTCGAACGGGCCAGTTGCTTTGATCTGCTGCTCGCCTATTATTGGCCAGACGGACTGTCACAGACGAAGCTGGACGTGGAGCCGGCACAGCTGCACAAATTCCTGCCCAGCCACGAGTGGAAACTGATCCAGCAGCGTGTTCACAATTTCGGTAAAAGTTTGGGCCGTCAGCGATTGCAGCGTCTGGAACTACAGCTGATCGAAGCCGGCTGGCTGCTGTTGCCCAACCAGCGTGCGCAGCCCTGTCCGGATGCCCTCGTCGAGCTGGTGCCCCCTCAACTAGTCGCCCACCACTTGACACGAGCCCAAAAACAGCTGCGACTGCAACAACAAGCGAAACAGCTGCAGCACACAGATCTGCTGCACGACGCCGAATGTGTGGAGCTGCAGACGCTGCAGCTGCTCGAGGATTACGCAGCCAGTCTGAAGGAGGCCAAGATTAAGGGCACGCTACTGTCCAAGCAACTCAAGCTACTGCACGAGGATGATGAGTCCGCCTTGGCCAATGCGTTGAGGCAACATTGTGCGAGCACAAAGCAGCCGGCATTGCCAATGGACACAACGCTGGAGCTGATCGAGGCACTGCACCAGCTGCCACTCGTCCAGCTGGTTAGCAGAATTAAGTCGCGTCTTTGGTTGCTCATCTTCAGCCTGTATCACGATGTGAGACGCGCCCAGCTGCAGCAACAAGCCGACCAGCTACTCGAGCAGCTCATCGGTAAGCGTCACACAGGCAAAGCGAGAGTCTCCGTTTTTTACAGTTTATAATCCCTCTCTATCGCATATAGTCTCCTTAATGTGTATATATAATTCTGATCGCTAATTCTCCACTTTGTTTTTCATTCGCAGATATTTTACATTTTGGTCAGCCGCTGGCGCTTTACAATTATTTTCCGCAGTTGGTGGAGCTGCTGCAATTGGTGCCCATCGATGCTGGTGCTGCTAGTGATGCAGCAACAGCGGCCGTCTCGTCTGCCAGCCCGCCTGCGTGGCGATTCTATGAGACGCTCTTTGGGCGCTGCATTCGTCGCTTAGGTCCCGGCACCGATGTGTTCCTCGCCAGTTGTGCTCAACACTTTCGCGACCAGTTGCAGCAATCGCAATTGGATACGGAGTGCCGCCGGTTGCTGCTGCTCGCAATTGAGACGCTGTCGAGCGGGACGGGTGTGCAGGCGAGACGGATGCAACGACATCTGCAGCCGCTGCTCGAGATTTACGGCCAGTTTGTCACACATAAGTTTCGATCGAAAAAGAAGCCGCCAACCGTCTACAAGGAGTTTGTGCAGCAGACCCTCAGCGGCTATGCCATCTATCTGAGCAGCTGCATCAATCGTGCCGCCAAGCAGCAGCAACAGCAGCAGCAGCAGGATGAGAAGCAGAAGGAGGATAAAAAGGACGTGGCAACGACAACGACAACTGTGCAACCAATCGATGAAAACTTCCGGCACATCTGCAAGATTTACATTGGACACTCGGTGAGGCAAAGGAATCACAATTAGCTAATTAAATGTGTTAAATAATTTATTCAATTAATCGAATTAGTTAAATTATCGTAATGCACATGCCATACGGCTGCTGAATGTGGCGCTAACGCATCGCCAACTGCTGCATCTGGACCTGGACGAGATCGAGTTTGTGCTCAATACGTATTGGCGGCAATTGAATGCGGACATTGAGTCCGCCTCCACATTGGACATCCAGTGCATTGAGCCGGCCATTAAACTGATCATTGGCTACAAGACCAATGAGGATTTTCTGCTGCTATTGCGCAGACTGATCGCCCAGCTGGACGGGATGCAGCGGCCAGAGACGGCTGCCGAGCACACCAGCCTGCAGAATGTGCTCATCTTGTTGACGCTATTCGCGAAATGTTCGCTGAGCAGCATTAAGGCGGCGGTAAGTTTCCCTTGAACAACGATGCTCAATGCCCGTTGCCTGATGATCGATGCTATCTTTGACAGATGCTCAACGAGCACTTCGAGCTGATCAGCGGCAATGTTGCGTTGCGCCTGCCGCCCGTCATCGATGCCAGCTATCGGCAGCATGTGCTGCGTCTGCTGGAAGCACAGAGCGCATTGGTCAGCAATCGAACCGTTCCACTTAGCGGCGAAACACTTGACTCCATACTTGGCAGCATGCTCGATATAAATATCAAACGATTCATCATTGCCGGCGGCAGCTGGTCGGATTTCGTTCAGCTGCACGCCGCTCTCTCCGAGAATTGTCTGCTGCTGTTGCGCAACCATTCGTCACTGATGTCGGATCGTGCCGCACAGCTGACGGCTATCTGTCAGGATCTGGTGCAGTCGATTGTCTGTTATCGCAGCGAACGCAAACAGGCTCAGAGCCTCACAGATGCCGAGCTCGATGGCCTGTCTGAGCTGGCCATGAAACTGGTTACGCTCATCGCCGCCATTGCGGCGGGACCTCTAGCGTTGGCCATCAAACGTGTCGCACCGTTCCTGCTGATCTTCACCATCAAGCAGATGGTCGCCACCGAGCGACCCACCACACTCTTCGAAAAGGTACATACCCCTTTGCCCAGCTGGAGTCCATTTGATTAACTTTTGATTATTGTTTTGGCTTCCAGGTGAAGGTGCACATGACTCGCATCTGCCATGAGCTGATTGGCATCTGTGATCATCGCGCTGGACACTTCATATTGCGTGCCAGCAGCGAAGCTGGCGCTGGCATGTATCAAAATCTGGTCAAGGAGCACGACAAGTACCACAAGTTCCGGGGCAAAGTATAGATGGATATAATGTACCCATGTACAAACATTGTAACTAATTCTTAATGAATAAATATTATATATTTATGTATAGTAAGATTAAACTGATTGCTACTTCAGATGTTAAAGTAGAACGTTTTTTTAGTTTGTGTTGTAAACGAACCAGTTTTTCGTTTTCTTAAAAAAATATAGCTTTTAATAAATTTCTATTACATTTTACATTAAATAATTGTTACATCTTATTTTAAAGCTCTCGTCAACCGTGCCCAGGATTTAAGCTTGCGAGCCGGCCACAGTCTAATTAAGGCATATCGTGAGAGATCTTACAGAGATGTTGTATACATATATATAAATATATTGTTTGATTTGATTAAATCATTATGTTGTTGCTCTTATATAAAAGTGTGAAGTGTGCTTTTTTTTCATTTATGATGATGAATGATTTTAAGTATTAAATGATTACTGTTGATTTAGATTTCGTACTTAAGTTTGATTTATCCGAAATGCTCTTATTCTATAATTGTATATCATGTGGCGTCTGTGAGCATGGATTTGTGTGCGGATGTATGTGCATTGCATGCTCTCTGCTGATGGTTAGGATACAAACATCTGGCAAACTTCGCACAATGGATGCTCGGCTTCTTCTGGACGATTGCCGCTGGAAGGGAACAGATATTATTAGTTACAGCAGGCATAGGCAATAGGCAATATGTAGAATACGAACAACAGGGTGACACATGTGTGGCATATGAATTCATGGCACTCGACACACGAATAGCCGCATTCCTCGCATAAATCAAAAGTACAGTTTGCACACTGGTCGATTATCAGCTGCGGACGCCTGCAGCAGGAGGCGACGCGGGGAACGAGGCCGGGATTGACACCGTCGGGATTCATGTCGCGCAAAATGATAGTGCCATCGCCAAACAGATAATATCGGTCGCATAACTTTGCGGGATTTTCGACATCGGAAGTAGCATTCAGGTTTGCGGCGCCTTCAATCATAATCTTTGTCGTTTTTTCTGCGCGCCAAAAAAAGGTTCATCGATTGTAATTAGTATGTATAGTGTCTCAGAGCTTATTTCGGCAGTGTCTAGCAAAAATTTTAAAGTGCTATAAAGTTTAAACAAAGAAACAAACGCAAAATGTTTAAATGCCAATTTGTTTTATGTTATATCACGTTTGAAAAGGAAACTTCAGTTTTCATTAAAATATTAATTAATTAAGTAAAATTAGTCAAAAACTGAAATCTTATCCAAAATACAGGTCAAATCTTAAGGATGTTAATACTTAGTATGATATCTTTTAGCCTTAATAACTTCCCCTAACCTAGTATTCATGGAAGATACCAGCTTCCGGGTCGTTTCTGGACTGATTTTGCTCCACTCATCCAGCAGATCATTCTTGAGATCGGATCTGTAATTCCGGATGGTATTTTCCAGCAGAGCCCACAAATTTTAAATAACATTTAAGTCTGGAGACTGGGCCTGTGGAATTATCTTGTGGGGGCAGTTCCAGGACTGTACTAATCCGGACTTATGCTTGGTAGTGTTCCTGGTCGTTGTCGTGGTAGATCTGGAAAGTACGCCGGATTCTTAGCTTCTTGGCACTTTGGAGTAAATTTTCCTTTAATATAGTGAAATACACATTCTTGTCCATTGTTGTTTCAATGAACACCAAATTTCCGACGCCGGCTTCCGAGATAGATGCCCATACCATGACACTTCCTCCGTCGTGCTTGACTGTTGCCTTTAGGATTTTGGGACTCAGCTCAGTATTGGACTGTCGCCACACATAATTCCGTCCGTCTAAGCCAAAAATGTTGAATTTGGGCTCATCTTCAAATATGAATTTATTCCAGAACTCCAAATCCTTGTCCAAGTGGATTTTGACAAATGTCATCCTAGTTCCTTTTTTTTTGTGCGCTTATAAAGGGCTTCTTCCGTGGTACTCGGGCATTAAAGTCATGGTTGCGCAGAACCCGGCGCACAGTTTCCACACTGCACTTTTTCCCCATTTCATCCTGCACCTGTTGAGTCAGTTTTGGAGCCGATAGCTTGGGATTTTCCCTTGTTTTCCTGATGATCTTCCGCTCCTCCTGTTCGGTGAAAATCTTGTTTGGTGCATTTCTGCCCTTGTCCTCTATCCGATTTTCGTCGACAAAGCGCCGAATGATATTGAATACAGTTGTGGTGCTTAGATTTACCATTTTAGCTATTTGGCGATGTGAATATCCAATCTTTAAGTGTTCCAGGATGAGATTCCGTTGCTCAATGGTAGTCCGTTTGTCCATAGTCCTTGTTGGCTGGTGGCACCCGAGATGCAGGATATAACTAAACTGACTATGAAGGATTAGTCTACTTATTCCGAAAATAATCAACCTGACATAAAAAATCCGGGTTTTATGGCACCCAGGTGTCCATAATGCCACTATTGGAAATAAACTGTGACCATAAATTAAGGTACTTTTTTACATAACCCGACATAGCGGGTGGGGAAACCCCAGTTTATGGGGGCCATATAGTCATTATGGTGGTTAATATATGTACCTGCCATAGGTCTTTGGAATTTTTGAAAAATATTGTATTGTTAGTTTATGGCAGGCAATTAAAATTTTTGGTAGACACTGCCGAAATAAGCTGTGAGATACTGTATGTATATGTATATAATACGCACCATGGACGGCTTTCATTTTGTCTGGGTCGCGAGAATCTCTCATTTTTTCGTTGACCCAGACTTTGGTTTGGGTAACATTATTGTTACACTCATCGTCCTCGGAGCGCATGCGTTTCAAAGTTTTCCCATCCATTTGACTACTTACTTTACTTACAATTCTTACAGAATATTCTTCTTTTATTCTTTTCAAGCGGACAGCTGGTTGTCTTAGCGATGGTAACTTATCAGCAAATTTCTGCGTATCGGCGAGCATGCAGCAGTATTTTTGAAATTAGTATCAACAATCAGTAAATTTTCAATTCACGGAATAGTTTACATATACAAACAATGCGCTTTGAACGAATATATTTATTTGCTTAATTCGTTTTACTCAAAATTTACATATCGAAATGAACTTGAAACGAAATCGAAGCGAGTGAAGGAGAAGGTTTTGCTTGTCAGAAACTTCCCAGGCATGCCTGCTGCGATTTCTGAAAACTTTATCCATTTTACATTTTTGCCTTAAAAGTTGTTGAGCTCGTCGGGCAATTAGGCAATAATTTCGTACATACGTTTGAGATATGCTTATGTTTGAAGTCAGCAGAAAAATAAAATAAGAATCGATAACAGGTCAAGAGAATTTGTTATTGCTGTATCGAAATGAAACTTGTCATTTATCAGAATGCTCCTCCGTTTAACAGCACTAGCTGGCCATTTGAAAATAACATTTTACTAGCTGAATATTTCATTCGTAATTCAGTTTCGATCGTATTTATTGCAATACTTGATGCCAATTCGCATTAAGTATTAAGTGATAGGATTTTTTTTTATGTAATTCAACGCTTTATTTGTGCTCGATAACAACAAAAACACACACTTCGATAAATGGTTAACAGCAACTGCTTTAATCGATGTATCGTAATGAGGGCTCTCTTCACTTGACAGATTTGACTCGCCATTGAAAACAAACACACACACACACACACATATATATATATATATGTACATTCTAAATCGAAGTGAATATTTCGAAGTAGTGAATTTAGTTTTGGCATAATTTATTACAATTAGAGCACACGGTTGCATAAATTTCAGGTACACACAAGTACAGTATAACGTACAGTATTGCATGTATGCAGCAAGCAGTAGCCAACGCTAGCAACAGGTAGCAGCAACAACGAATCTGATCACTCAGCGTGACATTTACAACATCAGCAGCGGCGCAGCAGCAGCGACAGAGTCAGCAGCGGCGACAGCTGACTATATCAACAGAGCAATAAATTTCGACATTGTCGAAATTGAAAAGTGATTGCAAGCCAGATTGCAAGCAATGTCCGTCGATGATAATACGCCCGTGTTGCGCGGCTGCATTAAATTGCCGCTGCCCGAGGACGAGCTGTTGGAGGTAACGGCCAAGGCGAAAGACTATGCCATCATGCATGGCGCCGCTATGCGCTCCAAGACCAACTTCAGTCCGGATTCGCTAAATGTGAGTTTGTTTTGCAGCATTTGCAAAATGATGATTTGATTTCCATTTCCATTTGAAAACTTAAACATTTTGCGGTGTAACAGTTTGCGCCCTTTGTGCTGGTGCCGTCCTCCTTTCCGCGGAAGGAATTCGAGAAGGCGATCGCCTTGCAGCCGATTATCAATCGTCTGATGCACAATGTCGCCCACGATGAGGAATTCATAACGACCACGCTGGCGGAGACAATTAAAGTGGATGAGTTCACTGCCAATCTGTTTAACATTTATCGCAAGGCTCTGGCCCATGGCTTTACCCAGGTGAGACATCTTGTGTTCGTTTGTCTCTTACCTAAATATATGCACATCCACACATCCACCATAACCATTGTTAAATCAACCCAATCATAATGCGTCAATTAGTCATTAGTCATTGTCATCGTTATCGTCAACCTCATTCTCATCCGTATCCTCATCCACATCCACATATCCAAGTCAGCACCATTTTAGATTCCCAGCTAAAGGGTTTTTAGGTTGCTTTGGTGCAGGTGATTGAATTGGTGGACAGCTTAGTGATTTCTCTTGCTCTCTCTCTCTCTATCTTCGTGCCCCCATCTCCCTCTCTCTCTCTATCTGTCTGCCTAGTCGTAACATGGAATTTATAACATTTACAGTGCTCGCTCGCTAATTGTTTCTAAATCCAAATCGCTAAAAATGCAATTTCGAAATTGTAAATCGGTTTTTTATACAGCTTTCAAAAAATATATTGATTTGAATGTGCTTGTTTCATTAGCTAAAGTTAACGCAATTTGATTTTTAAGTTTAAAAAAATTGCATTTTCGATATCAAAAATTGAATTTCTGCTATGCTTCTGTAATGGTATTTTGAACTGTACAATCACAGTTAGTCTACCGACGTACATAGACCAAAATCGATGGATTTTCGAAAGCGATATTAGCGAGTGACTACTGTTCTTGTAGTCGACATTGGTTACCGTTATCTTATCGCCTTATCATCAATCCCATAGCTAAGCCAGCCTATCTCAAGTGCTAAACATGATTTACGCCCACATCCTGGACCCGGGAGATATTCGATAATTGATTTTTGCCAGCGAATTTATAGTTTTCTTTTGGGTTACATATTTTTATATTAAAATATTTAGTTTGTTCTTGTAAGCTCTTTCGGCTCCCAATTTATCCCTCTCTCTCTCTCTCTCTCTCTCCCTCTCTTTATCTTTCTCTGTCTCTTGTGGTGCTGCTCCTAGTGTTTGCGTTGTTGTTGTTGTTGTTGTTATCGCTGCTCGATATACCCAGCTTAATGTTTTATATCTATCCAGCTATAAAAATTACTCACGCATTGATTTGACATTTTCTGCTTTCCTCGTTTCAACAAAAACAAAATACAAATATATATAAATATATATATAAAAAACGCGACAAAAATTGAAAAATCTAATCGCATCGATGACTACAATTTGTGTTGCTCGTGTAATCGTTATCGTTATCGCTATGGCTAATGTTAACGTGTTCGCATTCCGAAACCGAATCCCCACAAATGTACACGAACACACACACACATATAACACGCACACACACATATGAACACACAAACACACGTTTGAAACCAAAGCCCATTTCATTGGGCATGCTGCGCAGCGATCTGATGCTGGAGTCCCGCTGCCGGGATATGTCAATGTGCAGCAGCAGCAGCAGCGGAGGGAAGGACAACGATGCGAAGGAGAAGCAGGAGGCAAAGGCGAAAAAGACAACAAAAGTGGGCGTGGCGCGAGGCATTAGCACCTCATTGGGCTGCTGGAAACAAGTCGAGATCAATACGATAGCATCGGGGTTTGGCCATTTGGGACCAGCAAGTAAAACCATACAAAGGTGCTGTCTCTCTCTCTATCTCTCTATCTCTCTCTTTGCATCTTTTTATCTCTCTCTATCTCTCTGTAAAAATATATATCTACTTCTATTTGGCTGTCGCATATAAATTCACATTGCCTGTAAATGCCTGAAAGCCTAATTAAAGCCATCCAAAAATGGAAACACACACACTAACACACACACACATGATAAAGTAACGTATATATATATATATATATATATATATATATATATATATATAAATATATATATATTCCAATGACAGCCATAAGCATTCCAATAATAAATTTACTGACTGCTCATAAAAATACGAATCTATTTTAAGACTTATCAAGCTGAGGTCGAATAACATTAAAATACCACTTGAATAAACAATGTGATTCGAGAATTGAGATAAAGAAATTGTGAATAGATCTAATTTCATAACAAATGCCATTGGAATGCTTAGATTCCCGACTTGCAATAACAAATTGTAATGTTTTTTTTTTTTCAAATATCTCCAAGAAATGGGATAAATGAGCAGAGAGATAATGATGTCGTTACTTACTCAGTGTCTATGTATATACTCTATATATATTATATAGTATAGTATATACATGTGTGTGTGTGTGTGTGTGTGTTGGTGTGTGGATGTGTGCTCCTTTAATATATTATTCTTGTTTATACAAATGGCCAGTTTCGCCTATATTATATACATAGGGGCCATGATTCGAATCCAGCTCATTGTGATTATAATTTGTACAATACATATATATAATTTATATATACATATATACTGTCTGCATTATATATACTACTACTACTACTTACTTACATATATGTATATGTATGTGTTTGTTCGAGTCCTGGAATGTTTTGTCGTAGTTCTTAGTTACTTGACAGAAACTGAACAAAGGAAGCAAGCAGCTCCTTCCCCCCAAACCCCATTCCTGTTGCTGCCTGCTCGTCTGTCCCCCCGCCTTAAACCGCTCTCCGCTTGCCTGCAAAGCTTTATCGTTTTATACTTTCTTCTTTTTTTTTTGCCATACGCCTAATAAGTAATTGTGCATATCATACTATTTTTTATCTTATTTGCTTCTTCTACTCGCTACCGGTGTATAAGAAGTACAGATCTTCAGTTCTGCAGCTGCCTCATTCTATTGTTTTTTTTTTATGTTTTGCCAGTTTTTTTTCAAACAATTAAGACAAAAAAAACTTGTGAAACCCATATTTACACAAGTGGTTAAATTAGCCTTGTCATTCGGCCTTATCGCCACAAAGAGAAACATGCCAGAAACCGAAATGCGATAGGCACACCACACACACACACACACACACAGAAATACACGTCATGCGTTGAGTTCCCCGGCGACATTCGTCAGATTTGTTGAAGTCCCTTGTAATTGCATCTAATCTCATTTCTAACAATGACAGCAGCAACACACGCAACAAATCGGGTAAATTCCGGAATTTGAATCCAAGCTGCCAGATGCAAATATAAACATTTGCCAATTTGGATCCCTGCTAGTCTTTCAAATAATAATTCGCTAGGATTTAGAAAATTTCACGCTGATTATTGTCTCAAAATTGCGAGTTTGATTTTTGATATGTTGATATTGTTTGATTTGCAGTATTTTGGGCGTGTTTCTAAATTCTATGCGATTATTTATGTTGTTGGTAATGTAGGAGCGAACCTCAAAGTGAACAGGCTGTGATGTCTGCTGATATAAAGAGTATCCTGATCATGATCACTGCTCACATGCGAAATCACACCGTCGATAAATGTAAACCACATATCATCTACACTTAAAGCCAGCCTCACAGATTGCATCCACGCACCACAATTATATATGTATAGTAAGAAAATACAAGTGCAATTGAAGTTGTTGTAGGAAATTCAAATCTTATCGATATTAATCAATCTACATCAATTCACCGAATCAAACAATCGATAACCAGAAATCGAATTGCATTGCTATCCCTTGCATTTCATTCTCTCTCTCTTTCTCTCTCTGTCTCTCTGTCTCTGTTTCACCGTATGCTTCACTATGTCCGTCTCGCTCTTTCACACACCCACACTCTTATCTCTTTCTCACTTTCTCGCCGCGTTGTCCACTCGCTCTCTCCCTCTCATCATAATAATTTCCGAATTTTTTTTTTTGTTCGTTTTTAACATTATATTTACAATTAAAATATCGAATAGAAATAAAAATTAAGCTTAGGTTTAGTTTAGTCTTAGGCTAAGAGCTATCTGCTCGCTGCTATCTAATCAATTAAGCCGTTACTCTATGTACCCTGTATATATACACATGTATATATATATACATCTATATATACATACATATATATATATATAATATGTAAAACCGATCATAATTGCAGGCTTATAGCGTCGGTCTATTACGTTCTGACTATTTGGCTCACGTGTACGAGGGCTGTGCAATAAAGCAGGTTGAAATCAACACGATTGCCTCCAGTTTCGGTGGCATTGCTACACACTTGGTGCCTATGCAGAAGTATTAAGTGCTCTTTTCTCTCTCTCTCTCTCTCTCTCACACTCACTCACTCACTCTCACTATCTCTCTCTCTCTCAAACACATAGACACTCTTTTTCTTCATCACAAATCGCTCACTGTTTTTATCACAGTTCCATTCAAGGTCGGTTTCACATTCCAATTATGAAACACTCGGAATTTGGAACAGTCTTGGGAGTCTGCACTCACACACACACTCACAAATCTTGCAGCAATTCTCCTTAATTCACTAGTAATCAATTAAAAACTCACATTTTTAACCACTGAACGTTTGCTGATCTGCACTCTCCCTCTCTCACTCTCACGCTGTCTCTCTCTCACTCTCACGCTGTCTCTCTCTCACTCTCTCATTAAAAATGTAAAAGGCATGCTCTCTCTCTCTTTCGCACACACTCACTCTTTCACTTGCACATATTTTTGTTGGCTTATTGGTTATGGCTTTGACTTGAGCTTTATGATGCCTACTCTCTCTCTCTCTCTACATATATTAATCTCACTCTCTCTGTCTTTCTTAAAAAAAACATTCCCTTAATTGCCGCTCTTTATTTACTTGTTAACTTACTTGTAATAATTGTAGTTGTATATAACCCTAACTCTTCCCACTTTTTTGTCGTTGTTTGTTACTATGTTTTTTGTATATATTATTTCTTACTATACGATTTACTAATCTTTATCTCTTTCTCTTTGCCGCCGCCCGGCCGTCCCCACTTTTCTCCTTTTTCTCTCTTTCTCTCTGTTTATTTTTCTCGCTTTTAACCTGCCCACAGGTTCGTCCTACAGGAACTCGGCCATTCCGACAAGTTGCAGCACGTGAGTATCATCAATACACATATATATATAGAAATATATATAGATATAATTATATATATTGATATCCTCCACATAGATGCCGAAGAATGAGGCGCTGTCTGGCCTGTGCGATGGCATGGTCAAGGCTTGGGACATATACGCGAAGCCGCAGTCTGTCATCCTGTTCATCATTGAGGATGTGTCCTACAACATTTGCGATCAGCGATTCCACGAGTTCTACATCCGGGAGACCTATCCGCACATCAAGGTGCTCCGTCGCACGCTCACCGATGTGCATCGCGAGGGAAAACTCGGTCAGCATAAGGAGCTGCTGCTGTGCGTATCTCTCTCTCTCTCTCTCTCTCTCTCTCTATCTCTCTTAACTGCATCTCTCTCTCTTTCTCTCTCACACTTTTTTTGTAGTAACAACACTGAGGTGGCCGTGATCTATTTCCGTGCCGGATATGAGCCCGGACATTATCCGTCGCAGGGCGAGTGGGATGCACGCTATTTGATGGAAACATCGCTGGCCATTAAGTGCCCATCGATCCACTATCATTTGGCGGGCACGAAGAAGGTGCAACAGGCACTCGCCCAGCCAGCCGTACTCGAGCGTTTCATCAATGACCCGGAGGAGATTAAGGCCGTTGGTAAAATCTTCACCGGACTCTATTCGCTCGATGACAACGAGGCGGGCAATGCCAACTATGAAATGGCCCTGCAAACGCCTCAGAACTTTGTGTTGAAGCCACAACGCGAGGGCGGCGGCAACAATGTTTACGGCTTGGACATTCCGGATGCACTCAAGGTACTTGCATATACCGATATTATATATACATACATATATATATATATATATATGATTAATATATCTGCACATTTACAGCGCATGAGCCGCGTGGAGCGTTCCGCTTGGATTCTAATGGATCTAATCCATCCACCGCTGTCGCAGGGCTATATGGTCCGGCCCGGTGGCAAAATGCCGCCCGAAATAGTCGACATGGTCTCCGAGCTGGGCATCTTTGGCGTCGTTATTGGGGATGCCGATCACATTGTCCACAACTATCAGGCCGGACACATGCTCCGCACAAAGCTATCGACGGCGAATGAGGGCGGCGTTGCCGCTGGCTTGGGCGCCCTCGACAGTCCCTACTTAATAGACTCGGATGATGAGGATGGATACTTTTAGGTAGACGAGAATCGAGCATTCCCGCATTCCCCTTGCCTTCAAGTACTTATTAATTGTATTAAAGATATATCAACTATTTTTGTAATGATTTGAGATTTGCAATTGGTGCAATAAATTCAATTTGTAGATACGAAGTGTTTACTGATTTAGATTCTTCGCATTTTTCCAGAACGATAACGTTGGTCCTTGCGATCCTTTTTTCTAAGCTGGTCAATGAACATCCAAGTCTTCCTGGTAGTTTTCGAGTTCTGAAGGATCTCGCTGTTTTGATCTATAAAAGTGTTTGAGTTCTTAGCTAATAATAATCCCATAATCCTTCGATAGAGGAGGTCTTTTCCAGCCTTCGAAAGTCTGTAAGGATTTAGATGAGCTTTGATTTTTCAGCGTTAAAGTAAAAACCAATTACATATTTGATGCTCGTGAAAGAGATTTAATATTTTTAACAATTTTCGAATAAGAAGAGACGTTTCTGATCGCCAATTAAGTAGCCTATGTGATACTTGTTGCAGATCGGATAACTATATCATATAGTACAACATTTATAACATCGGATTACTACATCATTTAGTATTACATTTATAGCATAATTATAGTTTAAATTTTAAATATTGTCACCGAAACATTTTCACATTTTGATTTTGGTTTTTATTTTTATTATTTTTTTTTTTTGGTTTGGAAGATGGGGTTTTCTACTCGGTTTGGTTTTAGTGGCTTTTGGTTTAGTCCACACACAACAATGCGCAAAATACTCCAAAAAGTGTTTGACAAAATCATGTAAATACATTTAAAATAATTAACATTAATATTTGATATATGCAATAAGCGATATGCAAAATACAAATGCCAAATGCATATTTATGGAACAGCACAAACCGATTTCATTTTGGATCAGATATGTATATTTACATACAGGCCTTAAACTATATAATTAAAACAGCATTTGCGAATTTCATTAGCTAGCTATAACATTTGATTTGTTGTTAACAATTACATATAGTACAAATACATATAGATTGAGTATAAGCTGCACGAAATCGAATCAATTCGATATCTAAAAACAGCGCCAATTCTTAAACAATTAAACAGTTGTCTGCACATTCTGCACGGCCTTGGAGAGCTCCACCTTGGAAGGTATTAAATAAAATGCAGGCGTCATTGTCTCTCCACAAGGACACTGGCAGGCTGCAAGCAAAGAAGATGAACAAGAGAACCACGTCAATATAAAATAATCACTTCACATAGCTGTGAATCAATCATACTATTTACTTAAATATCCTGGCAGACACATCGAAAAATCATTATAAATTAGAACTATGAACCGATTATTCCCATGAGAAAGATACCTTGGACTAGATTGGATTTCGAATGGTGCTGATAATAAATAAATATATATCCAACACTTCACATTCTTCAAGCTTATCAGCATCGGATAATTATGACATGTAACTGCAAGGATTTTCAGTTTTCGGCAAGCCGAGAACAATTGTTGTTTGTGCTTTGTGTTTGTTTACCATTGATCCAGCTAAAGTTGCCCAGCTTCTGCTCGCATTTGGGACAATAGAGTCGCCCTTGGGTATTGAGCATGATGCGATGCATCCAGGCAATGGGCTCCACAAACAACAGGCTGCGACATTGATTTTGATTGCTCGAGCCGGTATTTTCATGACTCGGTGAGCCCAGCGATGCCTTGCGTAAGCGCTCCGACAGCTGGTCGAGCAAACGTGGCTCCGTTGGCTCGATGGTATCTTGGGCCGGTGGTGCCATTGGTTGGCCACGCGGTCGATGTTCGAGGACATTCGACTTGGAGGCAAGCACGCGGCGACAGCGACGGCAGCGAAACACAATTGGTTCGGGATTCTCGCGTGTTATATCCGGATCCGGACGCACAACATTATGGAAGCTCTGCGGCAATATTTTTGCCTTGCGCATCTGCTCGCCAGCGAGTCGAAGACGATGCATCTTATAGCGCTGATAGCCGGGATCAATCTTGTAGCCCATGCGACGAAAGAGCTTCAGCTGTGCCACAAATCCAGCATTCGGCTGCACAAAGCGACGCTTGGCCAGCACTAGCTCATATGCCGCCTGATAGTCCAGATTGTGGCGCTTCATCACGTACGCAATGACAGCGGATGAGCTGCGACTGACGCCAAAGTAGCTGTCGAGGCGAGAGGCGCACACTTGGATTAAAATCAGCGGAATCAATGCAAGGGGCAACGGCTACCTTACCAGTGGACAAGGACATTGTGCTGTTGCTCCACAGCGCTGGCAATAAAGTCAACGCAAGCCTCCAAATGCTGTAGTATATCCTCGCGTGGCATATCGGCAACTGTTGCAGCCGTTGTACAATATTATTATGTATATATATCAAAATCATATCAAATAGCCATCACTCACTTTGCACGTATTTGGTGGTCAGGAAGCTCGCCTCTAAAATGTGCTGTGGCAGCGGCACCGAGTCCAGCGTCAGGATATGCGTAATTTTAAACGATCTAAGCGTTTCCATATGTGTGGCTGCCGACAGATTGCCTGCAAGCAAAACATAAAATAACACATGTGAGTGGCAATTGTGCATATGCAGAAGCATTCATCGTACCTAGGAACAGGCACGTTTCCACTTCATCAATGCTAACAGGATCGCCATCGAAATCATCGCGCGACAAGGTGCCGCAGTCCTGTGGCTTGCCGCTCCGGCTAGGGTAGCCCCCAGGCTGCGCTGGCTGCATATTCAACTGTTGCGCTCTCGGTTTTTGGGGATGGATGGCGCTCACACTGCTTTGTGCACTGTTTTGATTTGAATCTTTTTAATGTTAGGGGAGTCGAGAATTGCAGAGATTAACTTACTGCTTGCTTGCTCGCTCGCCCCTCCCCTTTAATTAGCAGCACTTCACACACTGCGCCTGCAGGAGTTGGATTAGCATTGCTGTTGCTGCTGTTGCTGTTGATTTGTTTGTGTATGTGCTGCGTGTGGCAAAGTTTTATGCTGCCCTGATCCGCAGCGCGACGAGGGTCACAGATGACGTTAATGGGTACCGCGCAACTCTGTGAGCTCCCACTGCGCATGACGTCATTAGCTCAAATTTCAAATACATGTGCGAATACAGATCGTTAAATAAAGAGAACCCACGAAATTGAGAACTTTGTGCAAGACTTGTGGCATCTATCTAAAATGATTTTCAAATAGTTTGCGCAATTACTTTTACATATTTGCTAAACATGAAGCTTGTGACGTCACGCCACACAAATGCGATACCATGCACCGCTCATCCTACTGTGCGACTCAACAGTATGTTATCGATAATAACCGCTTGACCATTTCAAATATTGTGACGTAATGTCCAACAAATGCCAACTAACCGACCTGCGCATTGCCCTGACCATGTGCCCTAATTCTAAAGCGCGTTATCGATAATCGCCAGCGAACGTATTTCACGTTTTGCAATCGATAGACAGTGTTACATTTGTACAATTTATAGACTGTGACGAGAGCGAAACCGGTGTTTATTATTAAACTATTCAAAATTCAAAAACTAAAATGACTACGCTACGGCCATTCACCTGCGACGACCTCTTCAAATTTAACAATGTGTAAGTAAAGCCCGTTGCATTTGGCTAAAAACTAAATGGTATGCCCATTTCAGGAATTTCGATCCACTTACGGAGACATACGGGCTCTCCTTCTACACGCAATATCTGGCCAAGTGGCCGGAATACTTTCAGCTTGCCGAATCTCCCAGCGGTCACATTATGGGATACAGTAAGTAATAGCAATGAAACAAGAAAGTCAACTCCAATTTCATAATTGTCGCCCGGCTGCAGTTATGGGAAAGGTTGAGGGCCATATGGATAATTGGCATGGTCATGTTACGGCTCTCACAGTTTCGCCGGACTACAGACGACTGGGTCTAGCAGCGCTCCTGATGAACTTCCTAGAAGACATATCGGAAAAGTAATTACAAAAAAAAAATATATTGCAAGAATTGCATTGCGAGAAATTGTGTGAAATGCTTTTACGACCAGTTGAAGTGAACTATAATCTGATTGGAAACTTGTGTGCCTTGCAGGAAGCGTGCCTATTTTGTAGACCTGTTTGTGCGTAAGAGCAATAAGGTGGCCATCAATATGTATACAAATCTGGGCTATATCATATACCGAACTATACTCGAGTACTACTCGGGCGATCAGGATGAGGATGCATATGGTATGATCGCAATGCATATATATGTCACTGATGCACCATTTCTATAACTAATTTTTTGTTTAACTCCTGTTTCAGATATGCGAAAGGCGCTGTCTCGAGACGTTAGCAAGAAATCGGTTATACCGTACACACAGCCAGTACGATTGGAAGATATAGATATGAATTGATATCAACCCAATACTGCCCGCATTCGCATTTATGTCTAACTGAACAACATGAAATACAATTTCAATTTTTATTTACCATATTTACGATTGGCACAATTCCATCATTTCGGCGTGATGCTGCCGTCCTGTCCTAATTGTTATCATTAAATTTATAGTGTATATAATCCGGAGTTCTATATTTTGCCGTTACACAGTCCCTAAATCTCTTGCTAACTTCTGAACCAAACCAAATCCCCAATACATTAAGTCGCATTACTTATGGAATTTACTTTGATGTTGTTACGTTATGTTAATAATACTTCTTATATATATATATATATATATATATATTTCTACATGACTTTGTTATCAGTTAAAAGACTTCTTACGCCGACTGTAACTATTATACAAACGAATGTTCACTGATCTTAAAGGTAAATAATATAATTTAAATGTCAATTACAAAATGTATCTAACCAAATCAATCAATCAATCAATACGATGACTTAAATGGATAGACTATCTTTACATATACATATCAAATACTTCATTCTAATGTTATCAACATATTTTACAGATTACAATGCGCGAATTGCGCAACCAAATGAGGCACGAGTGTTAACAGGATTCCCCGATGGAAGCCCATTTAGATATATTGTACTTATGATAGAATACAAGTTCTTTTTCTTTTATTTCGAAAAGGAATACAAATAATACATGTATCTACAGTGAATCAATAAATTTACATTTTTAAATACATTTTGAAGAAAAAAGTGTTTCTGATTTGTAATCTACTCGCATTTTAAGAAACTTTTATAGATTTGTACTTTTGATTGAAAATAGTTTTGTTACAAAATCGGGGTGTACGCAAATTTTATTTGTTCACTGTAAAGTATATCATATTTAGCGATTTAAGCCTAGCAATTCGCCACCGAATTTAGTTTATTATTAATGCAAAGTGCTGTCATTCCAACTTATTAGATTGACAGCACTCAACATCAATCATAGGCCAATTCAAACGATGTAGTCACATAAGGACAATGTCAGTCGTATATGTCAGACTTAGTCTATTATTTATTGGAAATAGTCGGCATTCAGTAGGCGTTCAACGAAAATATAGCATAATAATATTATAGGCTTTCTTGAAGGAGTTCTACAGGTGAGAAGATTTATTTTTACTAGTCCTGTGGCCAAAACAAGCGTAATTTTCTCATTTTTATCAATTTCAAAAATTATTTCCAATCCCGATGCGTGTGGCAAATGCCACATGTTGCAGAAGCTAAGGTGTTTTGTGGAATTTTTCCAATACTCTCAAATATTAATATTAAATTTTATCACTAGATTTTGTATAATAGAATTTCCCGCGTCCCGCGTCAGCGATAACTGAACATTTTATAAATCTGCCGGCATATATATTTGCTTTCCAACTTTCCTTTAACCGGTGAAAACCATATTATAATAGCTGTTAAAAATGTATAATCAATGTCAACTAATCTTTTAGTGTCGTTTCTATTTTAATTTATGTATTATATATTTTAAATTTCCTTTTACAAAGGAATGCAATTTATTGGGATTGTCGGGAGTGTCGGGACCTTTCCGGATTATCGGAAATGGTCTTGTATCCCAATATTTTAAATAGTCGATCCTGATCCCGTCCCATCCCGAGGTATTTGGAGATAGTCTTGCGGCCCCGATGTCCTGCGACCAACTCTATTTCCGAAAGCAATCAAGACGCGTAAGCCTAATTAATATAATATGTACGTGCATATTTCAAGTTAGACACAACATATACAGTTGCATGTGCATGCGACCACATACATGTACAAGTACATATAAAACGGTATATCGAAGCAAGTACAGCGAATGGAGCAGGCATGAGGAGGCTCTTACTTGCAACAGTCGCAACAAATACGTACATATGTTTCGACAAAGAACAAGTGAAAAACAATATTTGCACATATGTATATATATATATATATATATATATATGTGTGTGTGTTTGTGTGTATGTATGTAGTATAACATACATTTACATTTAACCATTTACATACGTGGGTACATATTGTGTCTACATATTGTGTGTTGTAAGTGGATCTGAAAATTTCCAAACCCAATATTCGCTGCTTCTACCAAACTACGAACAGCAGCGCACAGCAACGTGTGGATTTGCCTTCTCCCTTTCGCTGCTGTATGTGTGCAACCTGCAAGTCTGCTACGTTCTCTCTCTCTCTCTCTCTCTCTCTTTCTTTCTTTCTTTCTCGCTCTCTGTCTGTGTATGCTTGTGTGTGTGTGAGTTTGAGTGTGTATGGGTGCGTATCTGTGTATCTACCGCTTTGTCGAAAACGTACAAAGCAAGAATTCAGCTGGCTTTTGCTATTGTAGGGTATCTTTGCGTGAAACAAGCGCAACGACAAAATAACTGACAACGACAACGTTGGTCGTTTGTTGTTTGTTGTTTGTCGTTTGTCTTCCCATCTAATTATCTGTACATGTAAATGTGCATAAAAGAGTTTAACCTCACCGGCTGGCGATTGACAATAGCAGTCAGCGCTGGGGCCAAGCCATAAAAGCCACAAAGCAATTGTACAACGTACACAGTACTTTTCATTATTGGACATACCTGAGCACTAATATGGAATTTTGGAAGCTTCAAGAGAATGGGAAAAACCCGTTTTCTGAGTTTTAGTCCGATCGAGTTGAAACTTTTTTTTTTTAAGATCTATAAGTAAATTCAAAAATGACTGCATTCAAACTTTCTGAACATTTTAGCAGTGGTCATTGTTGTATGGGTAATCAGCTGAGATCTAAAAACACTACTTAAAAAAAAATTAAAATAAGTTTAGGTTTATATGGAAGTTTACTCCCCTTGCTAAAAAAAATGTGTGGTTAATTGTCTGATCAGCATTCAACTCATTTATAAAGTGCTACTAAGCACCATATTTCGAAATTAACATTTTTTTTGCAATAATATGCATTACAATTCTTATAGGGAAAAGTGTTTGAAAAGCACTTTCATCATATTGTTTTCCTTTCTTTTTAAACTCGACTCTTCGGGTGAAGAATGGATGGGAGAGATCATTTGAGTGTGTGTACTGGAGAACTGGAATGTATTTTCCCCCTATGGGACTAGAGTCTTATGATGGAGGAGCATAAAACGTCGTCATTAATAAAATTGCAGTCACAGTTAAAATTGTTTCGAACAATGCATATGCTGTGGTCATGACAGAGCTAGATTCAGATTCAGATTCATATATTAACATTTCAGGCGTGTAAAACTCGTTTCAAGTGGAAATTTGTACACGATGTGGCAACGCTGTGCGCCCAAGTGCGGTGCCACCAGCAGCAGCAACGGCGGCGGCAGCACGAACACGATGAACATGACGGATACAGATGTGCTTGCCTATATATGTGTGTATGTTTGTGTGTGTGTATCTGAGTGTGTGTATGAAATGAACGAACGAACGAACGAACGAACATAGGGTAAAAATAAGCGAACCACAAACAGTCAACAGCCACAGAGCTAAATTGCAGCTGCTATACGCGTCGCCGACGACGACGACGAATAGGGTAAGTAAGAAACAAGAGAAGGCAACAACAACGAATCATGCGGCACAGCGAAAATTACGATAAAACCGAGACAAAGGCGCAGATGGCAAAACGAACGAATGCGAACACGAGCATGAACGCTACAAAACCAAGAACAACAACAACGAGAGCGTAGATACAACTGTATGTCTGTATGCATGTGTGTGTGTCTGTGTGTGTGTGAGTGTATCTATGTGTACATTCGAGAGTATGTATGAATGCAAGCGATAAACTGCCAGGGGCGTTGGGAAGAGGGACACAGCACGATTTGTACATTGATAAATCTAATGTACGTCGTACATTGCGCATCCGTCAAAATGTCAGATAGTAATTATTTTTTGCACACACCAACCCCTGTCCCCTTCCCCCTCCCCTCATTCGACGCAGCCATTCTATGAACACGAATACGAAATGTACATATGGAGAAAAAGGCAGCAGAAACCAACAACAACAACCCCTATGAACGCTGGCGTCGACGCCGCTGTGACAGCTACTCACAACGAACGAGCGAACAAACGAACGAACAAACGAACAGCGACAAGCATTGAATACGAATGAACGTTCGAAAATGGAAACGACGATAAAGCGGTGAGCACACAGCCGCACGGCATCGAGGGGTGAGCCGTTGCTGCTGCTGCTGCTGCCGTTGGTGCTGCTGCTAATGCTGTTGTTGGCCGTTGATAGATACAACTTCAGTTCGACAGATAGTCAGTCGGGGCAAGTCAGCGATAAACCGTTCCTGCCAATTCGGAGTTGATTTTGTAGCGCGCGCGTACCAGCAGCAAAACACAGCTGCATCCTTGTGTGTGTGTTTTTTTTTCTGCTGTTTTGTTACGTCCCCTGTTCGGCGACGCCACTGGCGATTGAAGGCAGAGGCAGCGACTACTGCTGCTAGCTTCATAGCTGGCTGGCTCTGGCACTGGCTGTTTGGCTGACTGCCTCGCTGTGGACAGAACGAAAGACAGGCGGCAACTAAAGCGGCAGTCGCAAGCGAAATTGTTTAATACAAAATACAAATTTAAATACAAATACGGCAGACGACGCTCGACGACGTAAAATACACAACTATAATAATAAAGTATAATATACACAATAATAATAAAAACACTGCAACGAACACTGAGAGCGCCACCAGCAGCGGAGAAACGTTTTTTGTTTTTTTTTTTTGGTGAAAAAAAAGAAGAAGCAAAAACCCAAAGGTAAGCACAGCCACAGCAGCTGCATTCGCATACGAGATACGAATATTCATTCGTTCGCATTCGCATTCGAATTTCGCATTCGCATTGGCCTCTGGGCAATCAAACCAAGCAAGCAACCCAACCGTCTACGACTTCGACAGCAAACTGCAGCAGCTGAATGATGTTATGTTTTAGTTGTTAGTTGTGCAAAATACACTTTTAATTCGTTTCGTGTTATCGTATAATTCTTCATTTTTTTTTTTTTTTGTTTGACCATTTTCTCAAAATACAGTATATGAAAAGAAATTTCGTTGCCCCGTTTCGCCTTTATGGTGGTAGTGTGTGCGTGTGTGTGTGTGTATGTGTGTGCGTGCGTGTATGTGTGTTTGTGTGCCTGCCTGTGTGAGTGTGTTGTAGCGAGTCGCTTCTATATGTATTTGTGTACATGGATTGTGTGACTGTGTGTGTGTGTGTGTGCGAAAGACCGACAACGCAGCGACGACTATTAAAAAGAACCCGACTGACTCTGTTGGTTGGTTGAACGACAGCGACTGCGACTCAACTGCTGCGGAGAGTAAAATTCGATTTGGCTGTGCCCTGAAAAATTGCAAATTGCAAACGAAATGTGATTATCGGTGTTGTTCAAACAAAACTAAAAAAAAAAAAAAAATGCTAAGAAATTGACGAAAGTAGACAGTGAAATAATTCAATTATAAAATAATAATTACAATTGGTGGTGTGCATGTAGAAATGTATTTACATACATATATATATATATATAAATATATATAAATTTATATGTATTTGTATGTGTATATAGCTGTTCAGCATACGGCTCTCATTTTTTGTAAAAACGTTTTAACTGTAATGCTAATTTTTGCTCTTCTTGCGCGTTTGTCTTCGAGCAAATAACACCTCCTACATAAAATATCTCCATCTCTTCTCTTCTTCTACTTTCATGCCAACGTTTCGCCGGCGATGAACCACAAAAACGACAACAACAACATCAACAATGGCTATATCAATAATAACAACAACAACAAAATAAATCAAAACCGCACCGATATCGATAACAGTAGCTGTGGGTTAACCGATAGATCGAGCGAACCAGACGCTAAACAGCGAACCAGAGCCAAAAACAGTGAACAACATTAACAGCAACAGCAACAAGACCTGCAACAACAGCAACAACATTAAATATATATATATATATATATATATCGAGAAGTCGAGAAAAATAAAAGAATAAAAATGTCAAACGGCAAGGCGACAGCGTTCTTTGAGAACGGCAGCACGACACAGTTCGAGTACTGCTACAAACTGTATCCACAGGTGCTCAAGATGAAGGCGGAGAAGCGCAGCAAGAAGCCACAGGAGCTGATCCGTTTGGATCAATGGTTCCAGAACGAACTGCCCGGTCTGATCAAGGCGCGAGGGAAGGACGCCCATTTGGTCTACGATGAGCTTGTCCAGGCCATGAAATGGAAACAGTCTCGAGGCAAATTCTATCCACAGTTATCATATTTGGTTAAAGTGAATACGCCACGCGCCGTCATCCAGGAGACAAAGAAGGCGTTCCGCAAGTTACCCAATCTGGAGCAGGCGATCACAGCTTTATCGAACCTCAAGGGTGTCGGCACCACAATGGCATCCGCCCTGCTAACCGCCGCCGCCCCCAATTCCGCACCATTTATGGCCGATGAGTGCCTGATGGCCATACCAGAGATCGAGGGCATCGATTATACGACCAAGGAGTACCTCAATTTTGTGCAGCACATCCAATCGACAGTCGAGCGCCTCAATGCAGAGGTTGGCGGCGACACGCCGCACTGGTCGCCACATCGCGTCGAACTCGCTCTGTGGGCGCACTATGTGGCCAATGACCTCAGTCCCGAGCTGCTCGATGATATGCCCCCGCCAGGCAGCGCATCCGCCGCCAACAATACGAACGGCAGCACCCTCGGCAAGAACAGCAGCAAGGTCCTCGATGGCGAGGACACCAACGATGGCGTCGCCGTCGATGTCGATGATGAGAGTCTCGGTGCAGGTACGATTCCCAGTTGTAGTTGTGTTTCATTATTGTTCAATACTTTAGTTCAGTTGCTTCCTTAACTAATATTGTGATATGATTTTAAATAATTTATAAATTTGTTGTTGCTTCTTTTTGTTGTTGTATTTTGTTGCACAGGCGGCGGACGGAACACTGCAACCGAGTCGGAAACGGAGAACGAGAACACCAATCCTCCGATTGCCCTGGGCAAGAACAACAGTAACAGTAACAGCAACAGTAACAGCAACTGTAACAGTAACAGTAACAATAATAACAGTAACAGCAACAACAGCAACACTGCCGCCTTACAACAAGATGGCGACTCGAACTTTGTGTCGAACGATTCCACCTCACAGGAGCCGATCATTGAGGATAATACCACACAGACCACGGCCACCACCACATCGACAGATGATGGTGAGCCGATTGGTGGTGCTGGCACTCCACTCGCCTCCGACTCGGAAAGTAATCTCGAGGCGCCGCTCAAGAGTCGCTTGACGGGATCAGCAGCAGCAGCAGAAGCAGCAACGGCAACGGCAACAGAAGGAGCAGCAGCCGCCGCAGCAACAGCAGCTGAACAGACAACACACAACAACAACAAGCAGATCAATAAAAATGGAGCAACTGCAACAGCAGCTGCAACTGTTGGAGCAGCTAATGGTAATGGTAATGGAACCGCTGCCGGGAATGGTGTGCTCTCTGCGTCGTCAGCTGCAGCAGCGGATGATGATGTGGACGATGACGAGGAGGACGACGATGATGATGATGATGAGGATGAGGATGAAAATGAGGACGATGAGCTAGAGGCTGATGAGAGTAACAGCAGCAGCAGCAATTTGCGGGCTAGTAAATTGCAGCAATTGACAGTTGCAGCGACGGCTGTGACTGCTGTGGCGCCATCTATTGGACAGAAGCGCTCGGCGCTCCAAAGTGACATGGAGTCAAATACAAATTCGAATGTGAATATTGGTAATGCCACTGCTAATGCTGCTCCTGCTGCTGCTGCAGATGGTGAAGAAACTGCGCCGGAGCTGAAGAAACTGCGCAGCGACTGAGCTGCTGACCGTTAGCCGCCCGCACCCGGGTTAGACAGGAGGGGGAAGGGGGTGGCGGGGGCGATGTAGAGGGAGATGGGAGAAGGCCCCCACTCCCCCAGCCCGCCCGCTATCCCTCCCCCAAAACGTATCTGGTGGAAAGACATAATGTATGTAGTGCAGTTGAGTCCGACATTGAGAGAGCAACATTACCTACACTTTGCCACAACAACATTCAAGAAATTTTACTATTAAGCAAACTAATTATACATATAATATATAATATATATATATACAACAACAAAAACAAACAAAAAAAAGAAGCATATAACGAGAAGCAGCACACACACACACATCCATTTACCCATACCAACTACAACAACAAACACACCACACACACACAAACAAAACGTAACATAATAAAGGAGAACGAAGAAGAAGCACCAGCAGCACTTAATATGCTAGCATAACATAACGTAACATAGGCATAACAGCAGGAGCAGCAGCAACACCAGCGGAAGACCCATAACAGAGAGAACAAGAAAACCCATTTCACTAACTAACCAACACACACAAACACACACATACACACACAAACACACATATATATAGATACTTAGGAGCATAGTGCGAGCGCGAATTAAATGAAGTTTAAGATGCAAATTGAGTATAAATGATAGCGATGGATGTTGGATGATGAAACGATGATAATTGATAAATGAATAAATTTATAATTGATATATATGTATATATATATATATATATATATATATATATATATGTGTATATATATTGAGAAATAGCCAGATGGAGTCCCCAATTGCGTGAACAAAAAGCAAATCTATAGTAACTAATAAATCAGAAGCAAATTGATATTTTTACACAGTCAAATGAAAAAATCGAAAAGAGATGAAAAAAGAGAAACCAACATTTAAATATATAAACAATTTACAAATGCCGCAGTTGCCCACTACATACAAGAAACGGATGATAAAAACAATAATTATAATAAAAGTAATTTATATAAGTATTTAAATTTAACAATAAATCAAAACTTGTCGCATAAACTCAAAACTCAAAGGCCGATTCAACGAGCGATTGATCAAAGAATCAAGAATGAGGAATGGAATGGAATGGAATTGATGAACACACCACTCCTTCACCTCATCGTCCTTCGCGGACTATTGCTACTATTCAACACACACGCTCTCCTATCTCTTTCACACACACGCACACTCGCACTAAGAACACAAGAAATTCACATGCACCACAATCATGGAGCAGACACAACAACAAAACCAATCAACAAAAAATACAAACACTCATCTAAAACAATTTTTTGTGGTCGTAATTGTAATAATATAATTTATAATTTATGTGTACGACTATTTTTTTTTAATATTGAAATACTATATATAATACTGAATTTTTTATAATTTATACGATAATATTTTTTCATTTGAATTAACAACTAAATTTAATTAATTTGGCGCTGATCTACAATTATCCATTGGAGGCAGCATATGATGCATTTTTTTTTACGTTTTACGCTGCTTCCATTTTCAACTGGAACCGAGACCGATCCAAATTCTTCTAGGACACCATCTCAACATTATATTCATCATTTTAATTAGTAGCATAAGTCCAAATAAATTGTGAAACATTAAGAGTACACCCCCAAAACAAGATCCAAACCAATGAAACCTCGTTAAAGTACCATTCGAATGAACTTATCAATTTTCTAATCCAGGCTTTTAGTTTTCTTTTTTAATATTTCGCAAGCGCCTCGCTCAGCCAGTCGTTATATGCTAGATGACGGTAATCGACCGGCCGCCACAAATATCGACTTATTGTTGGTGAGCTGACTAGTCAATGAAGAGTTCGTGAGAACTGATTAATCGAATATGCGCATCCTATTGGTATGCTGCAAATGCAAAACAAAAATACTGCCGATGCTATCGATTGGCAATATTAAATATCGCAAACAAATATATCGGAACATTGATATCATATCAGCATCCATATTTTGGTATTTTGTTATTTATTTATTCACTTGAAGAGAGAGTGGGAGAGAGGGAGAGCAAATAAATAATTAGCATTGCTCCCAGGTGCCCAAACACAGCGATGAAGTGCGGTGCAATACTCAGCGTACTCAGCCACATTCTTAGCTAGGCAATGTGACTGACTATGCGACCAAAACGGCAGAAAAACGCTCCAGCAACAGCAACAACAACAACACTCCACTAACAAATTCTCGAACTGTGTGCAACGCATGCACACACGCACACTACAAACAAACACACACGCACACTACAAACAAACACACACGCACACTATAAACAAACACACACACACATATACACCCACTTTAAATCTGTGGCCGCTAAAGAAATTCGGGGGATAAGGACAAGGACAAGGACACTGATAAGGGAACAACGGCCCCGGTTTGTGGAATACAGACACACACACACACAGATAGTGTAAGCCATGCTGCTGGTGCGTCAGCTGTTTGGCTCCTCCTCGAATTCGTGGGTGCGAGCACTGATTATATTCGTGCTCGCCTGGGCCGTTCTCGTCTATGTGTTCGTCCTCAAGCTGACAAGCACCCAGTCACAGCAAGGACATCAGGGCTCGCAGGCGTACGCTGCCAATAGCAATGAGAACGAGCTCAATGCCCGACGCATCAATCAAGCCCTGCAACTGTTGGAGCACACGGAGCGACGCAACGAGGAGCTCAAGCTGCTCATCGATGAGCTGATGAGGTGAGTGAACAGAGTAACAAAAGCCAAGTAACACCTGCTGCAACTGCTCGTTGCGCACGCAAATTATGTATTCCTTCATATTTATGCAGTTCCATGCATCCTCCAAAACCCACAGCCAATAACCCCAAGTAGGCCATAAGCTGCTTTCATCTGATCCCCACCCACCCGCCGCTCCACTTCACACCTGCCTGCTCATATAATCCACTATCTCCCATAAGCTTCCTCCTCCAGCTCTTCCTCCTCCTCCCATAATCCTCAACCCATTAATGCGACTATTCATATGCAAAAAAAAAAAAAAGAAAAAAAAAAGAAAAGGCATGTCGAACTTTAAATACCCTCGCACAACATCTCAATATATATTGATCAATACATAGATATGTACTATAATATATATATATTACAATATATATATATATATATATATATAAGTAATATATAACTTACAATAAGAACTAATTAACTTACTTCAATTGAGCACAATCGTACTGAACTTATCCCAAAAACAGATAATTTGGAATTAATTTAAAAAGCATATTATATACATATATATAGATAAATCTATAGATATGCTATAGATGCCTTCCACAGAAGATAAGATATGGCGTTGCACACTTGATGATGTTTGCAGCATACCCCACCAACTGATGAATACCCTTTCCATAATTTGGAATTCTCCGTCACGCTCGATGTTTGCTCTTTGCATTTGACACGCTGGCGACCAAAGAATCAACGAATGACATATGCATATATATATGTATATGTATATATATATATATATATTTGTATTAATTCGTTCACATCTGATTGTGTTGTCATTGTTGATGTTGTTGTTCTATATGCTATATATATAAATATATATATATATTTATATATATGTATACATTTTACAGCGAACAGCTGGATAAGCAGAGCTCACTGAAGCTAATCGAGAGACTGGAGAGCGATGCACACAATCCGAAGAACTCGCACGGCGATCCCTTGGCAGAGGATTCGCTGTTTGAGGTTGTGATGCCCGGTGGCGGTGGCGTTGGCGAGGCGGACGCAGCTGATCGACTGGAGGATGCTGCGCAGAGCGGGCTCAGCGGGCAGGCGGGCGTTGAGCCGAGCTTGGAATACGAGCTGACGCGTCGTCGCATCCAAACGAACATTGTCGAGATCTGGAGCTACTTCAGCAGCGAGCTGGGCAAAATTCGTAAGCTGATCGGGCCGGGCAATGCGGAGCTGGACGAGTCCATTAAGCAGGTGCTGTTGCAGGGTGCCGAGCACAAGCGTTCCCTGTTCAGCGACATGGATCAGTTGCGTCGCGTCGACGGCTATGAGGCGTGGCGCCACAAAGAGTCACAGGATCTTAGTGATCTTGTCCAGCGGCGACTGCATCATCTCCAGAATCCCAGCGATTGCACCAATGCTCGCAAGCTGGTCTGCAAGCTCAACAAGGTCATCATTCATACCAGACAAGCTGAACCTAATCCCTGTTACATCATCCGCACGTGCATTTCTCTCTCTCTCTCTTTCTGTCTCTTTCTGTCTCTCATACTTTTGCTTTCGGTTCTTCCATAAATAATTCTGTATTACATCTGTATATATTCAAACGCTCTCCAGAGACGGGTTTGGTTTTAACACACATATTATTCATTTGCATTCATCTGCATGCTCCTCGAGTATCAAAGATTTGATGTCTTTCGGTTTACTTAACTATTTTATCTGCATTTCTCATTGTTTGCCACTTGGTTATTTTCTTTCTGCACTCATTTCTATAGCTGGCTGGTTGCATGCTCTCTTAAATCTTTCCATTATTGTTTCACTTTCTCTTTAATAGCGAATGTTGTTTTCCATTTTTTTTTTTTGTTTTCCATTTTCTTCCTTTGTTGCATCCTTAAACGTTGCACTGGCAATTTAACTGTTTAATATCGATCTGTTTATTAGCTCGATTTGTGTAATTTACTGTCTGGTTCGGTTTGGTTGTCTTGCAGGGATGTGGCTATGGCTGTCAGCTGCACCATGTGGTCTATTGCTTCATTGTTGCCTATGCCACGGAGCGCACTCTCATACTGAGGTCGCGGGGCTGGCGCTACCACAAGGGTGGCTGGGATGAGGTGTTCCGTCCAGTGTCGGATAGCTGCCAAGATCCGGGCATATCCTACGCTTACAATTGGCCCGGCAAGCCCAATACTCAGGTGCTAGTTTTGCCAATCATTGATTCACTAATGCCGCGTCCACCCTACTTGCCACTGGCCGTGCCGGAGGATCTGGCGCCGCGCCTAAAGCGACTCCATGGCGATCCGATTGTCTGGTGGGTCGGTCAGTTCCTCAAATATCTGCTGCGTCCCCAGTCAGCGACGCGCGATTTCCTCAATTCCAGCATGCGCAAACTGGGCTGGGAGCGTCCCATTGTGGGGTAAGCATCATCATTGTCCACTCGATTCCCTCTCCGATTTATGTTTATTTTACTTCTCCCATTTTCCAGGGTACATGTGCGTCGAACAGACAAAGTGGGCACCGAGGCGGCGTTCCATGGCATTGAGGAGTATATGACGCATGTGGAGGATTATTATCGAACGATGGAGGTCAATGGCAGCAGTGTGGTGCGTCGCATCTTTCTCGCCTCCGATGATGCGCGCGTGATTGAGGAGGCGCGCAAAAGCTATCCACAATATCAGATCGTTGGCGATCCCGAAGTGGCACGGATGGCGGCTGTATCCACACGGTATACGGATACCGCGCTAAATGGTATCATACTCGATATCCATTTGCTGTCGATGTCCGACTATTTGGTGTGCACGTTCTCCTCGCAGGTCTGTCGCGTTGCGTACGAGATAATGCAGACAATGCATCCGGATGCGGCATATCGCTTTAAATCGCTGGACGACATTTACTATTACGGCGGGCAGAATCCGCACAATCGACGTGCCGTCATTGCGCACAAGCCGCGCACCCATGAGGATCTACAACTGAAAGTTGGCGATCTCGTTTCGGTTGCGGGCAACCATTGGGATGGCAATTCCAAGGGCAAAAATACGCGCACCAATCAGGGTGGACTCTTTCCATCCTTCAAGGTGGTCGACAAGGTCGAAACGGCCAAGCTGCCCATCTACGAGGGCGTCTAATCCGCACATTGACCATCCATCTGTCCATCCCCAACTCCATCGCTTGAATGTCTGAATCTCTTTTAGCTCCACTCACATTCCATGTGAGCGCAGCCACCGCCAATCCCCCCTCCATTCCACTTCTCCCCCTCCACCCCACACCCCCTACCAATCTCACTAGAAGACACGTGGTACTTTCAAAATTCTCGTATAGAATGCTCGAATCTCTAATTTCGAATCTCACGAAGCCAACAGCTAACAAAATCAATTTCTATGCATTTTCGAAAGCCGAAGAAATTACACAAAACAAAACAAAACAAAATTAAAAATAAAATTAAATGAATAGTATATGTTGACAAGAAGAAGAAGAAGAAGAATATACATATAGAGAGAGTCTCTACATATGTACATGTGGCGTATGTATGTGTGTATATACAGTATATATTTATGTCTAATATATAGAAACTATGTTTAAGCCTGCAAGTAGTGTTCAAGTACGCGCAATATAGATTATCCTTTGTAACATAGACAAACAAACAAACAAACCAACAAAAACAACTAAAACACACAAAAATTATGAGAAATAATAAATAGTAAAGTTTTAATTTACGAACCTGATTGTTAAACTCAATTTTGATACTATATTTTTATTGATGGCATGCAGTTTGATGGTGCTGCTCCTTGTGATCCTAGCACGCTATGTCCATTTCAAAAACAATTAATCTCTTCGCCCATAAATAGTCCTTATCGTGTCAAATCGAAAAGCAATGTGTCAAACGACTCGTGTCCTAGCTAGAGCTTAAAGCTAGTCAATGTACATCCAAGCGGTCCTTGAATGCAGCTCGTTAGCGGAACACTTCACGATTCCAACACAACTTGTTCTTCGAACTCCCTGCCTGGAAATGTCCGAGTTATAGTTATTTTTCTAAAAAGTACATTGGTTTTTCAGCCATAACTTGGTCATATCCTTGAGGATCTCACAAACAATATATATATTGGTAGGCACATAGAATTAAGGACTATTGATTTGCATTCAAGGATTTTCTGGATTCGTGAGATAAATTTGGCCAATGTGGTTTCCGAGAAAACAAGAATTTTCGGACTTCGACTCATAAGCCTTCGCGAAGAGTGAAAATGTTCCCAAGTGTTTGGGTTCACAGCTGACCCCATAATCCTTCAATGCAGTCCGATACTAACACACAATCTCCTTCGAAAAACTATAAGGATTTGGCATAGTTGGAGCTATTTGTTAATAATAATAAATTGCCCCAACTATTTTATGCAGCCTACAAGTATGCTTTAAAACTTTCACATTTTATTTGCAGCCCGAAAAGTAGGCAATAGTTTTGATATAGTTTGAGAACATCACTTATCTTTGCATTTGTTAGTGAATATTTGTTGACAATTGGATAATACATACAGAGATCAACTGCATTCAAGATATATATATATATATATATATATATATATATATATATATATATATATATATATATATATATATATATATACTTTTGCATGTGTGTATATACAGATAAATATATAAAGTTAATCCTTTTGTGACATAGGCAAACACACACACAGACTATGTGAGAAGTGGCAGAAGTCAAGATTTAATTAGAAAACCTGAATTAAACTGAACACACAATGTTATTGAACTGCATTGATGAAGCTTGCGGCTTGCGGATGAATATCGATTGCTATTTTGAACCTTTGGCGCCAGGTTCATTTAAATGACCCGAAGAAGAACCGGTGAAAGTGCACCCAACCGGATGATTTGTATGCAAAATGCTGAGTCACTTGGAGTCAGCAGCCAGCTGCCAGTAGCCGCAGGAATGCGACCACAATCGTCACAAGCAAGAATGCCTACATCAAAAATTCCCAAAAATAAAAAATAAAGGGAGAAAAAATCCACGCAAAAGCGAAAACGAACGTGATAAGCCCCGCTCAAAAAAAAAAAAGTTAAGTACATGGTATATAGTATATAAATTAAAGCAGATCAGAATATTATTTGTATGCGTAATGTAATTAAGCACTTAATGAACGGCAGGGAAGTCGCTGCAAACACACAAAAAAAAAAAACAAAGTCAACAACAAAAAGCGGCCAAACAGGCAGCTAGCTGTGCCGTTAAACCGGCATGAGGCGCCAAAAGGAGCGCAATGTGTATGCATGTATGTGTGTATGCATGTATGTATGTACGTCTGTATGCATTGGACAAGGTCAAGTTGAGCTCAACGCGACGCCCGTTCGATAAGCCGTCTCACACGGCCATCGGCATCGGCATCGGCTTTGTGATAACACAAGCCGGAGAGCAGCTGAGTGTGTATAAAACATTGGCACGTCAACTCAATCAGCAGCACTTGCGGACTACCAGCCCAACAAATCACATCCGAATTCCAAAATCCAACAGCAATTTAAACATGTCGCATTTCAATGTTGCCGCTCTGCTTGCTTGCGCCGTCGTCTGTCTGCTCGCAGCCAGCCACCATGCACAGGCAGCCGTTGCACGCGCCAACTTCAGCAATCCCAGTGAGTATACAGCAAAAGGGCATCGATAGCACAGATCGATAATTCTGATAATTCGATAACTATTTGCAGCTTATCCCGGCAAGTGTGTGGTGACCTCGGATGTAATTATGTCGCCCGGACAGACGGGCAAGGCGCCCAATCATCCTTGCGCCAGCGTCACCTGCATGGATAACGGTCACGTTGAGTTCCACACCTGTGCCGCCGTTGCGCCACCCAAGGGCTGCAAGCAGCGCGACTTTGTCAACACCAATCGCAGTTTTCCCGAATGCTGTGAGCGCGCCTACGATTGCAGAAAGTACATTTAAATGTCTATCGTTATCGATTTGTATTTTTGTTTTGTTTTTTTTTTTTTTATTTATTTTGTATACTACAACATAACAATTAAAAAGTAAACGCTTAGCAATATAATTAAATAATTTAATAAAATCATTAACAGAAAATACATATGCACCTATGTACGTTTGTTGCTTTCATTATGTATATATAGGAGGCGGAGGCGTGGGCAAAATGCCTAAACGGTTAACTACACTACTTTTTTACTCATAGATTTGTGTGTACATCATCTGTACATGTGTACATATGTTTATATGTGCATTTGGATGTTGTTGTCTTGTGCCTATGCTTTTCGTGTTTCTCGTTGTTGTTGTTGTTGTTGCTTTGGGCAATTCTATTTGCGATTTTCTTATGTAACACTGTTCAATGAACCCAAAGCTTCTGTCTTATACACATATGTATTTATTTAACTATGGGATTGCCCGCGCATAATCAGATCATAATGTGAATCGAATGGACAAAAAATCAACAACAAAAAAACCGTTGTTATTGCTATTTCCGTTTTGATACGTTTTTTGCATGTCGTTTTGGTGTCTCTATTTTGTTTTGTTTAGTAATTGCTTGCGAATTCTCGTGTGTGTGTGTGTTTATATGTGCATGTGTTTGTTTGTATGTGTGTGCGTGTGTGTGGTCCGCCTTCTATCGACTGAGATTGTTAATGTAGAGCGCATGGAGCTCGGTGCGCGGAGTATTTTCGAACAGGGCGGCACGATTCTGGCCCTCGCCCTTCTTCACCCAATGACCGTAGACGCGGAAGGCGCAGCCATCGATAACCTGTAAGCGATCGATAAGCGGATAAGTTTGGATAAATACCAATTTTGCATTTGCAGTGTTGCATTTTTTTTTTTTGCAGAACTCACCTTGCGCAGCACCTTGACGCGATAAGGATCGCGTATTGCCTCCTCGATCTGCAGCGGCTCGGCGGTGTAGCGCAGGCGCCGTATCCGGATAACAGCTCGTATCACTAATATGGCAAATTGGAACTTTTTGCGAGCATTGAAGCGACTTTGTTTCCGCAGCTAAACATATAAAAAAAAAGAAAAGAAAAAGAAACACACACACAAATGCCAAAGGGGGCAAATTAGTCAAACAAAATCACTTGAAAATTATCTAAGATTTTTTTTATTTTCTGTAAGTTTTAGTCCATATGCCATGGGTTAATATGGTTAAAATGGTTCTTCAAAATATAGCAGCACTTCGATACAATTATGTTTGTATATGTATGTATGTGTGTGTCGGGTTAAACACTTTACATTTCACATTTGACGGACGCATCGAAGAAAAGTGCAACTCAACTGGCGCTACAAACAAGACAATGAGTGTGTGTGTGTGAGTTCGTGTGTGCGTTTGTGTATGTAAGAGGGGCTTGGATTAGTTAGACGAGGCTGTTATTTGCATGCTGTTAATGCACATTTAACATTCCTCTCTCATGACAGAGAGAAAGAGAGAGAGAGGGCAACAATTGACCAACTATCTGCATCTGTGTGGGAATGTGAGAGCGTATGTAGGTATTTCTGGGTGTGTTTGTGTGAAGCTAAGAACAAAATATTAGGATATAAAAATCAAAAGCGTGTGTAGTAAGTAGGCAATGTAAATGTTAAGTCAAAACTGTAAATAAGTATTGGTATTGGGCTAGTAGTAAGCGGACAATTGAGTTATTGAGAGCGTGTGCGGAACGCACTCAAGGACAAAAAACACACATGTCTGTATGTATATATGTATATAAAATTAGATAAAGAAATGCTTAACTATGGCTTAAATGTATATATGTAATACTGGTAAGGTAAATGTAAAATGTAAATGCAACAAAATGTTTGCTTTTTTCGCAGTTTTACTTTGGTTTACTCACAAGGGAGTCTCCACAACACCGACTTATAGACACACATCTTATAAGGGCGTTGAGACTCTGACAATATAGAGAACATGATACACAAAACAAAACGTGTATATTAATTCATACAGAGGAGAAATTAAAAACAGAACAAAAAACATCGTCAGTGAAATATTGGTAAGCGTAATTTTCTTAATTTTTCTTATTTTTTTGATTTCAATCTTTCATTTTGGTTTTTAATCATATTATATTTTTGTAGATAGGTTTGTGGAATACGTGGAATATGCTCAGAAATGCACTAAATTCCAACAAATAACAATCATGCAAATACATAACATATAAATACATATACGACACAGAGAGAGAGAGAGCTAGATGGAGAGACAGAGACAGAGGACGAGCGGAAACTACAAAAGCAATAATGAGTGAATTAGTTACAAATAAGTAATAATAATACTACTTGAAGTTGAATACCACACACACAAATTGAACGTCGAAAGCGTTGTTTATTTTGTTCACTGCATACATTTGTAAAAATCCAGATATACCAAAGATAAATATTTAATGTATTTATATATACTACATACTATAAAGGTGCATATAATACAAACAGTTCGTTTATTATTTCAAATACGACTAGAAACAGCTAAAAAATATAATTAATAAATAAGTGTAACAATAATCAAATTTTTTATATTCATTTTTTTTTTCAATCCAATGTATCCATGTGCCAGGGTAGCAATAAATACATATGTATATAACCACCAATTCAGGAATGTACGATATATTGAAAGAGTAAGAGAGAAAAGGCGAGAGATCGAGAGAGAAAGAAAGAGAGAGAGAGGTTGATTCATTGAACCCTGGCTACATGGATACAACATTTACGGTGCTTGAGATTGAATGGAATGAGTGGTATTGAAATGTGAAAAGTGAGGTGAGTATCTTTTTGAGTGTTTTTTTTTTTTGTTACGCCGCTTCCACTGATAAATGAGTGAGTGAGTGAGTGTGTGTGTGATTGATGGCTGCATCTCAGATGAGCACGACGATGACGATGATGCTAGGAATATGAACATGAATGTGAATATGAATATGCACTAGATCCAAATAACTAAGAAGCACTAAGAAAAGAATATGGTGTACAAACTAAATAGATACGTGAACATAAAAGAAAACAAAGGAAAAACCTGCCTGCTCTGATGAATTTAATAAATGTTTTGTATTTGCATTTGCCGCACTCTCATAATTATCAAGCTGCTGCTGCTGCTGCTGCTGCCGTTCTTGTTGTTTTTGCTGCTTCTGTTGTTGTTGCTGCTGCTGCTGCTGTTGCTGCTGTTGTTGCTGCTGCTGATAGTAAACTGTTGCCGTTAGCGTCATGGAGGAGGTGGAGTTGGGCGATGTTATTGCTGTTGTTGTCTCCAATTTTGGTTGTTGTTGTTGTTGTTGTTGCTGCTGCTGTTGCTGCTGCTGCTTCGGTTTGTCAGCGTCTGGCGTAAGGTGGCTGCTGCTGCTGCTGCTAGCGGCGACGTCGCGCAGTCGATTCGATGAATACGAACTTTGAGGCGCTCTGCAGTATATATAGGATGAGGAGGAGCCGCTGTTGCTGCCAGCGTTGCCACTGTTCAGCTGATCATAGCGAAAGGCGGGCTGCGGGAGACGGGAGCGTGCACCACCCATATTGATACCGCTACCGCTACCGATAGTTGGATGATAATTGAGGTATGTTCTTGTGTTTTCGCTCATTAGAACCTAATTTGTGTTTAAATTACGGATACACGTTTCGAGTGATTTGAGAGAGATTTTGTTTTTGTTTTTTGGCAGAGAATGCAGGCAGCGGATTTTGTGGATGGTTTGGGGTAGTTTGGAGATAGGGAAAACGCAAAGAAAATAATGAAGAATCAAAATTGTAAATATATATGTGTAAGGGTTAAATCAAATGAACAAGTCGTCCACACACAATAAACATATATGTATATATAAATCATAGAAAACCATAAGTAAATACCTAATATCGTTTAAAACCTAGCTCAACTTAAAATACAATTCTTAACTCATAGCGCGCCTAAAGTATGCATACATACATATACATATATATATATATATATATATATATATATATATATATATATATATATATATATATATATATATATGTATGTATGTATGTATCTCTCATTTTATATGCACCTTTTTCTTTGTTGTTGTTGTTTTTGTTGTTGCTCGCTAATCGTAGCAGCAGACGCACACATGCACAGTATAAGAGCACATATGCATAGACATATGTGTATGTGTATGTGTATGTAGACAGTAGGTGTAATATGTAATTGCTTATGCTAGACAGAGATGGCATGCTTCGAGCGGCTGCTGCTGCTACAGTTAATGTTATCGTTATGGGCAGATACATTGTATGTAAATCTAGAATCGCAACGGGACAACGAAAACAAATATGCAGATAGACAAGCAAAGATTTATATGATTGTTGTTGTAATCGTTGTTGTTGTATAAACAGCATTAATTTGGATTAAAAATGAGGCAATCAAATAATAATCAATCAGATAAATTAGAAAATGCATAAAATGTAATTTGTAAATGGCACAAAAATGCTGGAATGCAACGCGAGCTAAATAACGATAACGAGCACGAACGATAACGATAACGATAACTATACGTCGATTATACAACACACACAAACAAGAAGACACATAGCGTTAACATTGAGATCGCATCGGATCTGAACACAATGCCATGTATATATAGATATATATATATATATATAGTAAAGGTATATATATATATATATATATATATAGTATGTATGTAGGATAACACAAAATGCAACAAATGTGATATATTTGATGTTTCTTTTCTTTTATTATTATTAATAGTAGTTTGCTGTTGCTGATACACAATAATAATAATTGAAGTAGTAATAGTGGTGGTAGTGGTGGTAGTAGTAGTAGTAGTAGTAATTGTAATTGTAATAGTAGTATTTGTTGTTCTTGGGGGTTAGTCCAGAAATAATTCGTTACCAGTGCGATTTCAGTGATGCGACTCATTCTTCTGGACTTGGTCGACAGGCTGCGCTTGAGGCCATCAATGTTTTGCTCGAACAACTTTATTATTGTTGTTGTTATTGTGATTTGTATTATTAATTATTAATAATATTTGTAAAGAGTTTGAAACATTTCGTTTTCGTTTTCGTTTTCGGATTTGGAATCGAATTCGTATTCGTGTGTTTCGATATGGTAAAAATAAACGGATTTTTTTTTTGTTTTTTTTCAATAAATTTTGTATATGTAAGAAAAAGAGAAAAATGTACGTATATAATAGTATTTAAATAATAAAGAAAAAAAAAACCAGAAAAAAAAAACAACTAGTGTTAAGTATGCTTAACTAAATGCAAATCATAGGAAATAGAAACAGGTTTATTTATATATTAAGTGGCTACTGAAAAAAGCTCCTGGAACTACAGTGATCACTCAGAAATTGTAACCTCTCACGAATTATTACTCATTAAATTAATCAAAATACTATAGAAATACAAATAATAACTATTTTTTCCAAATATCTTTTTGATATTTTTAATTGGTTTTTTCCAATATATACTTTTAAATTTTGTAAAGAATCGATTCATTTGCCGAGTGTTCACTGTAGCTGAACTATGGGGGTTACCAGAGTTCAACTGGCAAACACTTAAGGGCGTATTTAAAATAGGTATTTAAATAGTGTAGCATATAAAATAAAGCTGTTAATTGTGGCTTGTAAAAATATGTGAGTCACAATTGTGTGTTTGTGTGTGTGAGAGAGAGTGTGGGGGGTGGGTCTAGTGGTATTTGCGTGTAGCTCCGGTTAAATGGATATGGAGCCTAGACGCGGAACTAGGTAATTATTACTACAGTTTTAGATAATTGATTCATAGATAATCTACAAGTTGAGCTTGAACGAAATATGGAGACTTTCCTGGAGCGGGTATAACTCTAAGAATAATCTATAATAGTGCTGGGCGTGTGAGGATCATAAGAATATATATATATATAAATATAAATATAAATGTAAATATAAAGCACAGCTTGGTGGTGGTGGTTGTAATGTACAAGGTGTTTGTTTTTAGTGGGTGGGTGCGCTAGCAAGACCTGAGACTCCACACTAAACTTGAAATTGTAACTCTAACTGGACTCTAAACGCTACGACTAGAATATAACTGTATATCTGAATATATATATATAGATATATGTATATAGTAAGTATTGCTTGGTGGGTTTCCGGTCGGGTCACTTACCATTTGATTGAAGAATGGATGTCTTAATACTTCCTTGACAGTGATACGTTGCGCAGGATCAACGACTAGACATTTGCGTATCAGATCTTTGGGATCCTCTGCAAAAAAGGAAACCAAAAACAATTAGTGGATGTGGTTGGGGTATATATTGATGTGTGGACTCACCTGAAATATCGGCCCACTCGGGCGATGTGAAACTGTACTTGCCCTCCATGATATTGCGCAGCATGACCATCTGTTTGCGATGCCAAAAGGGCGGACAGCCAACGAGCAGCGTGAACATGATGACGCCGCAGGCCCAGCTGAGTACCGAGAGATTCCAACATAAAACGATACAAATATTAATAAAATAATATATATTTTGGTTGGCAGGGGGAAGTGGGAGGGGGGAGGGAGGGAGTATTATGCCTACATGTCCACTTCCTGCGAGTAGCCCGGCGAGCCCTCGAACATGTTGCACTTGAGCGTCTCCGGCGCCAAATAGCCCGGCGTGCCGCATAAATCTGTGTATGGAGAGAAACAGATGCTGATTAAATATATATATAAATTGTTTGAATTTATAGAGATCTCACAGAGAGTGATCTATCCTCGAGTTACAATTGTATTCCCAACAAGTCTATCCGCCATATAAAACAGTTAATAGATGTGCAATACAGAAACTCGAATATTCAATTATGAGCATATAGTTTCCAATAGTAAAGTGCAACATTTAATACCCTAAACGTTGCTAGTAAGTGGTTCATTAGCATGTCGGCGTCATATCTAACAAACAAGAGTTGATTAAGCTGATAATCAAATTTGGAATGTGAACATATATAGACCATATATACATCGTCTACTATACTCAATCAAAACATTGGAATTTTCTTCAATTTACATCTAATTAAGTATATATGCAAACATAAACATAAGCATAACATAAACCGATTGCTATGAGACAATAATTTTCCATTTGTTAATTTTTTTTTGATAATCTTGCCGAAAACGTTAACGTTTTGTTAACCAATAAGTATTTCCATAAGGAACACGCCTACTGGTTGTGGGATACTAGAGTATCAACTTGTCGAGAGGCTATTATGATTTTGTCAGACAATTAAAGATATCATAAAAATATATATATTCCTAATCAACATCTTTGTCCTTCTGCCGGAAACTAGTCTCTTAGTTTTAAAGATTTCTTGATGAAACTTCTTACTGCAGATCAGATTCCTATATCATACATCGGACGCAATGCGAGTTGCTATGTCGGAGTTGCTATGTTAACATTTGGACAACAAACAATAAACATCAGTCTGTTATATCATGCAGATATATAGTAATATTATAGTAAAATTGAGATAACAATTTGACTCCTATCAACAAGGGTTTCTTATCTTTGGCGAAGCCTTTCGCCCTTGCTTATTTATAATAATAAAATCTACTTTTATTAGACTACAGCTAGCCGTGTTGTTGGTGGTTCACCTGTAAGTTTCTCGCCGTCGTGCAGCTGCCTGGCGAAACCAAAGTCTGTGATCTTCACATTGTGATTCTCGTCGAGGAGTATGTTCTCTGGCTTCAGATCGCGATGAACGATGCACTTGGCGTGTATATACTCGACACCCTCGAAGATCTGTCGCATTATGGTGCGCGTCTTCTTCTCGGATAGCGTTACCACCGATGTCAGATAGTCGAAGAGTTCGCCCTTCGGGCACAGCTCGAATACGAGAAATACAAATGCATCCGATTCAAACACATCCTGCAAATCAACTGAAAACAAAAATGGAAAATACCAATGTAGAACATGATATGGAGATGGATATATAAAAAGGATACTCACTTATGTAGGGATGACCCATCACTTGGCGTAAAATTGAGATTTCCTGTCTGGTTGCCTCCAGCATATGATATGGATTCGTTTCGCCCGCCTCCGTTGTGGCGCCCAAATCAATGATTTTCGCAGCAAACTCCTTGCCCGTCTCCTTCTCAATGCAGCGCCGCACCGTCGAGCTGATGCCCCTATAAAATACAATCAGGAATAATCAAGGACTTACAATTGAAAGTGAATTTCATTTTATTGGATTTTTCCATTCACTGATTTTCCTTAAATCAATCGAAGTTGAAAATTCAAGGCTATTATAATATATAATGTCTGTTCTCGTTTAGCATATATAAATTAAGAATTTATATATGATTGTCCCGTCTCTAATCAGGTTTTAGTATGAATATTATTATGTTGTTGAACACTGTTTTGGCGCATGTTTGTTTTGGGGTAAACTAGAGATTTGATTTATCTCTCATTCCGATAAGATCTCGAGAAATGCGCATTTGCAGCTTACAGCTTTACGAGACAGTAATATCTGTTGTAATCTGATATGACATACCTATATAGATATATATCACCCGTCTCGCTCTCTCTCTCTCTCTCTCTCTCTCTTTTTCTCTGTATTACTCTAGTTAAAGTTCAATTGAAGGTTAATCAAGACTTTCGCCAGACTCAAAACTTATCCTAGTGGAGAGAGTACTATATATATATATATATTTGATGCCATGCTTTCTCTGTGGAGTCTCTTGAATCCAGTGGGGGGTTGAGTTCTACGCGACATTTCACACGTACGTACATTGGGAATTGAAGAACCCACTGTGTACTTTGAGTCATAGCCCAACAATTTGGCAATCCACAATGCACAAAATAATGAAATAAACAAAAGTTTAAAATTCTGCAAACGCGGCAGAACATGGCACCCCAAGTTTCAATGAGGCTTCAACAATGACACATAAATAGTGCACAATAAATAAATATGCATAATCTGTTCAGGCCGAACCAGCAAATGCCCTTTCTATCCATATCCTTGCGCATCCAAACGAAGGACCCGCCCCATCCACTGACTAACCTCAATTTATCTCACAATAATTGGCACAAATTTCAAGCACCTGTCTGACGAAATGACGTATTTTCGATATACTTTCATTATCCTGTTCGTGGAGCCACTTATGGTTTATTGTATATAAATATATATATGTATATATATATATATTTTTCTTCCGCATACCGCATTCCTATACATGAAGTATAGAGAAACCCGAACCATCAATGCATTTGCATTTGGTTTCCAGTTACAGAACTCTCAATTTAAGTTCTTTGAATAATGCTCCATTTGATATATTATCAAAAATATATATGTATATATCTATATATATATTTATACGTATTTAACTAATTTGGGATATTTGCTTACCTGCCCAAGATTTCTTTGGGTTCATATTTGGCATAGAAGCCCTTGGCCGCATCCTTATCGGGCAGCAGATCATCCTCCTCGTCCTTGGCCATTATATCTAGTGAAATTTTGGCGGCGTTCTCAGGCGTCGCTTAACAGTTTCCTCTTCCTCTTCTCTTCTGGCTCTGCTCGCTGCAGGTTATCCCTTTTTTGCAAGTTTGTTGCTGCTGTTGTCTGGTGTTTTTAAATGTAATCCAAATCCAAAGATTCCAATAAGAGACGACAGTTGAAGAAGAAGGAGAAGATGAAGACGACGACGACGAATATAATGCTGCTAACCCCCCCACCGTACTTTCTCTCTCGCTCGCTCTTTGGCGTATTGCTATTTTTATATATACAACAAAAAAAAGTGAAAAAATCAAACACGAAAACGACGCGACGCGATGCGATGCGATCAGTGCACGAATTGAATCTGTTCCGTTATGTGCCGACGACTCGCGACTGCGGTTGAGTTTTTCTTTGATTTTAATTACCAACAAATCGTTGACGTTGACGTCGACGTCGCTGCTGTTTGCTGATGTTGGGCCGGTGTTTTGCAGCACTCGCTGCTGCTCACTTTGTATAAGAAGAAGCGGATGAAGCAAATGTTGTTGTTGCTGTTGCTTCTGGTGTAGAAGTCAAATGTGGGCTGGTGCTGGTGTCGTTGCTGCTGTTGCTCTCTCATTCCCTCACAGCTGATGTGTTAGGGGCTCGCGGCTGATTTAATTAATAACGAATGCCAACTACAACAAATCGATTTAAAACAGAATAGAACGAAAAAAAAATATGAAAAAAAATCAAATCAAATGAAATAGAATTAGCATTCGGTTTCTATTTAGTACTTATGAATGATTACACAACGCGTGCTGGCCCAATTAATAATAAATGGCGACAAATGCGTTCCTAATCACACTCTTCCCCCTAATCCCTTCTCCCTCTCTCACTCTCTATCTATCTCTACTATCAATATATCCGTTGCTCTCTTTAGTTTTTGTTTTGATCAGTTTTTAATGCACATTCACTCGCACTGGATCGTCGCCGATGTCGCTGCTGCTGATTTGCTTGCGTGTTATTTTCTTCCTTTTTCTTTTCTTTCCTTTTTTTATTTTCTATTTTCTTGTTGAATTCACCTGTCGCAAGTGAGTTTAAGTCTCGTGCTTGTTGCTGCTGATTGTCATTTGAATTTCTTGGTTGCAGATGCAGTTGCGATTGCAGATTCAGTCTTTGTGTTCTGTTCTCCTTTTCTAGCACACAATACAATAGAATAGAATAGAGCACAGCACAGCACAGACGAACAGACAGACAGACCGACGCACTGTCTCCGCCTCTAGCGGGTACATTTCAATGTCAACTAAGGTTAAAAGTAATACAGCTGGCCAATAGAGTTTGCGCTGCACATACACCTGACGTACAGACAACTACTGCTTGGGGTGCGATACGTTTCGGGCATAACTTGCTAGTTGAATTTTGACAAAATGAAATAGGCAACAGCATAGGCTGTATTTTGGAACACAATCACAATACTACCGAGACATCTACAAGTACCACGAATAACGCAGCTATCGATATCGAGTGCACATGCACCGATGCCGATAAATCCACGAAGAGCAAACCTCAAATGCTATCGGATAAATTCCTATCGCTATCGCACAGCGACAGCTGGTATGCAACAAACATTTGCAAACGATATGGCAACACCACACAACACAGCGCTGCCACTGTTTAAAGAAATAAACGATTTGAAATTTGTATTTTTCGCAACTCGCTTTTGCTTCACGTTTTTATGTTTTTTTGTTTTTGACATGCATGTATTTTATATATATATTGTTTTTTTTTTTTTGTTTAATGGAATACAATTGTAAAAAATATTGAATAGACGCTAATGTATGAATGTATGTAATAATTATGAGGCAAATGTTTACAATTTTGTGTTGATTTTCTTTTTGAATGGAGGATATACTTCTTTTTTTTTTTGTGGTATAAGAAAGGGGTTTCTCTTCTTAATGCTTAGGGTTAATTAATACTACACAACGTGGCTTATGCTTGTTGTTAATTACTAGTGGCTCAACCTCGGTGTTTACAATACGTATTTTCTTTCTCTTTCGCAACCCTTCTGCTTTAGCGTACACAAATCGCAAGTAAACATATCGTAATAGATTTATGAATATATGATTAAACGTACTACAAAAAAAAAAAAAAATGGATACCATAAATGGAATACAAATATAAAAAACACTTGCCAAATGGATGTTCAGAGCCAAACGTACATTACATATAGGTATAAGCATATATATATATATATAGAAAAAAAATAGGTTTTACACACACATATCGGTATATATTAGCCCTACAACTTATAAATAATATCTATCTGCCGGATTGAATTGGATTGGATTGTTCATTCAGTACAGTAAATCCGTTTTTTGGGTGCCTTCGCTGTACGCCGATGCCGACGCTGGCAGATAATCATCAACAGCCACAACTCCATCATCTACTCCTTCAGCCGCAGCCGCTGTCGCCGTGTCCTGCAGTTCGTCCTTGATGAGGCCATCGCCAATGCCGACAACACTGCCATTGCCATTGCCATTGAAGGATGCACTTCCCGCAGGACTTCCATTGCTGCTGTTGCTATTGCTGTTGCTGTTGTTGCTGTTGCTGTTGCTACTGCTGCTGTTCGGTGTTGTGTAACGCGTGACACCCAGCTGGAAAAGACTGTCCATGGGCGAGGCCTTGAGGGGCGTGTAGAAGCCCAGTGCCGTTGAGCCTGCAATTGAGTGGGGCGAGAGCAGAGATAAGAATAGCAATTAGAGTATTTTGTAAATATTTTGATTTTTTCATGACTGCTTCATTTGTGGGTTAGTACAAGAATTTTGAAGAAAAACAATAAAATACAATTCAAATTTCGAATCTGATCAGTGTTGGTGAAAAACTGTGCTTGAAATATGCATATTGGCGGTGGGAATTATTTGTGTGTGTGTATTTTTTGTGGGTGAACAAGTTGGCCAAATGGAAAACCTTTCAATTCTTCTTTTTTTTGTCACCAAAATGTACAAAAAAAAAAAAGCAACAAAAATTCAATGAGAAAGCACGACTTGAATATTAATTGAATTCCAAGTAGAAATATAATGCATAAGTATAAATATAGATTAAGTAGATCTTTCGATATTCAGGTGATAGTTACATAAAATTCAAAATACTCAAATTTCAAGCAAGAAATCGACCAGAAAAAAGAGGTGAATATATAAATTGTACAATATTGGTACATTTGTACTACACAAATGGCAACCCTGTGTGTGCGTGTGTGTGTGTATGAGTGTGTGTGTGTGTTTCTAATTGGGATTGGTGGGGGGGTTAGTTACCTTAGAAATTAATATGAATTGGCGATTAGTTTTGGTTTTTGGATATTGTTAGGCTTCAGCAGTGTTGCTAACCAACACCGAAAGTATTGAACAGTGTTGTCAACGAACAGCAGCGGTGCATATACTATATACTATATAGATTTGGTGGTGGTGGTTAGAGTTGCCTCCTTCATCAGCTTCAGGCCGAGTGAGAGAGAGAGATAGCGAGCTCTTGTTCTTGTTTGCCTTTTCAGTTTAGTTTTGGATTTTCTCTTGGGTTTCATTATACATATATATATATATATATATATATACATATATATGTATATTATGATATTATGGTTATAGATTGTATTTATTATATAGATATTATTTCAAAGTATTTTGCTTAGATTTGTCTTTTATTAGATTTTAAATAATATCTGCAAAAGAAATTAGTAAAAACACAAGAAAGAAAACAAAAAAAGGTGGAGAAAACAAGAATACAAAAGTTTAAATGAAAATCGCATTTTGTTGAATTGCTTATAGTATGCGTAGATATATATATATACATATATATATATAGATAGTTAAATACATATACATATAAAGTGAAGGTGAAAGTGTTTATTTTAAGGTAGCTTAGAAGAAGAGCAACAGTTAGTTATACATGGAAGAAAACCTTAACCGAATACAATACGAAACGTGCAACGCTAAGGGGTTAATAAATACGTAAATTATGCTTTCCAAAAAAACAAATAAATAAAAAATAAAACAAAAAAATATGTAGTCTACACGAAACCGAACACAAACACGCAAATTAACATTTGAAATCTAGCTTAACTGCACTAAATACTTGAGGAGCAGCCAAGTTAATGCATCAAATGATTCAGTGTTGCCAGATCGTTGCCAAAACGCGAGTACAACAATAAACGAATGAATTAATTGAATGAATATATGACTTGTGGTTTAATTAACGAGTATTTACACGAGTTGCAACCCTGCAACTACTTTCAAATCCAATTCATAAACAGAGACAGTGAGAGAGAGACATGCACCTGTAGCGAGTAACGGATAATAAGTAACGAGTAGGCTGCTCAAGGGTGTTGGCTCGTTAAGCGGATATACGGGAGTCTGTGTACCAGGCCTGTACCAAAGCGAGTACCGATTAACGAAATATCAAATAACGAGCAGCGAGTGAGAGCTCGCTGGCAATATGCGAGTTTCGGGTGGGATGAGATGAGAGTCTGTACCAATAGTGAGTAATGAGTAGCGAGTGTTGCAGCTAGTGAGTGGAGCCCAAAGGGTTTAAGGGGATTGGCTAGTAGTGTATAAGTGTTGTTGTTGTTGTAGCAACGAGTATCAAGTAACGAGTATTAGGTAGTTAACGAGTAACGGCTAACGAGCAGCTCGCTGGCAGTATGTGTGAGTTTGAGTTTGGGTGGGTAGTGGGGTGTACGGGAGCAGAGTCTGGGGCCTGTACCAATAGCTAGTAACATTATAAGCCAGGAACCAGAAGGCATACCAGGGGTACCAAGTACGCTCAAAAAAAAGCTTATTTGTCTTTTTGCCTACGTTTCGTTGCGAGACAGGAATATGCGAGAGTTTCAAGCAGTTCTTTTTGGTGGAGTTTCTCTGAAGCTTGGAGCGGATCCGCGACGGTTCCGATTCTGATTCTGGTTGTGTGTGTATATTTTGTTTTTTTTCTTATATGGTTTCGCATTAGACATAGTAGAGCGTGTTGCCTGGAATGCGTGCCTGCAGCAGTGCTGTGGATGCGTTGGGTAGCGATAGCGACGACGACGTGGTCGACAAATGGGTGGCTATGGGCAGACTGGCGCGACGGCGACTCAACGAGCCAATGCCAACAATGTTCATCCTGTTGCTGCAGGCTATTGTTGTTGTTGTTGTTGTTGTAACAGTTGTTGTTGTTGCTGGTGTTTGATATTTACTCAGATGCTGTTGATGTTGTTGTTGAGATTGCTTGGAATGCGAGAAGGAGGCAGCTTTGCGCTTGGCTGGTGGATGCGATTGCCGTGGCTTTGGTGGCAGCACCGGGAGGGCATCATCATTATTATCGTGTTGCAAGAAGCAGGCATATTGTGGCTTCAATAGAACCGACGGTCTACGACGTTGACTTGGCGCAGCTGCGTCGGGTAGGAGCAGTTGGAGCGGCTTCAGCTGTGATTGCTTCTGCTTCTGCTGCTGTTGTGGTTGCTGCTGCTGTTGTTGGGCTTCCAGTTGATCCTGCTGTTGCTGTTGTTGTTGCTGTTGTCGTTGTTGTTGTTGCAAAATAATACCCCTCCCTAAACTTGGGTAATCTGCAAATATGCATGATGCTTAATTGAAAGCCGGACAGCGGTGCGTAATTTGGTTGGACACAGGTGGCAAGTGGCTAGTGGCAAAGGTCATGGGTCACATAGGTCAGGGCCGGAGCTTTAGATAGCATTATAATATAGTTTGAGTGGGGGGCGGCAGCGGCAAGGTGGTGGGGGTTTGGGGGTGAGCTTTGGTGTGGGGCGATTGCTGGCTGACTGGCTGACTGCTTGAGTACACATCCTGTACCCACCTGATGAGCTGAATTAAGTTGCGAAAGCTTTTCACCAACTGTTTGCCAGGTGGCAACGCTAATTGCCAGTACTGCTGCAGCATTGGCCAGCAGCTGCAGCAGAAGCGGCAGCAGCAGCAGCAGTCGTTCCTGCCCCTAGTTTTGGTTGTTGGATTCAAGACAGAGACGGAGACGGCCGGAATAATTGTGGCACTGGTTGTGGCAGTGACATTGGCAGTGGCACTGTCAGTGTCAGTGGCTGAGGCTGTGGTATTAGCAGCGGCAACATCGACAACATTGGCGCTGTGCTTAATCGCTATGTTAACTGTAACAGTGGCGTTCTCTGTAAAGTGCAGCAGATATTGTTATTGTCTGGCAACTCTGTGCATGCAATATGCAATTGATTCGTTTTTGATATGTGTATGTGTGTGTGTGTGTGCGTGTGCTTGATTATGTTATTTGTTATCGATGATCTGGCAACGCTGCAAGGCATTCAATATGCAATTTGACTATATTTTAAACATATATTGAACATGTATATAGATATATAGCTTCGGTAATCTGTTGAAATGCTGTCTGGCAACATTATGCTGCTGGGCATGCAATTTGCAGTTATCTATTTTATGTGTATGTGTGTGTGTGTTGTGTTCATGTTTTGTTGACGTTAAGTGTAACGGTTACATTTTCTGTTGAGTGCATAGATTTGTATTCCTGCAGCGCATGCTATTCCAATTGGAGAGTGTGTGTGTGTGTGTGTGTGTGTGTAAGGAAATAGGTGTGCGTGCGTGTGTGTGTATGTGTGATAATGGGGATTGATCTCTAAGTCCCCCGCACAGGTGGCGCTAATAAGTGTGTGTTTAAAAACTCAAAGAGCACAGCACTACACGACAACAAATATTAAACACATTATTGAATGTAGAAGAAAGACAGAAGACAGAGATCAAGACAGGCACAGACAGAGATAGAAAGTGAGAGAGATTGAGAGAGAGAAAGACAGTGTGAAGAAGAAAGAAGAGAGGCTGGCTGTGTGGCAGGCAAAAAGAACGGCAAATATAAAAACAACAAAAAACGACAACAAAAAAAAACATGCAAAGGCAGGGTTGCCACACTTACCTAACGGTAAATTTCCCAGCATTCCGCTAGTTGCTGACGCTTTATGCGACGCCGGTGCTGCTGCTGCTGTTGATGTCGACGTCGACGTCGATGCTGGAAGCTCAATTATCTCATCAACTGTCACATGATGATGATGTTGCTGCTGCTGTTGTTGTTGCTGCTGTTGTTGTTGGTGTTGCAGCATGAGATGCTCCTCGTAGAGCAGCTGATGATGTTTATTAACATTGCCATAGGGATCGGCATACGGTGGGTCGTCAACGTTGTTAGGTGTCTGCGATGCCTCGGAGGGATATTCGAACGTTGACGTTAATGTATCGTTAAATTGTACGCGGAACTGTGGAAAAGAACAACAACAAAAACAATAAAATACAAGCCGATATCTGTCACATTGATGAAACGCACCCGAACAAAAAGAAAAGGAACAAAAAAAAAAAACAGCTACAAAACCCAACTTAAGTCACATTTAATGTATTTTGATAAATAGCGACGGCATAAATAAATAAGTAATAAGATAACGCACAAGGAAATTAACTAATACAAAAAAAAAAACTCGTAAAAGCAAACATTACCGACTCTGGGCATACCCTGCACAGCCGATTAACAGCATGTTAAACCAGAACCGTTTAATCTACGCAGATTATGTGAATGCTTCTTCTTGCTCTTCTGCTCTCGCGAACGCATCAAGATAGAGCAAAGAGTGAGTGAGAGGGAGAGGGCAACAACAACAACAAAGGCAAATGAAAGTGGAGCTCAAGAAACAAATAATCATCCGCTTCTTGCTGCCCTTAATTCAAGCGCGCAACAAAAATATAACAAAAGCATAAATACAAAAGACGACAAAAAGAAAAACAAAACAAATGAAATTCTGACCCTGCGGAGTAGTGAAATAATTGCCGTTAATTGTTTCGCATCAGTTTTATTTTCACAAGTTTTTTTTTTTTTTTTTTGTCGCAGCCGCAATTTTTAATGCTGCCTAAAAGTGAAATGTGGGCCAATATGTTGCGACAGCAATTAAATACCCAAAGAGACCGTCCAAAAATAAACAAAAAAACAATTACTAGCGGATATACCCCGTTAACAATAGCTGTTGGTATATTAACATTTTGTTTTCTGCTACGATAATCGTTGCATTTGAAGAAATCTCAATTCTCCGCTTATGTGAAATATAAATATATATATAGAGAGAGAGAATTATGTAGTTCAAATGGTTGCCTTAAATTGGTCAAGCATAGCAGCAGCATGGAACACAAAATTGATATCTTGTTGAATTGATAAGAGGCGCGTTTTGTTTGCTTGTTACAATGCCACAAAACTCTTTGAATGTTCAAAAAGTCGCCGCCAAGCGCTGCTAACAATCAATTTGTAATTCACCCCCCGTCCTCCCTGCACACACAAACACACCACTACTATATTCAACAACTAATCTTATCTTATCCTTTGCAAACAAAAATATACAACAAAAAAAAAAAGCCAAAAAACCACACCAAAAGAAAAAAGAACCCACACTATCTGCTGCGGGCAAGAATTTCTAATATCTGATTTCTGATTCCTGTGCGACATTAGTCATGGGTTCGTTCTAGTTATACGTACTACAGTAAAATTGATACTATATATTTGTGTGTGTGTGTGTGAGTTAAATGAAATTTAGTTAGTCATACGAAGCAGTTGCGAGTTCCTGGTATTTACATTCATTCGTTCATTTCCGCATTACGGTATTTTCAGGGCCAACAACAAATGAAAATGGAAATGAAATGAAATATCTGCTCTGAAAATAGTGATATGTTTGCTCATTTTATTGGCTACTACAGAAGTTGTCCAGAATATTGGCTAGATAGATAGATCTGTAATGAAGATTACCACAACAGCGAATCAAATCTGACCAAGATGTTAATTAATCCATCGACAGCAGTCTTAAGATGCGCTTACAAGATATTCCCCCAATAAGATAAGATCAGAATAGGAATAAGAATACTCACCGATGAATCTTTGGGTTTCTGTCGTATGCTGGACTTGCCATCGATCACAATATTGGCGTTCTCGAACTCCACGTCGCATGGTGAGGGCGGGCACATTGAGTAGTCATCGTAGTCGGTGTCTGTCGATGTCTCCACCGAAAGGTCGCCCAGCAACACGAAGCCCGGCTCATTTGGCTGCACAAAAAAAAAAAAATAAATAAAAATTTGAAGTGAAAATGGTTATACGGGAAAAGTGAAAACGAACCAGCGAATGAACCAGCGAGACTGATTCATTCAAATTTCTTATAAGAAAAATGATCAAGGAGAAGGAGTTGAGCAGGGGGTGGGGTGGACTGGGGTGGTTATTTCGAGGTCGCTCTGAATCACAGCTGTCCCATTTCTCGCCATATCAGACGCAGAACGGCAAATGTATGTATGTATGTATATATAATAATATATATATATATATATATATATGTGTGTGTGTGTGGAACAACAAGAGATAATAAGCTTCAGGCAGAGATAAAAGAAATAAATAAAGAAATACATACTTATGTACATATTTACATGTACATATATAATGTATATACATACATAAAGAGACCAACAAGAACAACATAAGGCATAAAGCAAAAGCCAACAAAATTGAACGTCGAAAAAGAATTGACAAAATTGAGTTCAGCACACAAAAGCAACAAAAAAAACCAACAAAAAAAAGCACTAAAACGGGTTTAACAAGCAAGAGTGTGTGAGAGCGACAGAGCGAGCAGTCGCATGGCTTGCACGCAACAGAATAACGAGCGAAAGCGAGAGAGAGAGAGAGAGCGAGAGAGATCAACGCTTTTTATTCAACACTGACTCTCTTTATACAAAACAGCTGTGCAGCCAAATGGATGGTAGCTTGTTGCCCATTGCCAGTGACAACAACAACAAACCAGAACTCACCACAGCTCCAATCCCGCTCTCCTCCTCCCTGCGTAAGTCATAATATATCTGTCTGCTTTACCCTATGCATGCATGCATGTATGTACGTATGTGTATATGTATGCATGTGTGTATGTATTTATGTATGTATGTATGTGTGCATGTACAGGCATATGTAGCAGCAGGAAGCAAAAAAGAACAAGCAGAGAAAATATCGTAATATGTATACATGCTATGTACACACACACATATATATATATATATATGTATGAGAACTGGTTTTCGCAATGCAATCGCAGTAGGAACGTTGCCATAATGAAAAATGAGGAAGAATTTGCTAATCGCAGTGCATCCATATCCAACACGGGCAATACATATGCATGTATGTAATACACATACACACATGTACACACCCTTAGCCTTAAATGATTTGCATAATTTTGCATTGATCGATTTGGGTATATACCATGAGCAAGTCAAGCTTGAAATTGTTACTCATTTTAATTGCATGGCTATATTTAGAAGGTCATTCGGGAGAGCTGCGCTTCAGCATTACGCATAACACACACAATCGCAAAAAAAATTAATAAATACAGTTATTTGGAGGCTTAAGGATTCCAGTCTGATTATTTACTGCTTTTCATATTTATTTCGTTGCTTTTGTTGAACTCTTTTCACAAATTTGCAGTTTCTCTCTAACTCGCTCTCTCTCTCTCTCTCTCCCTTATTTCCTATTTGTTTATATGACAATGAAAAAGCACAAGCAAAATGAGTGTGCGAGTGTGTGTGTGTGTGTAAGGGGCGATTTAAAACAGAAGAAACATACAAATTCATACAGAATATAAGCATGAATAATGCGCAACGGCGCCACACATTCCGACTGCTGCAGTCTGATAAGACTTGACAATAAAAAAAAAACACAGCTGTCCATGGTAAATAGGGGGGAGGGGGGAGGTGGGTGGGTGATAAGTTGGGGGGTGGATTAGTAGATTGTGTGCACAAGTCATAACTCACCTTTGGCAATTCCCGTTTCCGTCTGTAGATCACACCATCGCTTTCAATATAATCGGGCACCTCCTTGCTGCTCTTGGAAAAGTTGAACACCATCGAGGTGTTGTTGTCCGTATGCATTGAACTGATGCTGGAATTGGAAATGTTGTTGCCAATGTAGCTGCTGCTGCTGCTGTTGATGCTGCTGCTGCTGGCGCCACCTGTTGTCGGTTGTCGTCTCTTGCGCAACGGCCAAATTGGCGAAATTCCAGCGTTTGTTGCTGCTGCTGATGATGCTGCATCCGTTTCGCTAACATTCTTATTGTTGGTGTTTATCACGGTGTCGAGACTAGTGCCACTGGTAGTTGTGGTCGTGGTGGCAGCAACTGCCGCAGCAGCAGCGGCATCTGCGGCCAATGCTGTTGATTTTTTCATTTCATTAATGCGATTCTTTTCAATTTCGCGACTGGTAAGCGGCGTTCCACAACTGGAATTATTGGAATTATTCAGTAGCGGCCTGATGACACCAATTTGTTTACGACTGCTGGAATTGATGCTGCTGCTGCTGTTGCTGCTGCTACTGCTGCTGCTGGAAACGTGCGCGTTCTCTTGCAGGGCGGCAACAAATGAACGCTGCTGGACTACGCCGCTGACGCCGACGCCTCCTGCTACTGCCGCCGCCGCCGCTGCTGCTGCTGCTGCTGCCGCCTCATCGTATGGCGGCGGTGGCTGCGCTGCGAGCGCTTTTAACTTATCGCCGCCTGCCGCGCCCAATTTATCGCCATTGCAAACAGCGTCGCCGCCGTCGACGTCATTGCCTTCGTCGCCGTCGTCGTCGCCTTCGATGTTGTCGTTGTTGTCATCGTTGTTTTCTTCTTCTTTTTCGTTTTCGACTTGCGATCGTTTATCGCTGCTGCTGCTGCTGACTAAGCAGCGCTGACTGTTTTCACCACCCACCACAACGGCGACGGCGGCGTCAACTGTTGGCGATTCCACCAGCTGCATGCGTTCCAGCATTTTGCCAAGATTCGTCACTGGCGAATCAAACGGAATGGAATGTGCAGCAGCGCCAACATCCACCAGCTGACGGGGTATTATGTCTGGAACATGCGAATTGGAATTCAATAAACGCGGCTGCTGCTTAGGCGTCGACGCAGCAAAGCCTGGTAGCTGCTGCTGCTGCTGTTGTTGTTGTTGTTCTCTTTTACTGTTAGTGCTGCTGTTAGTGTTACAGTTAGTGTTAATTGGCTTTTGCTCCTTGATGATCGATTTGTAATTGGCAACCTTGCTGGCAACGCCGCCAATGCCGTTGCTCCGCTGCGCTATGCGCGGTCGCCGATTGGCGCTTGCCTCAAACATTTTCAGTGTTTGCTTCACCAAATCGGGCGGTGGGCGTTCTGTGTCATCAATTATGGAGGTTAGCCGCTTGGGGGGCGTGGCATCTGTGCCGCTATGCAGGCGTTCGCGTGCATTACTAATTTTATCCTCAATGCTGACAGAGGCAGCGACTGCGCTACTGCTGTTGTTGCTGCTGCTGCTACTGCTAGCTGCGTTGACTGCTGCAGTAGTTGCAGTCGCTGCTTGATAGCTGTGGGCGCGCTGACTTTGGGTATTCCAGGGTGATTTTTCGCAGAGCAGCGCTTCGACGGAGCGGGCGCGTTTCATAACCTCATTGCCACGCTTAAAATGGCGCGCACGCAGCATTGCAGTACCGTTAGACGGCGCAGACGAAGGCTGCTGCTGCGTCGAATTTTGGGTTTGCTGCAGCTGCTGTTGCTGCTGCTGCACGCTTTTGATGTAACCGCTGCCCGTGGTGGCTATTGATGCCGGCTTGCCGCCTGCTATTGGCGGCGGTGTTGCAGTCGCAGCGCGAATTGGTGCCGCAATTGGAACTGCAACTGGAATTGCAACTGCAGCGTCGCCGTCGACGTCAGCGTCAGCATCGTCATCGTCATCATCGTTGCGATCGAGCAGCGTATTTAGGCTGGTGGAACGACGCAGTCGCTGCTGTTTTTGGCTCAAGAGCTGACTGGGCGTTTCGCAGCGCAGCGCCAGATTTAGGTAGCGGCAGCGCAGCTTTGATACAATTCCAGGGCCATAGCTGAGATCCTCCTGGGCGACGCCGCTGACGTCGACGTCAACATCAACGTTTAACTGTTGTTGTTCGCTCTTCATTTGCAGATGATGATGATGTTGATGAGGATGATGATGATGATGGCGATGTTGGCCATTTTGTGTGTTTGTTGTTGTCTTTTTCATTTCTTTCATGGCGACCATTGTCGTTTTTACCGCTACTTTTGTGGGCGACGCGTTGGCCGTTTGGCGTTCCAATTGTTGTTGTTGTTGCTGCTGCTGCTGTTGTTGTTGATTTATAATAAACTTGTTGCTTTGCAATTTATCAGATATTTTCGATTTGGAATTTTTATCAATATTCGTTAATATTGCTGGTGTTGGGTTTGTGTATTGAATTTGCGCTGCATCAGCAGTGGCCTTCTGGCCCTGTTTGCATTTCGTTTGCAACTGATTTGCTGACGACGACGACGACGACGAAGTCGTCGTTTGTTTCACATTTGCGCCGCCGCCTGTCGCTGTTAATGCTCCAGTTGTTGTTGTCGGCGCTGTCGCTGTGCCAGTTTCAACTTCACCACTGCCGCGAGAGCGCACACTCAAATTCACCATGGCCATTGCGCCGCTATTTAACTCAACGTCACGCTCTCCGCACGTTCGTTCTCTCACGCTCAAGCTCTCTCTCTCACGCTCTCTCTCTCTGGTATCCAAATTTAGAATCTCTTGCTCCTTGCCAGTTGATTGACTTCTTGTGTTAAATAAACTTGATCGCTGCTTTGGTATTGGTGCATTGCCAGCAGTTGTTGTTGTTGTTGCTGCTGCTGTTGCTGCTGCTGCTGCTGTTTCTGTTGAAAAGGCCGTGGTGGCTAAGTCTTTGCCTTGCTGTGTACTTTGGGCTGTTGCTGTTGTTGCCAGAAGCGTCTGATGACCTCCAGCTTCAATAAAACATTTCTCAGACTTTTCCTCTGTTGGTGAAGTCTTAAATGCCGCCGCTTGCTGTTGTTGTTGTGTTTGGCTTACATTTCGTTTCACATGCTGCTGCTGTTGTTGTTGTTGTTGTTGACTAGTTATTGTTGCGGTTGCGCTGGCATCAGTCGCACCTGAATCTGCAAATAAAAGTTTTGGCGTATATATTTATATATATATATATATACACATATAAGACACACAAAAAAAAAAACAAACAAAAAAAATACGCACAAAACAGTGCGAAATGCTTAAGCGGTGAAAATAGTCTGTGTCTTTTGTTCTTTCAGCTGCGACGGCAAAAACAGGGCACATATATAGATACATATATATTTATGGCATTGGGCATGACATTGAATTTCCTGTTCAATTATCTATTGATAACATTTGATAAGAGCAGAGCAATAGCTGAAAACAAAGCAGTTCTCAGTTCTCGTCGATTGGCATTACTCATTACTGAACTAACTGTAACTGCAACTGTAACTGTAAACAAACAAACAGCTGTCAATGGACATAATTTGTTGTTTGTTTATTGCAAGCTGTTTAGCTATTAACTTGACTAATTAGACGTCGTCAATCAGCTGCAGCTAACACATGTTTCTCTCCCTTTTCAAGTTGTTTGCATATGCGAATCAATTTCATGAATCGATATCGATACCCCTGTCTCTCTCTCTCTCTCTCTCTGTATACTTACATACAGACATCTGGTTACCTGTTCTGATTGGAATCCAATACGAATACCAATGTTGTCCTCTCTTCGTGTTACTCATATCGGTTTATCGATTTTGAAATCAGTAACACGTTCACTTATCGAGCTGTATTTCAAAATTAAAACACAAAAAATCGTACCCAAAATGATGCACATAATAATAGTCGAAGAATAAGTAAATAATAATTGTGGAAGAATAAATAAAATGTTGTCTTCTTCTGCTTGCTTTGGTTATGTTTTACCTGCAGGTTCAGTGAAAGCCAGACAACTGCTGCTGCTGCTACTATCAGCTGCCATGGACGTTGTTGCTGATTTTGTTGTTGTTGTTGTTATTGTTGGCGATGACAGGGAGCTGGGGGAGGTGGCGCTGGTGGGAGATGTGGCATTGGCTGTCGCTGCATTCGTTCGTGCCACATTTGTTTTGCGTCGGTGTATCAAATCCTTTTTCCACTGCGGCATATCCGGCAGGAATCCAGCACTGCTGCCCAACGGTGTCGTTGCCGGTGAGCCACCACCACACTCAGCTCCAGCTGCAGTTCCAGTTCCAGCGCCAGTTGCAGCCACAGCTAAAATTCCAGCATCCGCTGTTAAATGCAATGAGGAACGCTGCCTTTGGGCCTCGGAAGACATTTTTGGCTAATTGTGTAGCGGCTGCAATTGCAAATTGCATTCGGCATTAGTTATGTGGCATGTGGCATGTACCAATCAATGCTCAACCGAACCACTACAACCAACTGACGTCTTAACCCAGACGCGTCAGCAAAGAGACTGACTGACAAACGTAGCTTTAACCAAATACCAACTACTACCGACCACACATAAGCCCCCCAAACCCCCAAATTGGGGGTGCGGGTCGAAATAATGCATTTTTCATAGCTGACTTCCGGATACTCTGCTTCTCGAGGTCTCCATATGGTAATCATCACATTAACGTTTAATTATTATGAGGAAAATTCTGATCTAAAGACAAAACTCTGTAAAACTCTGTCACTATAATTATGAATTGTTATAAAAATCGAAGAAAAAAATATTAATTGGTAACTTTGTCTTAAAATGTAATCTATAAAAAAATTAACAGATATTTATTTTGAACAAAACAAAAATAATTGAGGAATTTATTTGACTTATACATCAATCAATCCTCTAAAGATGTACTATAATCTTTAAATAAAATTTATTTAATTTTTTTTATTTATATATTTTACTGTTATTTTCTTATAGATTGAATTCAGTATTATGATCGAAGACAATTCAAGTTGAGCAATATTTCCATTTGCAGGGCATGCAAAAGTCGACTTGAACGTTTCTTATTCACCCTTTTTTTTATATTTTTGTTAATTGGATTAACTGTTTTCTTTAAAAAAAAAAACGAAAGAAACCTCAATATTTGTTCATTGTGTAAAAAAAAAAAACAAAAGCACACGCACACTCGCACACATAAATGAAGAATATGCTAAAAAATATGATGATCAAAAAATGCAAGTGATTTACTTTTAATTTCGTTCGTTTTGTTTTGTTTTGTTTGCTTCTCTCTATTTCGTTGGCGGATAATGATCGAGAGTAAGCAGGATCGCAGCAGGCAGACAAGTGCAAGCGTGAAAGGAGTGGAGAGAGACAGAGAGAGAGAAAGGTAGAGGGGGGAGGGGGGCAAAGTGAGTTGCACAAGTGTCAAATTGAGAGCTCAGCTTAAATAACATTTTTTTCCCATATTTTTGCTTGTGTGTATGTAAATTTTAAGGGTGCACAGCAGCGCACGGCAAGGAGGGAAAGAGGAAGGCAGAGGGGTGGGGTGGGGAGGGTGACTGCAAATTGCAGACGAAGCATAAAATAAACAAGAGACGCTGCGCTGTGCATATTATCGATTTTTACAAGCTGCAAGAACTTTTCAGCTACACACAGACACACACACACACATAAATGCCTGCATACATACATTAAATAGATACTTATGTTTGTATGGACGAGCCAGCAATTTTGCACTGAGCACCCAAGTCTGGCAACGGATTGGAAAGTATGTGTGTGTTGTGTGTGTTAAAGAAAACGAGAAAAACAAAAGCCGCACCAGAAAAAACAAAAATTATTTAGCAGCTCTTTTGGGTATTTAGGCATTGAACGAGTGTTAAATGTGCGCGAGCTGAACGGGGTATGTATAAAACTAGAGCCGGGCACTGTTTATTGACACACAGCATTAACAGTAATATAAACATTTTCGTTTTTTTTTCTATTTATTTTCGATTTTTTTTTTTTGATTTGATTGCTTACTTTTGCGTTCAATTCAAGTAGTGGGGCTTAAATTGTGTTTGTGTTGCACATATGTCGTGTAGTTAGTTGTACGCATGGATAAATTTGTATGCAGAGTTATTTGATTAAATATTCTAGATACGCGCACTTTCTTTACACCGCACACTGTCTATAATTGCAATTAAGTCGCCTTTGCCTACTCTAAAATGCTCCCAGCCACTGAACAGTGTTGGGTTGTTTTCCAATTACCTATCGACTCGACTATCGATGTTCGGCTTTCTTTCTCTCAATGTTCATCGATAGTAGTGCGATACACCACTTTCATACGCGTTGAGCTAATACTTCAAATATTTGAAGATGACGACTGATTGAATTAAGAATTTGACTGTTTCTTGGCAGTCGCAGTAAAGTTATTTGCATATAATATTAAATTTTTAAAAGCGTTATTTCAAACATGATATAAATGAGTACAGATTGTCTTAAAGTCTTCGACTATCGATTACTTAGAGACTTATCGTATCATATTTGAAAATTCCAAAACTTTACTTGCAATGCTAAACTACGTTTTTATGCAGTTTTTTTTCGGTTAGGTATTTCTCAGCTCTACTAAATTATTGTCAAAACTAAGCCAATAATTCGATTAAACCAAAACTGTCAACAGGCAGATATAAAAAACTCTTTATTTATATGTAGTAATAATAATAAACGTTATTTAAAATACTGGAATGAAATGTATTTAATATTATCACATGAAATGTGTAAAAGATTTGAACTCATTTAATTTCCAGCACCTCACCACAGGCTGGAATCACTTTTGTTTAATCTAAGAATTTAGTTGTAAACTGTGGTTCCATCACGATCGTAAATTGTTTCTTATGTTGAACATGGGACACCTCATTGATAAAGGACCTGTAAATAAAGAATATATGTATGTCTGTATATGATGCTATATAAATATTGTATAGTAGTCTTAGTAGTAGACAAAGTTGATATAAACTCACGAAATACACATAAAGTTACTTCTATGCTAAATTTCGTCCATCTTAAGCCTCTTGACTTATAAATTTGGTTAGAAATTGAGCTAGTTTTCGAACTATTTTATTTTTAAAAAAGTAAAGGCTGTTTCCATAAAAGAATAATAAAATGTCCAACTGTTGAGATGCATCAATAATAGACAATCAATTTCAATATTTATATCAATATCCCAAAATTTGACGGGTGACTCATCATTATTCAAACTAGCAGTCCACCTGTTGATCTGTCTGATCTGTCCCAAGGGAGGTATATACTCGGCATCCACGATATGCCCGTTCGATGGTGCCGGATGTCATAATTGATCTATGCACACCGGAAGCTTCCGGTTGCCGACAGGTGGATAAGCGGAACACCAGCGTCGAGGATCCGTAAAAGTGTCCGGTTTGCTTGGACAGTGTGCTGAAGAAGGAGCCATCGTCGATGCGAGCGGCCAGGTCTTCTACAAGACGCGCATCGAAACAGCCTCCGAGGCAAACCACAAGTGCCCCTTGTGCAACAAGAAGATTTCCAAGTGTTTCAAGTGTTTCGAGTGTTCCAAGTGTTCCAAGTGTTCCATATGTCGTATTTACTTATAAGGTAGAAACATCCAAGATGCATCCATTCATTTCCGTTGCGTTGTTCCTTGATTATTTCTCAGTATTTATGTTTTTATGTTGCTCATTTCCGATAAGCAAAATTATAACTACAAATAAACGAAATGGTAACGAATTTTAAATAACATACTGCTCCTTTGCCAGGGTGACATTGATGCGATCGGTGGAGACGCGTGTGGGTCGAATGGCACCAAAGAAGTCGGTGATTGGCACCTTATGCGGATCCCGTCTATATAGATCCTTGCGCACGCCCACCGTTGAGATGCAGACACGCTTCGGGCACACTTGCAACTGCAAGGCATACAAATATACATATATATATATATATACAAATATATTATTATATTACAAATTTTGTAATAACTTACGAATTCGCCAATTGTTCGCTTGCTAAATGGTAGCACTTTCTCGAGAAACTCGAGCGCATAATAAGTATACCGATCGATCATATAAACCCCAATCGAGGGATCAACATGATGCTGTCAAATCAATATACATTCATATAGAGGTTAATACGTGTCTGACAAGGATTTAGACCGAGATGTTACTTACGGATAGAGAATCCTCGCCAACCAGGCTGCTAGCCACGGCCAAAACATTGGGCGATGTGAACTTCTCATAAAGCGATGCCGCCTGGCAAGTATCCACCATGAAAAAGAGCTCGTTGTAACTGCAAAATTGGACACATAGAAAGATTAGTTAATAATTAATTATTTAAATACCCAAATTCGGCAAGTGTCACATTAATTCTTGTTTATGTTTATGCTTTGACAATAAAAACTTATCGCTCTATTTTTCGATTAACAAACCAAATGAGAAAAAACACATAAGCAACGGAGTACCCAAAAAGTTGCAATTAAAAGTTTTCCACAATTTTCGTAAGAAAAATGCCCTTTAAAATCTTGTTTGGAGCTTACCGTTTCTTTTCCCACATTTGCTGTATGCCATCAGCGAGCTCCTGGCTGGTTATCTCCTCGGAGTCTTGGAATTTGAGGAAACCATCGCCGCCATGTCCCGTCAGATAGATGAGCACATTGCTGCCGGCATCGGATAGCAGCTTCTTTGATCGTGCGGTTCCATTTTGTGTGCGACCCGTTAGCAAACGAACGAAATTCTCCACGGTCACCTCATAGCCACGATAGTCCACCTCCACATCATCCCCATACACATTGATATGCTGATTGGCATTGTTGTACACCTGACCAGGTCGCGGATTCCGTGCATTGCACGCCATATCATCGGCGATCATCAGGATTATCTGGGAGTCGGGTATACCCAGGCGCTTCACCGAACGGTAAATGGATAGCACATTGGCGACGTGACGATAGTTGAACCAGAAGCGTGACGCATCCACTAGCACCGCCCAGTTATTCGTATGTGTTGAGCGCTGGGCGGCATCCACAAAAGACTCCGGCAGCACTGAAGTCTCCTTCAAGAAACAAATAAAACAACAACAATAACAATAATAATTATAATAATAAGAGCCACTCTATGTCACTTTACTTACATGCTCAGCGTTGCAGCAGTAAATGAAGGCAAGCAGCAAGTGCAATAAAATTCCTTTCCTTAACATATTATATTATTCAACTTTAATTTTTATTTTCGTTTGCCGGCATTGAATCAAAATTGTTCCTTTGTGTGTGTGTGTGTGTGTTGAGTGACAAAAACAGCTGACATTGCTGACAGTGCTGCCAGTCTGTCATTCAACTTTCTGGCAACGCTTAACTATGACAACTAACAACAAACTTAAATGGCCAAAATTTTCATGTACATTTTTCGCAGATACAACGCCCCAATATCCACTATTTCGCCTTAAAATATACGGCACATGTGCTGAGCCTTCGAATGAATGCTGGAAATGCAGCTAAACCCGTCAATTTGGATCATAAAAAGCAAATGAAAATTGCCAATGGCGCTTCGCAACAATCCAATATGGCGTTCAAATAACGCTGGCATGTCGCACGAACAAACAAACGAACGAACGAACGAACGTACGAACGAACAGACGAATACGAAGACGAAGAGAAATGGAGCAAGAAACAGCACGTCAGCTGAAAACAGTTCGTACACACATGCTTATTGCATGTATGTATGTGTGTATGTGAGTATGTATGTGTGCATATGAACATGTATACATATATGCATGTAAAATGCTTGCATGTGGCTGTGTGCGGTACAAAATACAAAGGCATTTGGCTTTTCTCATGGCGAAACTGAAGAAAATCAACCAACAACAATAATGCTTATGAAAACTCTCCGAATTCGCCGCAAACATCTCGCAATCGCGATCACATTACTCTCTCTCTCTCTCTCTTCCCTCGCTCTCTCTCTTCTCTCGCATCTCTTTTGTGTTCTTAATGATTCTCGCTCTTTGATTCACGTGGGTTTTCAAAAAAACAACAACAACAACTGTATGCATAAATATGGGTTTGGTTTCTCTTATGCTGGGCGTGTGTATGAGTGTTTTTCACTAATTCGCAAAAGAGCTTGAGCTTTGCCGGAAGTTTTCTTTTCAGTCTTTCATCCGTTTATTGTTGTGCATTATGCCTGTACATTGATATTCGTATGTGCGTATGTATGTAGATATGTGTGTTTGTATGTATATTGTCGCTTCTGCTTTGCCTTCAGATTCATGGCTGATAGCTGCGTGGCGTTTGTCGGCCATTGCGTTTTCCCATTTTGTATTGCCTTAAGCGCTTGCACACACACACACACACACACATACAAATATGTACATATTTCGTATGTATGTGTCTGTCTGTGTGCGAGTGTATTAGTGTGGCTGTCGGAGCGCACAAAGTTTGTACATTGTGCATACACACATTCATACAGACATGCACTACATATGTACTCATTTAAGTATGTACAAACATACAAAGGTGAAATTAATCGAGTGGGCGTACTACGGAAAGCCTGCAGAAAAAGCAATTAAAAGGCGACTTTTCTTAAACTCGCACATACACAGAAACACACATACATGAACACACATACACGAACACACATACACATGCATACGTATGCATGTTCAACATGACGTATGTATGTACATATATACGTAAATATACATACATACATTAAAATGCATAAGTGCAGCAAGTTTATCGATATGTTTGGCAGCCATTGTTCTCAGTTTTACTATTTACATAATCATATTTCAAATCAAGATCATCAGTGCAAAAACAACGTATACATTGATCTCGCACAAAGCTGCATCCTTTCTTGCCAACAAATGTCCTTGACTTGATTGAAGTACATAGATGTGTACGCAATATATGTATATGCACGTATTAATCAGACGCAACAGTTGTAAAAGAGAACATAAAAGTAGGCTAATATGGGCTACGCAATGTCCTTGATTGTCAGTGTCCTTTTGACCTTGGCCCAGTCGAAAGCACATCTAAGTTATGCATTTCTGCATCATGTGTAACAAACCTACCTATTTATGTATATATATATATATATATTACATGCAACGCACGTATGTGCATAGATACATATGTTTTTGTTGCATGCAGTTGACACTTTTGACAAGGCAGCCTATTGATTTATTTTTTCCTCTCCTCCCCCCAGCAAGCGTTCAAAATAGCGATTAAGTTGGGCCCTTAACCCAGATACACCCACCCAAATACACACACACAGAGGTTACTTGCCACAACAAAAAATGGAAACGGGACTCCCTTTTGTCAATTGCAGGATGTTTGTTCCACTTCAGTTAACGTTGCCTAACACACAGAAAGAAACAGAAATAGAAACAAGCCGAGATTAAAGCGAGAGATTAGCTGACATCAGCAAATAATTTGCATTGATTTCATTCAATTCAATTTAAAATTTAAAGAAGAAGGAAAACAATAAACAAACAAACATATTCCTAATGCACTCGGTTCGGGACTTTTCGCATTTTCGCCATATTTGAAAAGAAATCCATTTCCATTTCCTCTACCATTTCCGACTAAGAAACAAAAGCAACGAAAGAACTGCAAAAGAGAGAAAGAAGAGGTGACAGAAGCAGCAGCAGCAGCAAGCAGCAGCAACAACTGTTGAAGAAAATCAGCGACAAAAGCGATATGAATAAATGAATTTGCATACGAAAAAGCACAGCGAAAAATCAGCAGCCACATCAGGCGAATCAAAGTACATGCATACTAATATTGTGAGTGCTCTTCGCAAGTCTTTAGTTTTAGTTTTAGTTTTGTTTTCAGTTTTATTGCTACCCCCAGCCGACGACGAAGCAAATATATTTGTTAGCTGTTGTCCTGGCAGGTAATAGCCAAAAAAAAAAAACGAGAGGCAGAATATACAAAACAAGTAAGCAGCATTGTTAATTTGCCGGCACCATGGTCGACTTGTGTGTACCCTACTCGCACCCTATCCATCTACCACATCTATGCATATAAGCTGCGTGAATTGTGTGTGAGTGTGTGTGTGTGCTGCTGCTGCTGCTGCTGTTCAGCAGCTAGTAACAACATCAGTGGCGATAGCTTATCGATAATAAGTTGTCCAAGTGGGAGCTGCAAACAATTGATTAATACATTAAGCAAAAACACTTAACGCATAATTGTTAACGCTTGTGTTTTCTATGGGTCCTTTAATGCAAATTTTTGTTTGGCAGTAGGGCATAAAAGTATCTCGGATATGGCGCTCACATGTGGCCGAGTCGAGACGAGTCGTGTCGAGTCGAGTTGAGAGTCGGCGGCGAGGCGAATACACATATTTCGCCGCTGTGACGCTCGCGCTCTCTCGTGTTCTCTTGCTCGCTGTGACTCTCTTTGGCATGTTTAACGCTGCCATTTTGCCTTGTTATTTCACTTCGTACCGTGTTTGCGTTCACAACTCTGTCGGTTCGGGTTCTGCATTTTATTTTATTATTATTATTTTTTTTTTGTTTTTCTCTGCTTTGGCTTGTGCAGTTTATTTGTACATTTGTATATTAAAACTGACCGCGTTTCGACAAACGACTTTGAAATTTTGAATTCAATTCTGAATTGATTTCGCTACAATTGAATAACAATAAATGAGGAAAATTCGCAAATGATGCGAAGGCGACTCTGAAAAATACAAAAAAAGAAAAAGAAAAGAGAATTAAGTAAGTATCGTCGTTGTGGCTATGTGACTGTTTTGTGTGTGTGTGTGTCTCTCTCTCTGTGTGAGTGTGTATGTGTGTGTAGTTGCGAGTGTGCTGCGTGTGTATGTGTGTTTTTGTGAATGTGTGTGTGCGAGTCTGTTTATGTACATGTACATACATGCATTCATATTATATTTGCATGTATGCGTATATAGCAAATCATTCGCAAACAAAAATGCTCCCATGCATAATTAAAAAGAAAACTCGAAAACTCGAAAGCAAAAAAAAAATCTTATAAATCAGTGCAAACAACAACATTGAACAAAACATGCAACATAAACAAAATTAACGGCGCAAGCACATAATAATTGCTTATGGACTCGATTTAAAAAAAAAAAAATAAAGACAAATTTTATCTTACTACTACTCGCTTTATGTTTGTGACCCTTCTTGCGGCAGGTGGAATCTTAAAAGTGTTAAGTGTTTAATTGCGTTGGTGCAATTCAGCCTAAGCCACCGCGGCCACCTGATGGTGCCTTTGGCTCACCCACTAGGTGGATATGGCTAGTTCGTCCTTGCATCGAGTGTTTGAAATAAACTCAATTGAACACATGTTTTCAGTGTAACCAAATTGTAAGTGTCCTCTAAATTGGCAAGTCCTTGAGAAGGGATTCATTAAAACATTGAGGGAACTTTGATTTGCGAAAAATATTTATTTGTATTTTCGGATCGTGCAAACAGAAATCATTGAATAATAAAACAGTTAAATTAAGATTGGAACACAAGTCTATTTGCTGCAAATCATTTGTTTACATTTCGTTTTACTTGCAATCAAATGTTTATTTTTTATAAAGCGTATACTTTATAAATGCATATTTACAATGTATGTTGTATGAAACTCAGCTTATGTGAGTTAGCGGCAAATAATTTTTCAAATTCGGCGCCACCCCCCCCTGCCCAGTCCCCACCCACTCAACGCACATCTGATCTAGGGGGCGGCCAGTTCCAGTTGTGCACAAGTGTATATCTATCGAATCTAGTGTTATCAAATGAATGCGATTTATATTATGCTTTATCAATTGTATGAGCTAGTTTATTTAGTTTTCAAGCTGAAATTGCAAATAACAAATTGTGTTGGCTAATTGTTGTGGCCGACGTGAAACCTAATAATCGCTGCTGCGCTCGAATTGTGTGGGTATCGATGGACTCGGCACGATACTTTTGTTGCTATCGATATATTTACCCCTACATCCCTGCGTGCGGCAACGCTGATGTGCAGCACACGACTAGAAGCCAGATTTGATCAAACGGAGCAACATTTAAAACAAGAGTAAACGGGTGTCGTTTTATTTGAACGCAATAGAAAGTAAGTGTCGTAAATTTTTGGCAAGTGACAAGCTAAGCGGAAAATAAAGAAAGCAGCAGGCACGCAAAGAAAATACCAAATGTCCCGCGGCGGCTGCTTTGGCTACGTGCGCGTGTGCTTGTAAGTGTTTACAACTGCATCAATTATTTTAATTTTCCTCCTGTTTCGTTTTTTTTTTCTTTTTCCTTTTTTTTTTGCATACTCGGAGCCTTTAATGCATATAAGTGTGTGTGTGTGTGTCAATGCTATTTTATTTTCCTTTTTTTATGTTGTGCTTTGTGCATAAATTGATGTGTGTACTTCATTTTGATTTTGTGTTATTTGTGTTTCGCTTTTGTTGCCTTTATTCGCTGTTTGTTGTCGCTGTCATTTGTGTTTCTACTTCCACCGCCTTCGTTGCAGAGGGTGGTGGCGGCTTCGGCTTGTCATTTAACGGAGAAGAGCGCACCGCTTGCACTAGTGTGTGTGTGTGTGTGTGCGCGATTGTGAGCAGCGTTTATGTATGTGTGTGTGCGTGTGTGTGTTAGTGTCATTAAATCCGTTTTGTGCTCTTTTTTCTTGTGTAAGTGGAAGTGGGAAATGGAGACAGATTTTCTCCTGTGTGCTACTGCTGCTGTTTCTGCTGCATTTATAACTTTATAAAGAAACACATAGACGACTACTGACTAGCCGAAGGTCGAGTTCTGTGTGCATAATTTTATGCGATCGCGAACTGCATGTATTTATTTGCCAAAAAAAAAAAAAAAAATGGTTACAACCAATTTAGTTGCTCTCACTCGCTCTTCTCTTTCGTTGTTGTGTCAGTGTCAGTCTATGCGCTCGCCGTCGTCGCTGGCAGCGCAAAAAAATGGCGCCTGTCATCTCGCACGCGCGTCGTCGCTGTCGCCGCTGCTGCTGCGTTGCTATGAACAATAAAGTGACAGGATCAGCAGCAGGCTGAGCGAACGTCAGTGTGTCTGTTTTTTTTTCCTGTTCTTTTTTGCTGTAATTATTCGCATGTGCTCTCGCTCCGAATCGGTCGCAGTTGGCAGCGACGCTCCAAATTCGCCTACTGCCTATGAATTTGCTGTGTGCGCTCACAATTTGAATGGCGTTATACGCCATTGCTCCTCTCTCAGCGCGCGCACACACACACAGCTAGTAATGTAGTTTCTTCAGGCGGCCCCAGCTGCTGCTGCTGCTGTTGCGGTAGTTGTTGTTGGCTGCTGCTGCTGTTGCTTTCAAACTCGTTTTGCTTTTTGGCTGCCTGTGTCGAGGGATGGGGCAACAACGACGTTATCGGGGTGCAAGTGACAGTCACAGCGGGACGCGTGTGTTTGTTTGTTTCTTTCTGTGTTAGTGTGCGTGTGTGTGTGTGTTTGTTTGTTTCTTTGTGTGTTAGTGTGTGTGTGTGTTTGTTTGTTTGTTTGTTTGCGTTTCTCTGTTGATGCAGATTCTTTTTTGACTCCTATTCCTGTTCCTTGCTCTTCCTTTTTGCCTTGCATATTCACATGACGTATGCGTGATATTTGTAAAATCTCTTTTAGGTTCGAAAGGGTTTTAGTTGAATTTTTGTACATCCATTGTACCTGTGTGTTATCTCAGGCTTTATATACTTGATTTATTTCAATTTATTAATTAGCTTTCATAATATTTACACACATTTTAGGGAAATTCATTTATTGTTATATTTTCAAAAGTTTAAAACGTGTTTTTTTTTTAAAGAACGGTTTAATATCATTTTTGACAACTCATTGTAAAAATTCCTGGGAAATGCAAGGGGAGGGGGTGGGGGTTAGAGGGAGAAGTTCGAATGAGCTCTCATTTTGAATTTCCAAGGTGTGAGAACATAATATGTAATTGAAACTTAAAGCGTTTGACCCCCGTTTTAAACCTGTTTATTAAATGCTGGCTGATAACAGTAAAGAACCAAGAAGAGAGTTGGAGAAAGGTGATTGTTAATGTGCCACTGAGGCGTTAAAAATAGTAGTAGTAGTAGTAAATGTGGAATTTGGGGATTGAAAATGTATTAAAAACCAGCATTAATTATTGTTATGCTAAAAATGAAACTAACACAATTACAACCGCAATCGGTTTTTTATTTATTTTTTACAGGTAGTCAACAAATGGGACCAAATCACAAGGTGTTCAAGTGTCTACAAGTGCCGCCGCTAGAGATTTGCGATATTTGGGTTGGACGCCGTAAGCAGCTGGAGCTAGAATTGATGCTGAAGTGTAACGAAACGAAAGCGTCAAAATAGGAGCGTCGACATCGTCGACAGCAGCGTCACCAGCACTATTGTCCAGTGACGGCTCGAGGATGTCGGCGCGTAAACCAACAGCAGCAGCATCAGCAGCAGCAGCAATAGGAGGAGCAGCAACAGCGGCAGCAGCAGCAGCAGTAGCAGCAAAACCAGATAACAATAATGCATCATCGCCTACTCTCGAGCTGGAGGCGTCATCATCAAGTGAGGAGCCTGGAGCTGGAGGTGGAGCAACCACTGAAGATGCAGCTGGAACAGCAGTTGCTGCTGCTCCCTCAGCTGACGATGCTGAACAGCAACCGGATAAGGAAAAAGATAAAGATAAAGATAAGGATAAGGATAAGGAACCAGATCAAATCGAGGAACAGCAACGTAATGATGAACCCTCGCCACGCAAGACACAATCCGCCGAAGTTGGATCTAGTTTCGCACTGAGCGCCACAAAAATGGTGCGCGTGACGCGTCACTCTTCGCCGCTGCTGCTGCAGCACAGCTGGTCGCCAACAACAACACCAACAACATCAACACCAACAGCAACATCATCATCAGCTTCTAAGCGTGAGACGACGACGACAGCAGCCGCTGTCAGCGATGGCGAGGAGCTGCCGAGCGTCAGCAGCTCCTCCTCCTCCAGCTACAATCACAATCAAAGAAAGAGCTGCTCCACGGAACGCCAGAGTGGCGTCTCAATGCCAATACGCGGCCGCAAATCCATCAAGGAGCTCAAAGAAGCCAAAGAGGCCGCCCAGGCACTGGCACTGGCTAAAGAGGATGAGTCCATGGAGCTGTCACAGCAACAGCAGGAGCTCCTCGATGAGGAAACGAAAGACACGACTAATTCCGCCAAGGACAAGGAGTTGGAAACGACGACGACGATAACAACGCCAGCCACTTGCAATCGTGTCACACGCAAAGCGCACGCTCAGGAGCTCGCTCTGGCCAACAACAACAATAGCAACAATAATAATAACAACAACAGCAGCAACAACAACAATAACAGCAGCAGTAGTAGTAGTAGTAATAATAATAATCAAAAAAACAATACACGCGTCACGCGCAATCGCCGGCAATCGTCAACGGTTAATACGGCTGCTGTGCCAGCGAGGGGTCGGCGAAAAAAGCCAGCGCCGCCCGAGCCACCGGAGCCAGCCAAGGAGCAACTGTCGATTTCGAAACGCAAGCGTTCCGATGATGATACCGAACTAAGCCTTAAATGCCAAAAGATCGAGCTCAAAACCGAAGACGATGACGAGCAGCAGCATGAGTCAAGCGCTGCCAGCGATGGCCAGCTGGATGTGAAGCCCGTGATTAAATTGGAGCCAACGGACAGTGAGGAGCAGATAATAATGCCCGCTATCACGCCCACACCGCAAACGGGAAATCGACGTGGACGCGGCCGACCGCAGAGCAACAAATCGACGCCTACTTCTGGTGGCTCAGGTGGTGGTGGTGGTGGTGCTAATGTTGCAACAACTCCAAGCACCAGCACCACAGCGACCAGTACACGTGCAACGCGCCACTCGAAGGGGGGATCACCTGCACCTGGTCTGGTCGAGCCAACGCCGCCAACAAAGCGTCGTCGTGTCGGTTCAACTAATCGCCTCTCACTGCTCGCTGGCAAGACGACGACGACGGCAGCGGCGGCGGCAGCAGCATCCGCATCGACAAGCTCAACGTTGGATGAGGATTCCAAGGATAGTTTGGCGTCAAGCACCATGGACGAGCTGTTGCTGGCCACTGCCGAGATCAAGCATGAGAAACTATTATTGGATCTTGGGGAACTCGATCCGATTGCGTCTGCAGCGTCTGAGGAGGAGACAGTAGCATCAGCAGCAGCAGGAGCATCAGCAGCAGCAGCAGCAGATGAACAGGCATCCACGTCCAGTGCATCAGCCAATGGCATTGAGCCGCTCACAGTGGACACAGACACCGAGACGATAATGGATACACTCGTCATCGATGACATAAAGCAGCCACCAGCTAAGGATAAGCCTGAAACCGAAACGGAACCAGAACCGGATACGATTGAGGCTGAGGCGGGGGTAAAGGCTGGCAAAGCGGCATCGCTGAGTCCCGAACTGTTTAGCGAGGGCGTCAGCGTCATAAGCGTTAAGCAGTTCTACAAGAAACCCGAATTTCTGGCCAACAATTTGGGCATCGAAAAGGATCCCGAGCTGGGCGAGATTGTGCAAATTGCCAGCGAGACAACGACAGCAGCAACGGCAGCTGAACAAGCAACAGCCGAGGGAGCAGCAGTTGTTGTCGCCCAGCCAGAGCGGAACATTGAACTGGAGATGACAACGACGACGCAGCAGGAGGAACTGGAGATGGATGCGGAGGCAGATGCGGCGTCGGCCGATGCGGAGGAGATTAAACAGAATAGCTCGGCAAGCATAGGTGAATTGCGTGTGGACGAAAGCGGTGATGAGCTGACGGAGGAGAAACCACACAAGACAGCAGAAAACGCCGCCATTGATCTGAATGGCATGATTGAGCCGGCGGAGGAGGAGGAGGAACAGCTGGTAAGAGCAGCCGGAGCAGCATCAGCAGCAGCAGCAGCAGCCAACACCAAGAAAACAGATGACTATGATGACTTTGAGAGTGAGATTATGGAGCAGCTGGCAAAAGAGGGCGTTGTCGATGCCAGCGGCAATGCGCTCAGCTCCAGCAAAGACAATCCGGAGCAGCAGCAGCTGACAGCTAATGATGGCAATGAATGTGATACATCCAAGGAGCAGGAGCAGGCAGTCGACGATGAGGAGGAATCTGAGGAAACGACGCCAGAGACGACAGAGTTGGGCGAAGTCGATGAACTCAATATGTCGGCTGGCATAGATCCGGTGATCGCAATGGAGCTGGAACCCCCCTTAACCGAGGAGCAGGAGGCCGAAGCGAATGCGGTCGCCGATGATGATGCTGATGCTGAAATGGCAATTCTGAGCGAGAATTGCAGCGAAAATTATCCCGAGGAGAACAAGGAAAATGTGTCCACTGCCAAAACAGATGCAGTCAGTCAGTCGGAGATTGCCCTGCAGCTGGAGTTGGAGCTCAAGGGTGATCTGAGCACGACTGTCAAGCACGAGACGTCCAAGCCAAAGCTGGAGCAGCACGTGGAGGAGGAGGCGGCGACGGCGGGGGCAGCAGATGAGCCCGAAGATGATGAGAAACCGTTGGCTGCCGTTGCCGCTGAACAGGCGAATGGAGCCAATGCTGCACTGCTGCAGCTTCAGCTCCAGCAGCTGAAGCCCGATGGCGATGAGAAGTTGCGACGCGAAAAGGAGCGACACTTGCAGCACTTGGGTCTGTTGACGCATCAGGCCGCGGAGCAGGTGCGTCAGGAATTCATACACACGCAAACGCGCCAACATCAGCAGCAACAACAGCAGCAGCAGCAGCAACAACAACAACAACAGCAGCAGCAGCACCACCAACACCATCACCAGCAGCACCACCACCAGAGCAATAAACGTTCCACATCGAAATCATCAGGGGGCAGCAACAGCACCATTCACATCGAATCGAGTGGGACGCTGAAAACCGTCATTAAGCTGAATCGCAGCAGCAATGGCGGCGCTGGCGGTGCCTCGGGTCTGCCCACGGGCACCGTTATACACGGCGGCGCTGGTGCTGCTGCAGCGGGTGGCAGCGGCACAGGTGGTGGTACCAGCGGTGGTGGTGGTGGCAGCAGCAGCTTTACTGCATCCGCTGGCACACGCAAAGGTGGCATTGCTGGGGGCGGCGGCGGCAGCGGCGGTGGCGGCAGTGGCAGTGGGAGCAGCTCGTCGACGACGCATGGCGTGCGTCGCCAGTCGCTCAAGATGACATTCCAAAAGGGACGCGGACGCGGTCATGGTGCAGCGGATCGTGCCACAGATCATCAGGCCGATGATTCCTACTACACCATACAGAATGAGGTAAGTGCGCAACAACGCCATCAACACTGTCAGCAATGTGCCCAACAATTCTAATCAATCCCATTCTCAATTTGCAGAACGAAGGTGCGACCAATCGATCCAATCTTTACAATCAATTGAATTCGGGTAACGCTGCTGCTGCTGGTGGTGGTGGACGCAAGTCAACTAACCGCTTTAACAGCTCCACTAACAACAACAACCACAACAACAACAATAGCAACAACAGCAATCAAAAGCAACAACAGCAGCAGCAACAACAACAGCAACAGCAGCAACATAATAGCAACAACATTTCGTCCTCCAGATCTGGCCTGGGTTGGTGTCTGCTGTTTGTTTTTGTTTTTGTTGGATTTGTTTATGTTTCTGTTTCTGTTTCTGTTATGTCTCCTTTTTATTTATGCGCCCAAATACAGCCTATCAAATTGAGATTAGAGATATGTTATCTAAAATAACCATTTATCAGCTATGATTTATATCGTATTTAAAAGGATATATGCCAAAGTCTATATGTGTGTAGAGGAACATGACTCGTCTGTTACAAAATGAGAATGCTTCAAAATATAGAAGAAGAGAAGAAGTTTTGGATATGAGCAGCTTTATTTCGATCTATAAAGCTAATCTCTGCAATATTCTTAATGATTATCAAGCAAAGATTTGGCTGTAGATCACTTGAAAGTTAAGTTGATTAGTTTGCAGCTACCAAAGAAACAATTAGTTAATTATTTATCCGATTTTGATTAAGCAAGCTATAATTATGGGAAAGAAAAGCCTTAGGCTTTTCGATGCACATCCTACAAGAATGTGTCGCCTTAACTAGAAGCAGACGCAGCATCCCAGGGATGCATACTATGATTTTCAGGGACATAGAAGACCTCAACCCAACAAAGAACTATGGAACTAGGGCTGAGAAGGGGGCAAAGTAGATCGATTAGGTTGCAGTGCAATCCCTAGCTGTTGTTGTAATTTATATATATATAGAGGTATTTGTTGCATGTGCTTTTTTTTTATGTAATGTTTAAAATGGGTATTTGAATTGTTTTGTGGCACACACAGATTCATCGCACTCAGAGGGCCATGGCGGTCAGATGGAGCATGGCTTCTATCAGATGGTGAAGAAGGATGAGAAGGAGAAGATACTCATACCGGAGAAGGCGTCCTCGTTCAAGTTCCATCCGGGCCGGCTGTGCAATGATCAGTGCTACTATTGCAGCGGCAAGTTCGGACTCTATGACACACCCTGTCACGTTGGCCAGATCAAGTCCGTGGAGCGTCAGCAGAAGATACTCGAAAGTAGGTTCTCCCCCTCTCTCTTTATCGAATGGTATTTAACAAGTCGTTTCGCTTTTGTGTGTGTTGTGCAGATGAGGAGAAATTGACGGTGGACAATTGCCTGTGCGATGCCTGCTTCCGTCATGTGGATCGACGCGCCAATGCGCCCTCCTACAAGAAGCGTCTCTCGGCGCCCGGCCACTTGGAGACGGGTAACAACAATAACAACAACAGCAGCAGCGCAGCTGGCAGCAATCTGGATGCGGGCGATACGGAATTTGCGTCGACTTCGACGGGCGCCGCTTCCGGTTCGGGTGCACAACGGATTTGCGCCGTGAAGGATTGCGCCGAGGCCGCCGGTCAAACGCTGAAACGCAAAAGCGTCCGCAAGAGCATCAAGAAGTGTCTGCTGCGTTTCGAGATACCGCCGGGCACCCTTAATGTGGCACTCTGCGTACCCCACTACAATACGGTCATCCAATCCTCTGGCTGTGCGCTCTGCAAGCGTCGTCTCGGCAAGAACATGTACCATATCACCTCGGTAAGCATTGCTTGAGCTTCGTTCTGCGAATTAATCATCAACATGAACATCTCGATCTCGATCGACTCTTCAGCAGGACACTGATCGCTTGGAGAAGGCCCTCACCGAAATGGGCATTCAGGTTCAATTGGGCGTCGGCACCGCCGTCTGCAAACTCTGCCGCTACTTTGCCAATCTGTTGATGAAGCCGCCGGACAGCACCAAGTCCAACAAGGCCGAGTTCATCAAGAACTATCGCAAGAGGTAAGCCGCCAGCCAGACGACGACACGCATTCTCCAAAGGATCCACTACTAATCATATTTCTTTTTATTTTTGGCAGGCTGCTCAAGATGCCCAATCCGCAGGATGGCAGCAACGATGCATCTGATGTGGATGAGGATGATGCGACTGCCGCAGCAGCTGGTGAAGTTGGCGGCGCTGCTGGCGGAGTAGCTGGGGCAGGTGCGGCAGGGGCAGGACGTCGTAGTTCCACACGCGCTGCTGCTACTGCAACGGCTGTCACCTCGTCGGGCGCTTGCGATGATGCGTCCAGCGAGATGCCCATGGTTGTGGACTATGATGGGCCAACGGACTCCAATTCGAGCAGCTCATCAACGACGCCGATTGTCGGCGCCGGCACCAGCAAACAGATGTCCAAGCTGAAGGCCATACTCCAACAGCAGCAGCAGCAACAGCAGCAGCAGCAGAATATGGCTGGCGAGCTGACAGCGACGACGCCCAATTCCAATTGCTCAACCTCCGGCGCCGGCAATTTGGATAAGAATTCGAAGAGCAAATCAACGACTGGCACTGGCACTGGCAGTGGCACTAGCAGTGGTAGTGGCAGTGGCAGTGGTTCATCATCGTCGGATATATCGAATGTGCTGCGCGGCAATCCAAACATCTCGATGCGTGAACTCTTCCACGGCGAGGAGGATTTGGGTGTGCAGTTCAAGGTGCCGTTCGGTAGCAGCAGCAGCCAGCGCACACCGGAGGGCTGGACACGAGTGCAGACGTTCCTGCAGTACGATGAGCCGACACGTCGCCTGTGGGAGGAGCTGCAGAAGCCGTATGGCAATCAGAGCAGCTTCCTCCGACATCTCATCCTGCTGGAGAAGTATTATCGCAATGGGGATCTCGTACTCGCCCCACACGCATCCTCCAATGCCAGCGTCTATACGCAAACAGTGCGTCAGCGTTTGAACTCCTATGATCATGGACACTGCGGTGGCCATCATCAAAGTGGCGCCCACAATGCAAAGACATCTCTGTATCCAAATTCAAATCAGACTCCCAATCCCAGCGCCAACAACTCCGCCTCCTGCTCACCCTTGTCGCCGGCTAGTGCAGCCAATGCCAGTTCCGGCTGCTCATCGCTCAATGTTGGCAGTGTCCTTGCCAGCGCTTTGACCAACAGCACGGATCAACAGCAGCAGCAGCAGCTGTTGTCCTCCAGCCAGCTGCAGCAGCAGCAGCAGCAACAACAGAAGCCGCCGTCAGCCGAGTCGTTCATACCGCTTGTGGAGCTGAATGATGACGATGATGAGTATGAGGATAACGATAACGATAACGATGACAATGACAAAAACAACTACAACGATGTGGAGAACGTTGCACTCGACACTGAGGAGGATCCGCTGGAGCGTCTCTGCAATGCATCCGTCGACAAGCTGACCAAGCAGCTCAGCTCGAATGCGGTTACCATAATAGCGCGACCCAAAGACACCACAGCAGCCAACAGCAGCAAGGTAGCAACAACAGCAACAACAACAGCAGCAGCAGCAGCAGCTATTGATGATTTGCAGCAGCAGTTGTCGCGGGCAACAACAACAACAGCAGCTGCGATTGCAGCAGCAGCAACAGCAACATCAAAGGAGGCGCCACCACTGGTGCCCACAACGAGTGCGGCGGCAAATAGTCGCAGCATACTCAAGACCAATCTGCTGGGCATTAACAACAAGGCGGCCGTTGAGATTGTACCGTTGACAGCAGCTCAGCAGCAGCAGCAACAGCAGCAGCAACAACAACCACAACCACAACAGAAGCCGCACAAGCTGCTGGACATGCCCAATAAGTTGCCACACAATGAGACGCCATCGTCGTCGTTGTCGTCATCGTCAACGTCGCTGCAGCTCCAGACCAAAGTGAAGTCGATCCTGTCGACGCCCGCGTTACTGCAACAACAACAACGGCAGGTTGCCAAGCAGCCGCCACCGAATGTGGCACAGTTGCTCAGCTCACCGCCCGAGCTGATTAGTTTGCAGCGTCGTCGCACTGGTGCTGGCGCTCCTGCAACTGCTGCGTGTTCAACAGCACCATCAACATCGGCGGCGGCAGCAGCTACTGCTGCGGCTGCGTCAATTGCTGGAGCTGCTTCAACGCCGGCAGCTGCTACTAAGATGGCTGGTTTCGCTGGCAAGCGACTGCAATTGCCGCGGGCCAACAACAATGTGCCCAGTGTGATTATGCTGCCGGAGACGTTGTCGGCGCAGGAGCGGCACGAGAGCAAGAGCTGGAAGCCAACGTTGATACCGCTCAAGGACCAGCATCGGGTGCCAAATCGAACGTTAACGCTATTCCAAACGGCCGACGGCCGACGTCTGCCCGCCCAGGTGCAGGTGCAGTCCAGTGGCAAGCCATATCTCATCTCCATCATTGACTACAATCGCATGTGCATTCTGCGGCGCGAGAAGCTGCAACGTGATCAGGCGCTCAAGGCGGCCAGTGCCAGTGCCGGTGGTGCCACCAAGCCAAAGACGACCGGACAGCAATCGCAATCGTTTGCTGCCTTGTCCAAGATGTCAGCAGCACAGCACACCGCACGCCATCAACTGCAGCAACTGCAGCAGCAGCAACTGCAACAGCAACAACAGCAGCAGCAACATAAACATCAACAACAACAGCAGCAGCAGCAGCAGCAGCAGCAACAGTTGCCCACATTGCTGCCGGGTGGCAGCGCTTTGCGTTTAACACGCCTGCAACCCAAACCGATGCCGCCGCTGAGTAATCCCCAGCAGAACAACAGCAATAACAATAATAACAACAACAACAACAACAATAATAATAATAACAACAGCCACAATAACAACAACAGCGGCAACAGCAGCAGCGGCAGCAACAGCAACACCTCTCAATCCTCGCAAGGCAATTATCAACCATTGCTGAACAGTGCACTGGTAGCAGCAGCTGCTGCTGCTGTCGGTGGTGGCGCCAACAACAATGGCAACAACGTCAGCCTGAACAGCACCGACAGCTCCTGGCTGTGGAAGAACTTTCCGGATGCCAATCAGTATCTATTAAATGGCACAGCTGCTGCTGGCGCCGCCAACAAATTGCCGCATTTGACTGCCAAGCCGGCAACGGCAACAGCCACAGCAACGGCGACAAGTGGCTCAGGATCAGGAACTGGATCTGGTGGTGGTGTTGGTGTTGGTGTTGGTGGTTGTATTACATTTACGCTGAAGCAGCAGCAGCAACAGATGGAGCAGCAGAAGCTTATCGATAGTGTGCTCATGTCCAGGATACCCAAAAGCCTAACGGTTATACCACAACATATGGGCGGCGGAGGATCTGGTGGGGCAGGTGCTGGCGGTGGAGGAGGTGGCGAACTGGGGCACAAGGAGTGATGTTGCCTGCAACTAGATGTAAACATAAAACACAATCCTGCCAGTGATGATGGGAAAGCGAATCAAAAACTAACTAAAAACAAAACAAGGATAAGCAAAGAGAGAAGGAGAAGCAGCAGCAGCAGCATTTGCATTTCAAAACATGATTATATATATATATATATAGATATAGATATATCAATAGATATATATAGATATATATAGATATATATTTCATATTACATTTTACTATAAGAAAGAGAAAGGATCAGAGATCAAAGTCAGCGCTATTGATTATTAATTTATATATATATGTATGTATATATGTGCATATATAGTATATATATATATATGTATATGTATATGTATATGTATATGTATATGTATATGTATATGTAATTACAAAGCATATTCCATAAGAGAAAGCGGAAAACACAAACTAAGATGAAGCAACAAGTTGAAGCTTCGATTTTTTGAGTTATATATATATATATATAAACAGCTAGAGTTGAAAACTATACAAATAGAAAGAAAGCGAATTAGAGAGAGAGAGAGAGAGAGAGAGAGCAAGCGAGAGCGAGAGAGAGAGAAAGCAAAGGCGAACAGACACACAAAAGAATGAAAAAGAGAATCGTGTGGAGCAGAAGCAGAAAAAACCAAAATGGTTTTGTTCTTTTTTTTTTTTTTTAATGTTGCATTAGAATTATTTAGTCGATAATGTGTAGAGTTTAGGCATTAGAGTTAGGCATACATACATACATACATACATACATACATACATACATACATACATACATACATACATACATATACTTAGTAGTCTTTTAGTATTATGTTTAGTCGGGGGCTAAATGGGGCGGGGCGTATGCAGAATACGCGCATATTTTATTGATTGAACAAGTTTTTAAGTGCGCCTTTAAAGTTAACAACAAAAACAAAAGAAAAACAAAAACAAAAACAAAAAGAGAAAGAAAGAAAAAACGTTACACGATAAACGACACAGAACCGATATACATACAAACATTTACTATATAGTACTATATACATACCCCACATACCATACCACATACACTTACATTAATTATTACTATATAACACACACACACACACCCACACACACATGCATACACATCTATCTATTTTTTTATTAGACCTAACAAAACAGAAGACAAATATATATCACAAATATGGGAATTTCGTGTATTATGGATACCAAAATTGCTTTACATAATAATGCACAGGTCTATTTTAGAATGCGAGACGATTTTTTTTTTCATTTTGGGTTTAGTTAACTTTTCGTGTGCATTTCCAAAACAAAAAAAAAAAAACTGTTTCCAAAATCAACAATTTTTTCTTGTTGCTTTTATAGCACATCCATCCATCCATCACACATATGCAAAGTGAAAGTAGCCTCCTGGCGAACAAAAACGGGCTTTGCAACCACCAACAAAAATGTTGGAGTTTCTCCTGTTGCATGAATACTCTGTGTGTGTTTTTCTTTTCGGCACTTGGCTTGTGCAGTCTCTGTTTGATCTTATTATACGTTTAGACGTTGGTCGAAATGTCTCTGTTTCTGCACATTGGTTTCTTCACTGGGCTTCACATACGCATCTGAACACAAACACAAACCACAAAACACAAAACACACATATAGCCTATAGAATAACTAGAGATAAAGCTTCTTATGTTTAGAAGAGTGTGTTTTTTTTTTTATTATTAGAATTATCTACATTTACACTGCGACTTCATATCGTACAGAAGAAGTGGGGGAAAAGAGGTTACAGCAGATATAACTAAAGCTACAAAAAAAAAAAAAAAAAATTAAAAATAAAAATAAGAAAAGAAAAAGAAGAAAAAAAAAACATTGGAAATTATTATTTTTTTTCGTTCTATACATACACATAAATAATTATATGCATATATTTAATTTATATTTTCATTTGAATTATTAATTGTACATATTTATACGCAGACATAAACATAAAACATAAACAACAACAAACAAAAACAACAACAACAACAAATAATCAATAAAAATCAACACATAAAATACAAATCAAATACTGAACACATTTTTTTTTCACGTTTTGCGTTTCTGTTCTTTTCGCTAGGCTTTAACTCTAGCCTTTTGTTGCTATCGTTATCGTTATCGCTTATCGATACAACCAAAAACAACAAGACAATGAAAACCCACAAAAGGAAATGGCCCTTAAATTCAAAGCTTTCAAAAATGCAAACAAATTATATAAAGTATATATATACATATATATATATATATATATTTTAACAGAGATATAATTGTGAATTTAGCTCGTTAAGCATAGTTATATTTATATACATAGAAATTCAATTGTTGTTGTTGATGAAAACATTGAAAATGTATTTATAAAACCAGAGAAAAAATCAAATTATGAATGTTGAGAATATTTCAGTTGTCCGTCGTTTTGCCTAAAAAGAAAGAGCCGCATATATATAAATAGCTATATGTATGTATATATATTTATATACATGCAATATACGTGTGTACACTTTGCCAATCAAGATCAGAATAATGCATGGGCGTATGTCCTACGTATAGGCGTATGTCCTTGAAAATAAATGAAGAATACAAATATGAAAAAGAAAAACTGACCAAAACTGATGCACATTTGCCTTCAATTTGCTTTGTACGAGTGTGTGTGAATGTGTGTGTGTGTGTGTGTGTGTGTGTATGCTTGTGAATGTGTGTGTGATATATATATATATTCATATATATATATATATATATATATATGTGCACATTAAACTAATACATCTTGTATACCAATTATACTTACTTATTTATGCATAAATTTCCGTTCTTTAAACATATAAGCAAAGATCCGAATTAGTTGCGAACATTCAAAATAAATCCCATACTATAAGTAATACTACGTACAAATATTTGTTTTATTTTCTCTTTAAGAAATATTGAACATTAATCGGCTGTAAAATCGACGTTTTCTGTCGTCGATCTATGAAGGATTCTTCAATTTATAATCGCTGTCCTTATGCAGTGTGACAGAGCAGGTCCTTGCACTTCTAACGCACTATGTCCTTCGAGGATATGCCCGAATTAGAGTTATTTCCTAAAATCAAAATTCGTTTTTAAGAATTAACTCGGCACAAGGATGGACCAAATGGGTATATATCATTGAGCTCACAGGAAAGACAACTATCGATTGGCGTTCAGAAAAATTGAGAAAAATAGAAAAAAACAATTTTAACTGTACCATTTCAAGGACAATCCGGATGTTCTTTGCACCACAGATAGTCCTTGGAGTCCTTCAGACTGTTGAAATGAAAGTTCTTTTATAGCTCGGCCTTATAATGGCGGATTCTCAGAAATACTAAATCATAAACCGGCCAAAGGACATTCAAATCGGCCTTTTCCGAGAAGACAAGAATTTTCTGTGATTTTTGCAATTCTAACGCACCATATCCTGTCAGACTTTACAAGGACATGGCCGAATTGGAGCTATACTCGTAGCCACTTCATGTACTTCATGTATTTCCTGACACTAGTCGGCCGCCATCTAATTTTTCTTTTTCTTTCATTGGAGTGGAATGTTTGGGAGACAATTGGGTATCCAAGTGAAATTGGCGTTGCATATTAAAACACAATATCACCAAATAATCGTTTTATTTCACTTTCTCGTATATGTATGCATGTATGCATGTATGTATGTATGTGTGTGTGGGTGTGTGTGCGTATATGGATAAATCAATGGGATTTTCTTATCTCTTTTTGTTTGTTTGTTTTATTTAATGACAAATTTTTAATGTTTGCTGAAATGTGAAATTCGAAGAGAAAAACCAAAAAAAAATATATATATGTATATTTATATTAAATAAATGTATGAATAATATGAATATTTAGATACGAGTAGTTTGCGATGAATAAATAGATATAAATTGTTTCATTTCTTGGCTGCACAATAATTGTCAGCCCCATTTCAATCAAGTTGCCTCTGCCTGTTCTTCAATCTTATCTCAATATGCTGCTGCTGACACTATCTTTCCGTTGCTTCCTCTTACTCTCTCTCTCTCTCTCTCTCTCTCTTTTTTACTGTTGCTTGAGTATTCTGCTTTTTAGTTAAGAGTGTGTGTGTGTGTGTGTGTGTGTGAGTGAATATATATATATAAATATATATATTTCTCTTTATCGCTCTATCTATCTATCTCTCTCTATTTGGTTGCTGCCTTATCCTTTTTGACTTGCTTCATTTCGTAGTGTTTTCTGTAGTTGTTGTTATTGTATTGAATTTGTAGTTGTTTTGTTTTTTTGTTTGTTTTATTAACATAAATTTCAAAAAATAATGTTTTTAGACGTTGTTTGTTTTGTTTTGTTTGTTGTTTTCCTCCTTTTTTTTTTGGATATTCGATATGCATTTGTGTTGTGTATTCTTTTTCTGTTTTACAATCGGCTTGAAAATGAATATATAATTATATATATATATATATATATATATATATATATATATATATATATATATGTATATATGATGTATGATATACATTTGATATTTGTATACATCGAGATATATATATACACATATACATATGTATGTATGTATATATATATATATATATGTATATGTATAGTAAGTACAATATATAATTTGCAAAAAAATTATAATTTTTCCTCTTTTTTTGTTTTGTTTTTGAGTGTAGTGTATATAATAATAAATCTATGTTTAATATTATTATTATTAAAATTTATCAATTATTATATGATCTCGGGGCTGTGGCGGCCCGCTGCACATAGGGACGAGCTCTCTCTCTCTCTCTCACTCTCTCTCTTTCTCTGTTTCTCTTTTCTCGTTCGGTCGCATCGCTCGCTCGCTCTCTCTCCTTCTCTCTCTCTCTCTCTCTCTCTTTTCTGCTGGGAGTGAGTGCTTGTTTGTGTGTGTGTGTGTAGGGTGAGTGAGTGTATGTGTCTGTGAGTGAGTGTGTTTCTGTGTGTGTGTGTTTGTCTGAGTGTGTGTATGTATGTTGGTGTGTGCGTGTGTGTGTGTGTGTGTGTGTGTAGAGGGGGCGTACGGCGGATCGGGAGCGTTTACAAATCGGTCTCGCCATAGAGAGCTGTGCTGAAGGACATGTAGTCCAGGGCGCCGTGCACTCCGTTGGGTCCCTTGTATGGCGGCATGCGCTGAATGCAGTACTCGGCCTGATCTGGTGGCAATTCGCGGCGCAGCTCATCGGGCAATATGTATGGCTGCGAATAGACAGAGAGAGAGAAGGATGTTTGTTTAAAAAGAAAGCAGACATAGAGAAATGAATTCTTACCTTGTCGGCAGCCAGGATTCTGAAGGAATCAATGACTTGTTCGGCGGTGTCGGTGTCGGTGCTCTCGCGCGTCATGAAATCGAGGAAAGCATCAAAGTGAACGTAGCCGGTGTTATTGGGATCGACAACGGCGAGGATGCGCTGGAAGTCCATATCACCCTGTCTGTCCTTGCCAATCGAATAGCCCAGCGAGACGAGGCACGATTTGAACTCCTCGGGCGTTAGGCGGCCGGTGCGATTCTTATCGAAATGATTGAAACTGGAACGGAACTCATTCAGCTGCTCCTGGCTAATGCCCTTGGAGTCGCGTGTCAGTATCTGGTTCTCCACCTCGTTAATGTTGCGATTAATTGATGTGAGCAGCTGCTCCCAGCCGACGCGCAGCGTCTCCATCGTATAGTTCGTATAGCGATTCTCAAAGATCATCGACTCCTGGACGGCCTGATGGATCTTCTCGAGCTCCTCAATGTTTGGCTTATAGGCATAGACAGCCTGCTCGTATTCCTTGAGGCGATGCAATTGATCCTCCAGCGAGCCCTGCATACCCATGCCTATCGCTGTCACAGCATCCATCTGCCTCTCGATCCATGGACCGACAACGTTGGCCTTCTCGGCAAACTGGCGACGGAGCATCTCGTTGTTCTGCTGCTTGCGCAGCTCGTTGGCCAGCGTCTGATCGCGTTGCGGCACCAATTGGCGGACATCGCTCCATTTGCGCGTCATATCGTTGGCGGTCAACGTCGTATAGGGATTCTCCAATCCGCCGGGTATCTGGTGTTGCTTCACAATCGATTCGACCTCGCGCACCAGATTCACAATCAGATTGAACTCCTTGTCGGCCTCGCCGAGTGTCGCCTTGAACTGATCGTGCGCCTGGATCAGGCCCTGAATCTCCTCCATTGTGTGAACAATGAACATATCGACCAGATCCTCACGTGTACCATCCAACCAATTGTTAAACGGCGCCGCACGCTTCGCAAACTCCAAATGCAAGATGTCGATCTTCTCCAGTATGCGCTCCGCCTCATCCAATGCAGTGCGACGACGCTGGGTGAGTGCACCCAAGCGATCCCACTGATCGCAGATGCGCTGACAACGTGCATTCACCGACACACAGTCGTGATACTCCAGAGTGCTGCAAGCATTCAAATCACATTCGCGATTAGTTCAAAAATAACCTTGGAATTGCTCATTGTTAAAGTTGAATGTGAGCGTGATTGACTGATTGACTGATTGATGATCGCGTGAGTGAGTGATTGTTGCAGCTTGACAACTGTTGACAACTCATCCTGAACTGATGCTCACTCCTAAGTATAATTCTCGATATCTATAGCTATACAGCTATATATATTGTGATCGTTTCCTGATTATTGATTATTATAATTATTGATTGTCTGATTGATCAAACGAGTTAAATGCCATTCATGCTTAGTAATCTCTACTATTCCACGCTGTGATCTACAGATTAGATTTTAATCTAAACATCTCTGATAACTGATAAATATGATTGATTATGAGCTAAATCAAGTTCATCAATCTGAAAGATGTACAAAGGTGTCTAGTGTTTAACATGAGTGATGAGATCGTGAATGACATATGGAACATTGGATGACCAACATTGGATGGATGATCAGCAGTAAAGCCAGCTAACCTCAGACTTTGCGTTGTTGCCCAGCATTGGTTAGCATTGATGCAATAATAGTATTAATAATTGAATAAGAATTGGGTAAGTGGATAGAGAGATTGAGAGCGTAACACTAGATTAACAATGGATTAGGATTGTCAGGTCGACAAATGGCCAGCTCAAACTCACTTCAGCTCCTGGGCAATGGCGGCAATTTGTTCAACGCGATCCTGGTGGGCGGCCAGATCAGACTCAAAGGCTTCGTGCTTCTTCTTGAGGGCCTTCAGCTCGTTGAGCTTGCATTGACGGAAGTCCTGCGACTGCAGCATCTCTTCCTTGCCACGTGTCCAGTCCTCGTGAGCATCGGCCTGCATTACAATAACAACAGCAGCAACAGCAACAGCAACAATAACAATTACGATCATTTAAGATTTCGATTCGTTTTGATTGATTTGGCTAACCTTATGCTTGAACTTCTGGGCCAAATGTTCGAGACGCTCCAGGCGCATGGTCTCAGCCAGCAGCCATTCCTCGAACGCCTTCTCGGCGAGCTCCAGTCCCTTCCAGCTGTTTGAGATATCGGACACGGTCTTGCCCTCGGTGGGCAAGTAGGCTGGACGGTTGGACAGACGCAGTTTCGTCTGCAGCGTGTTAAAGTTAGTTTCGAGTTTTGCCTTCTGCTCAACACGTGGCGGCTTGTGCTTGCGTCGGTACGTCCGGTACTCCTCAAGCTTCTTCTGTACGCCGGCCAGCGAGTTGTCTGCCTGGCGCGAGTTCAGCCACGGCATCGTGCGACGAATCCATTCCAGCAGCTATAAATAATCAACAACGTTTCACATTTGAGTAACGAGTAACGAGTAACGCATAACGAATAGCGAGAAATCGTTGCAGCAAGTCAATCTATGTGCCAATGTTTTGCAACTAGCGAGTAATTGCTCCAACGAGTAACGCGTAACGAGTTGTAAAACAATCGATTTAGTTGCAGCTGGAGCTGCATTGTGAATACTTACATCGCTGGCCAGACGCTCGTACTCCTCCATAAGACGCTCATTCTCCTGATTAACCTTGAGCACCTTGCAAATACGGTTGGCCGCCGTTTCCGCCTGCCAAATGGTGAAGTTTAGAATATTGATGTTAGTTTAACATTTGACTCGCCAGCCAATCACTCTGAGTGTGTGTGTGTGTTTGATCACAAAACCAACTCAGAATTTTCGTATGCAAATCAAGACGAACGAACGAACGAACGAAGATCAAGTCAAGGCAAGTCAAGGCAAGTCAAGTCAAGGCAAGGCAAGGCAAGAAGTAACTGCACATAACTAATTAAGCCAAATCCAATTGGAACGATTATTTGTTTGCGTTAGTGTTGCAAAAGCCCATTCAAAGCAGATGCCAGGCAGGCAAGGCAGGCAGCAATTCTCTCAATTCCAATTCGGGGCACCAATGTGTGTATTGTGCGTGTGTATGTATGTGTGTCCATTTGTGCGTGTATTTGTGTAAGATGGAACGAAATGACATGGAATGAAACGTACTCAGTTGAGTGCTGGCCAAACAAATGGAAATCTTTTTTCGAAAAAGTTTCTGCTGCCTGTTGAAAGGGAACTGGAAATGGCATCGGTGGTAGAATGATGAATGAGGCTTTGCCTCTTAAAATGTTTGTAAACAGCTGTTGTCAGCTGTGGTGAATCAAAAATTAGAAATGAAACAAAGTGGAATAGAACAATCGAGCTTCCGCGTGGGGCAACGGAATGGAATGGAACTGCCATCTGATTAAATGATGCCCAACCAAAAGCAAATGTTGGATGCATGAATTGCAGGCTGGGTTGTAGTTGGGACTGTGGTTATGGTTGTGCTTGTAGTTGTGGTTGGGGATGTAGGTGGTTGTCTGGGCGTGTGTGGTTTGTGTATAACAGACCTTTTGGGCGCCACTAAAGCAGTGATAATACGATGATACGTAGGTCATGACCGCTCTTTCATCGGGCAATGCAGTATTCTGCAAATCTGTGTATGATCGGTGGTTGTTGTTGGTGGTGGTTGGTGATCATGGTGGTGGTGGTGGTGATAGTGTTGGTGATGGTGTTGTTGTTGTTGTTGTTGTAACATTTATCGTTATCGTTATACATAGACATATATTTATTTTTGATTTGTTGGGAATTGTAGTAGTTGTTGTTGTTGTAGTTGTAGTTGTTGTTGTAGCGAATAGCGGTAGCAGTTTTTGTTGTTGTTGGTTGGTTGTTGTTGTTGTTGGTTGGTTGGTTGTTGTTGTTGTTGTTAATGGCGTTGTTGATGAGCGCATTCGCATTCGCGAGAAGTAGCGAGTAGAGCGAGAAGAGCGAGAAGAGAGAGAGAGAGAAAGAGAGAGAAAAGCAACAAAAACATACAAGTGAATTATTTGTCGGTTAGTTGTTTTTCGGCGGGCGGGCAGGCAAAATTAGCAAAAATCAAAATAAATACAACTCTCAATATAAAACTCTCGATATATGTATGAATGTCCTTGTGCATATGTCTACAGTATGCATGTACAGTGTTAACTATTGTTAACGAACTCCCAACTAGCAACTAATCGGTTTCTTTAAATTGATATCGGTTTTTTTGTTCGCAATAACTATTTAATCATGATTTTCATGGCATAAACTTATTACAAAAGTGCAATCGTTAATGTTATGTTATCGAATTATATATATATATATATCTTTATGTTATCGAATTATTTATGTATATCTTTTTGATCAACTATTAAAAATTTGAGTTGCTCGAAGAGGGTTCTCAGGATTGCATCATTATTTGTAGTCTGGTATTTGCTAGTTGTTCAACACTGGACATGCACACGTAGATGTATTCAAGTGTCTATCGATATACATATATCGATTATATTGAGAGCGTTAGTAGCTTAACTTTCATAACTTAAGGCATGCCTTTGATTAGAGCACACAGGTTGTTTTCGATGAATTCGATTTTCAATAACGAACTCAAACAACGCTCGGAGATATTTTCAAATTTGGAGCATGGTTTGAGTTCGTTATGCAACATGATGAGAATTATACATAGTATATATATATATATGTCTATATGGATGGATAATACATAGCATAACAATCTTAGAATCTATGTAAAAATAATATAAAAATCCGAACGTTGAAATTCGCAAACGGTTCAAGTGCAACATGCAGCGCAACGGCGAATGATTGACAAAGGAGTGGAGTGAACAGATGGAGACACACAGAAAGAGAAAAAGAGACAGACAGACAGAGAGAGAGAGAGAGCGAGAGAGATAGAAAGGAGAGAAGAGCTTTGAAAGCTCACCAATACCAATGCATCGCAATACTCTCTGGTATTAGTATGGAGTTTGTTAGTGTTGAATGACGTTCTTCGCAGGCAGCTCGAGCAAACTGTACAACATGATGCATATACATACATACATATATATATATATGTACACAGATACTGTACAGATTTCTTCTTTTTTTTTTTGCTGGTTTTTTTAAGGCAAAAGCTGCATATACATACATATATATATGGAACAGTGAAACAAAGCTGGCATTTGCAATTTGAGCACAAATTTCATGTTGTTTTGTTTTTGTCAAAAAACAAACGGCAATAAAAATATAAATATATATATATATAAATATATATATTTTGTATAGATAGAATGTAATATAGAACGAGAAATGGAATAGATATATAATATTTAAGTGTATCGAGATGTGAAGTTTAGTCACATTGTAATTATTCGGGACGTAGGTGTATTGTCTTGTGGGTTCGGGTACATGCGTCACATTTCCAACCTGTTGGGCTCCCTGGAAGGCGTGATAGTAGCAGGACACGTACGTCATTATGGCACGTTCATCCGGTTTCGGAGTGTTGATTAAATCTGTTTACACATCACACGGTTGTGTCCAAAATTGATGATTCATTTTTTTGAGTATTGAGAATATTAAATTATTATCAGCATTAATCGAACTAAATTCCTAACCTTAACAATTATTATTATTATTATCGTAATTATTGATTACAAAATATAAATAGTCGACTATAGCTAAAGTAGTTTGTAGTTTGTTGTATGAGCTATGTGGAACATACCATCTGGATCCAACATCCTTGGAATATCTAGATATTTCTCAGCAACATCAAAGGCAGTGTTCAGATTCTCCATTGGATTGTCTTTGGATAGCTTAGCATAGTCAATCAGATCTGGACGATGACGATGGATAAGCGCGCAGAATGCCAGACCGTCCTACACACAAGAAAGAAAGAATAAGAAACAAAAAATAATAGAATAATAAAAGGATGCAGGTTGAAGGGGTATATTTATGGTGATGATTTGGTGGACATACCTTGAAGGACAGATGGAAGTTCTGTACGTTGACATTCTTGTAGGGCGCCGTCTTGCGCTGGCACCACAATAGCAGACCCTCCTTGGCGGTCATCTCCTCGACGGAGATATCCTGAATGGCGAAACGGAGAATGATCGTCCAGATCATGCCGAGCGTCATTTTGAGATTGCCATCGACGATCTCCTCGGCGCCAATCGACACAAGATGCACACCCTTCGATGCAATAAAATCGAGAGCCTTGTTCACATTGGCAATTTTGTGGAAACGCATCTTGCCGCGATCGGGCTTGGGCAGCGTCTCGCCAGAGATAACCTCCAGCAGCAGCATCAGCTTGAGGCCATTGCGGAAGTCCTCCTCGATGTTGTCGATGGCGGTGCCAGCTTTACGCAAATGACTGTTACACCACGCAGTAAATGTCTATCAAAACAAAAAAAAGGACACAAGAGAAATATAAAAAACAAATACAATTTTTGTATAGCTCAATAATTGATTAGAATCATGAAAGATCGGAATAGAAATTTAATAGATCAAATGGAATTACCAAGGACCTAAGTAATCGGATAAATTATGTATTCCTAACAGAAGCTAGAGCAAACTATGATTATTATTTTATAAAACGGAAAATAAGTTTAATTTACAAAAAGTATTTTTATTTCTTTTTATGATAGAAAATATATATATTTCACAGCATACTCTGCACAATCAAACATCTATTTCGCTTTGCAGAATTGTACAAGTATTAAGTCTGAGAAACTACAGTAAATAAAATATAATTTTCAATTTGCTATAGTTTGAAATAATGTTGTCTTTTTTATAGAAGATTTAAGTTGGGCGAGGAGTTCTTAAGGTGTTTGTTTTGTGCAGAGGCAGAGTTCTTAAGGAGTTCGCATTAGGAGGGCATTGAGAGCTAGCCAAGAAAGCTCAAACGGCATCTTGAGCCGGTCTGGCAAGGCTGCGACAACGACGACGACAACGTTGATGATGACAGCGACTGCGACAGCGGCTGCAACGGCGACAGCGGCTGACAGTTGCAGTTATTTTTCACCGAATGGGGACAGACAGCAAGAACAAAGAGAAAACAAGAAAAGACTATGTATGCATGTATGTATGTATGTTTGTACATATATAAACCAGTTTGGTTTTGTTTTTTGCACACACTTCATTATTTTGGAGTCGCCGCCGTCTGCGTTTCTGTTTGCTGCTTGTAAATTTACAGCTTTAATGCATATTATTACTATTTGTATGGCAGTTATTGTTGTTGTTGTTGTTGTTGCACACAAATAAACAAGCAAACATTCGAATGGGGAATTACGGCATACAATGAGACGCCCACGAAAAAAAAGCAACAACAACATTGAATGCAACTCGTAATAGTCTCTCTCTCTGTGTGTGTGTGTTTGTATTTGTATGCAAATGTTTGTGGTTCATTCACATGGATTTTCGATCAATGATCGGGAACACTGAAAAGGAAAGCGCAAACAAAAGGCACACAATCGATTATCGATAAAAGAAAAAAGAAAGAAAGCAATATGCATAACAATGGATTACAGCTACATTTGGAGACTTGCGATAGTTATTAGGAAAACGCAGAGAGACCACTGTTGGGAAATGTGTTGGAAAAGTGGTAAAGAAAAGAAAAGAAAGAAGTCGAATTAAAAGAATGGGAACGTAGCCGGGTGCTGTTTTATTGGCCATTTAGCTGCTTACAGTTACGTGCGTGCATGAGACAATGGGACAACGACAACAACAACAGCAATAGCAACAACAACAATAACAGCAACAGCAACTAGTCTCTGGATGCTGTTATGTTGCGCTGTAAGACGAGCTTAGTTGGGAATAGACGAAACGGAAAAACGGGCAGCAACACTCAAGAACAAGAAATGCAACTGTTAATGCAAATCGCTGTTAGGCTGCCCGTCTCTTCTCACCCTCTCTCTTTATTGCTCTCGCTTTGTATGTGTGTGTGTGTGTGTTTCTGACGATCAAAACGGGCGTTGGGGACAGATTACCTCTGCATTACATTACCCACACACACACACACACACACACACTCATACACAGACACACAATATAACATGTTCAACTAGGCCAGCAGCGCAGCAGAAAAGAGAGCAAAATACACATACATACAGATCTATAGATATATGTACACATGCAGTGAAAGATGGGATAAAGAGAAGAGGCGGGAGCAAAGGAGGGGGGGGGGGGGGGGTGTTCAAGTGTTCAAGTTAAGCTGCAGTGTTTTTATGCGTTTGCCAAACGAGTCGTTGGCGCTTACCGCTAGTTAGCAACATATTTATACCAATGTATGTGTGTGTGTGTGTGTGTGTTGCCGCATTCCGCCATCAACCCGTTTGAATTATGTATGTATGTGGCTTCTACTACTTTTTAATACACAGCAGCAGCTGCCGTTACCGTTATCGGTGGCCAGCAGCCTGTCATCTCCTATTTGGCTATTGAGCAATAGCAATTTATTTTCTTATAAGCCAACAAAAAAAAAAAAATAATAAAAAAAAATTAAGCGCCAGGCGCACGCGCCAAAAGACAAACGCCGGGAGCTTTTTTTCGAGAAAAAAAAAAAACAAAAAAAAAAACGAAGAAAACATCTAAAGCTCTACGAGCGCTGCGTACTCGCTCGCTCTCGCACACACACCATTTTTAGCTGAATGTAATTTGAGCGGCCTCATAGCATGGACTCATTCGCACACAACAACAATAACAACAAGAGCAACAAAATAAAAGAGCAGACAGACAAACAGACGGACGGAATGAGGTGAAGAGCAAGTGATGCTCTGCTGTGTGGCGAAAAAAAAGATTGCTTGCAAAAATCGATAAGCATAATAAATGTATGTGTGTGTGTGTGTGTGTATTGCATACATGTATATTGATAAGTGGCTGTCAAAATGTTTCGCTATTGTCAAACACTGTTTTTTTTATTTATTATTATTATTTTAGTTTAGTCATTGTCTACGGCTATCCTGCCAGCTGGCAAATGTCTAACACCTGAGGCGCGTATGTGTGTGTGTGTGTGTGCTGCACTGGCGATGACGCATAGGCTATTGAATCATACATACACACACGCACACACACGCTAGCAGACAGCAGCTGTGTGTGTGTGTGCGAAGAGCAAGAGATTCGTCAACAACAACAAAGCAGCCTACGCCCACCGCAGCCCACCTGGTCAGCTGCCTACATTGTAAACGCGGCCCCTCCCTCTCCCCATCCCCACAGACACACACACACACCCATCAGCCTGGCATTTTGGCCAAATAAAACCAAAATAAAAATAAAAATAACAAAAAGAGAAAAAACAATCGCGTTGCTTTCATTATTTTCAACTGCTGCGTCTCTTTTTAATGACGAGACGAGAAATTCTGTTGTGCGGTAATTCACGATTACGAAATTAAAATGTACATATGTAGATCAACTGAGTATATATACATATATATATATATATATATATAGCTGACTGTATGTGTGTGTGTGTGTGTCAAGCGCAATCATTAAATTGTTTTAGTGGCAAGTGGCAGCGCTCCTGCAGCTGCATATAGCCAAACATATTTGTGTGCCATATTCAAAATGTTCACATCCAATTTGTCATTGCAATGCATTCAGCTAGCTGTGTGTGTGTGTGTGGAAATTGCATTTCTTCAGCACATTGCTGGCTATTTATATTTTTGTATTTTGTAAATTGCTTGAGGCGCGCGCGAAATATCAACCTGCCCACCCCAGCTGCCCCCGCTCCCCTATAATAAGATCATGAAATGTTTGTGTCAAAATCGCAACCTTGCACTCAATTTTTCTTGATTTCTTCTTACACATTTTATTTTCTCTTTTTTGACAGACAATTTTTAGAATTATGTATACAAAAATAACTGCATAGTTGTGGATATCTATACTACATATGTATATATTAGTTGTTGTTGTTGTTACAATAACAACAATAAAGAAAGCTAAACAACAAAGATATATATAAATACAATTGTTGAATCATTTTTTTGCTTTGCTGCGCTTCATTTGCGCCAAAAAAACAAGAGAGAAAAAAGCCGCTAAAAACAGTTGCCAATTTGGCAATTGAATAAACTCTACATTGTTAGTTGGCTTTTTTTTTCATTTTTTTTTTTTTGTTGAGTGTGTGGGTGAATAGTGAGTGAAAAGTGGGGTTGGCTTATCAGAGTGGTTGGTAGGCTGCTACCAACTGCTGGGAAGCTGTTGCCGTCATTGAGTCATATCTGAACGATCTCAAAAAACTATCAATTGAGTAACAACTATTTAGACAGTGGCTGCTTGTTATGCTGCTGTTGTTGTTGTTGTTGCTGTTGTAAGGTAACGGCAGCCGCTTCCGCTCGACAGACACAACAGCAGAACAAGCAAATAAATGAAGAGCAGGTGTGTAGGGGCGGAGCGGGACGGGGCAGGTCGGGGCGGGGTGTGTAGGCAGTGAGAAGCGCAAGCAACATAATTGAATGGAATGGAAGCATTTGTCGATAACCTTCAAACTGCAGCCTTTGGAGCAAATGAGTGGTGGTGGGGGAGGGGTAGGGGTAGGGGGAAGGGGGTGTTGTAGTTATCGATAGACATGGCCTTAACATTTAGTTGCGTTACGTCTCGAAATTTGTGGCTTTTCCAGTGATAAATGATTGTGGCCCACAATTATGTGCGTGTGTGTTTTTCAACAACAACCACAACAACACCCACAACAAAAAACAAAAAAAAAAAAAAACCCACAAAAAAAAACATTCGTTATTTTTGTACAACATATTTCAAACATTTCGAGCAAAGAACCATGAAACGAATCTATTTTTAAAATGCGCGCTGAGCTTTTTTGCCTGCCGCGCACAAATATTGAAACATAATCGAAGAAATATACATATGTATATATAATATATTTATATATATATTTATATATATGTATATATATATTATATATATATATATCTGTCAGCTTTAGCTATAAACTAGACTATTCATACACATATATTAGGTATGTATTTGATATGCGTATTTGTCTTGAACCGACCGACCGACTGATGGATGCTCAATGCCACTCGATAATAATCGAAAGCTAAATAAAATATATCCTTCTCAAGTCTGAAGTCTGACAGCTCTTCTTGATTTCGTTTGAATTTAAACTTGAACTACACCGATTTGGAGCATGACGCTTTAAATGTGCATATAAATTTTCAACTTTTACGGAAATGAATCAACCTTTGCTCAATGAAAAGCCTTTTTAATTTGGAAATGGAAAAAGAATACACTGAGAAGAATGTGTTTTTCTTTTTAGTTTACAATTTGCAAAACTGCATTCTATTTTTTCTTGTAATCAAAGCTAAAATTGACTCTAATCGAGTTTGGGGTAGCTTGAGGTAAAAGTTGATAACAATTAAAGTAAATAAGGCAGATAAAAAATTGGATTTACTCAAGTATCTATCGATATCTAACTATATATTTACGCTACGAAAAGACTTGGATAAATTAAAGGTGTTTTTTTTTTTTGGGGGGGGGGGGGGGGGAGTGGTGGCTTGCAGCCTTGTCGCACTTACCTTCTTCTGTTGCTTCTCCCACGCCGGATCTAGCAATCCCTCGCGCTCCCATTCCTCCTCCTGCTCCATGTAGCCATCGCCGTACTCCATGGAGATACCGTTCTCCATCATCATTTTGTGGCTGTTTCGTTTGATGCAGTTGCTGGTGGTGCAGTTGCTGTCGCTGCTGTCGATTGGGGGTAATGGATTTTATTGGGGATTGTTGCACTTTTCTTAATTACTTTCTTTTTAGATTAACTTTATTTTTATATTATTTTTCTTTTGCTTTTTTTTTTTTTTTTTTTTGGTTTAGTTTTAGTTCAAGTTATCTTAGGCTTGATTCGTATTTTTTTTTAAATCAGTTGCAGTTGCTGGTTGTGCCTGCCTGCCTGCGTGTGTGTGTTTGTGTGTGTGAGATTCAGATTTGTTCGTTTTCGAATTTATTTGCTGCTAACTGTTAATACCTAATTAGTCGTTGATTAACGAGCTAAAGTCGTGGATCGTTGTAAACAAAATGAATTCTGCTCAGTTTCAGTTTTCAGTTTGGCATTCAAATTAAAGACGACAACGATTAGGAGATAATAAATTGATGGATGGATGGATTGGTATCTAAAGTGGTTCGTTCGCCGATGATCCTTAAAAATTAATCTGCAAAATGCAAGAGAGAGAAAGAGAGAGAGAGAGAGAGAGGGAGAGAGAATGATAGAGTGAGAGAGAGAACTAGCAAAAGAAGATCGATGCGATATATACTATATATATATAAGCAAATTCTGAAGATGCCCCAACGGAAACGGAAACGAAAACGGAAACAGCAAATGAAAGAAAGAGGAATGCGAAACATACTCTACGCTAAATCTCCACCAATACAGGTGGCTGTTGGGCGGTGGTTGTCTGTGGTGTGGGGTGGGTTGGGGGAATGGTCGGTTTGTATGGAAAGGTATCTTTAATATAATTAAAATACAATTTTTATTTTCATCCAGCTGGTAAAAATGCGATGAATATGCATTTCCGATCCCAATTGCAAAATACAAAAAAAAAAAATGTGAAAATTGGAGATGGTATTGGGGGTAAGAAAGAGGAGAAAAACAGCAGCAAAGAAAAAAGAAAAGAAACGAAAAAAAAAATACCGTTGTATAACACGATAATTTGCTACTTAATTATTTTGTTCACATTCGCTTTTCGCTTGGTGCTCTCATCTCGTTTCGTTTCGTTCCGTTCCATCTCGTTCCGTTTCGTATTGGTATCGTTTTAAAAATAGTATGTTTTTCAATTTTATTTTCGGCGTCAACGTCAACGCATGTGCCGTTTACCGTTTAGAACGGGCTACGGCGGCGGAGAGCGGCACGGGGTTCAGGGTGGGGACGGGGTGGGGCGATGATCGGGGGTCTTTGGGGAATGCGAGGAGATTTCGGGCGGATTGGATTGTGGATGTAGTACATATTTGAAATAATTTTCAAAATGCTCGCACACACAAAATGAATATGTATATATATACATGTATATGTGTATATATATGTATATATATATATATATATATATATATATATATGTGTATGTGTGGTCTTAGACTTTGATTGAGATTCAGATTCGAGTACGAATACGAATGTTATGTGTACAACATATAGACATATATATATTTATATCTATGTATACATATATATATATATATCTGCATACATTGGTATGTATGATATATAATTGCGATCCGTTCCGTTTTGAAAAGTATTTAACACAGATATCTAAGCAGTTCTCTTTATTTTAGAATATATACATATATATCTATATATATATATATATTGATATATATACATATTCAGTTATTTATATATATATATATACATCTATATATATATATATATATACGTATATATGTATACAGATCTATTTACCCAACTCACGTACACACACACACACACGCACACAGATACAACACATTCGTAATTCGTACGTTGAAAAAGCTTATATTTTTTTAGCTATATTTTTATATATAAATATACACATATACATATATACATATATATTATATATATATATTTGTATGTATGTTTTTCTTTTACGTATTTCTTCAATGTGCCTGAACTAAAAAAAAAACGTATTTTTTTTTTATAGTGTTTTCTTCTTCATTTTTTTTTTCGAGTGTGTTGTATACCAAACCAAAAAATATATAAAAAAAAAATTGAAAAAAATAAAATTGGATTTGATTTGATTTTTTTTCTTTTCTTTTTTTTTTGTGTTTGAACCAACAACAACAGCAACAAAAACAACAAAACAATATGTGAGAATATACAATTGGTGGAAATATCTACGTTTGTCGCTTGCAAAGAGAAAGACCCGCTCGCGTTGATAGCCAACTCAAAACTGATGTCGCGCCAGCAAAAACTGAATATCGTACGTATGCGACGACCCAGAAGTGGCAGCAGCAACAGCAGCAGCACCACCACCAGTCGAAGAAAACTGTGCAGCAGCAGCAGCAGCAGCAGCAGCAGCAGCAACTACAACAACAACAATAACAACAAATGCACAACAACGATCGCCTCTCGTCGTCGTCGTCAAACACACACGAAGATCCCCAAACGAGCGTGCGCCGCACACAAACAAACAAACAACGCACACACACACACACATGCATACAGTGGGAGTGGGTGGAAACAGCAGCAGCAACAGCAACAGCAGCAGTCAAAGCAAGGCAAAGTCAAAGCAAAAGCAAAGAAGAAAGTATGAATTCGACCAACAGATATTTGTTGTTGTTGTTGTGGTTGCTGCTGAGTGATGCTGTCTGCTTGTGTGTGTGTGTGTGTGTGTCTGTGTTAGTTAGCTTTTGTCTGTCTGGCTCTCATTTGTGGCTCGATAATTATCGATATGCGCGAATGCAGGAAGAGCGCACAACACAGCACAATACAACACAACACAACAGGTCGAAGCTGTTCTCGTCCAAATGCCGTTAGCTTTGCCAACTGCAATAATGAAACGCAACACACACACACACATACGAACACGCACACGCACACGCATACGCAGCACGAGCAGAGCAGTGCAGCGCACCAGAGTCACCCTGTATGAAAACAACAACTTGTTTGCTGCTGCTGCTGCTGCTGCTGCTGCCGATTCCTGATGGTCCCAAGTATGTCTGACAGTTGGACACTGTCCGTTCGTCCGTCCGTCTGTCTGTCTGTCAGTTGGGGGTCGGACTGTCATCGCATCATAGCGCCCCCGCATCTATACAAAAATAGCAAATTGTTAATTTCACTTCGAAAACTCTTTTCCAATACACACACACCCATAACACTCACACACACACACACACATACATACATATATGCAAACACATGATTTTATTGGCATGCCACTTGGTTTTCCGTGCAAAACTGCTTTGACTGCCGCATATTAAACGCGTATATATATATACATACATACATATATATATATATATTATTTACGAGTTTCATTAAACATTTAAAAATACATACAAATCTAGCAAATGCTACATTAAAAAAAAAAAGAAAACATGCTTTGGACTGGGAAAAAGCTCTCGCGAAATTATGTTCCAGACATGCTGGACACGCTAGAAGAAGATGATAATCAAGACGTGGAAGAAACAGCAGCAGCAGAAGAAGAAGCAAGAGCAGAGTTATTGGGCCAGAATATTACGTCGCCCGATTCTCGCTCTCGGCCCAATCAGATGAAATCCGTTTTATTTTTGGCCCATAATGTGCGTCGTCAGTGGCAATTTTTTGTTCTTTTTTCGAAAACAATATCTATTTTTAGATGGGTTTTTGTGCGTTAATACCATATTTCTGAAAATATGTATTTAAAACGCAAAACATACATAAATTTATTAAAAATTGAACGAAATGCCAGCAAACACACACACACAAACCGACAAACAGACAGACAGAAATAACACTTGCCAAGGAAGCCAAATGACGAAGATGAGGAAGAAGAAAAAGCCACCAGCTCCATTCAGTGGGACACTTACAAAAATACAAAATATTCAAGAAAAAAATAATACAGTTAACAGCCAATTTGTTATATATGATATATTTCATAGTCAAAAGGTCGAATATAATTCAAGGGGACGTGGAGCAAAAATTAAATTTTATTTGAAGAAACTGCACTTGAACCAATTTGAAAAAAAAAAGAAAAACAAATAGTTGTAAAAAATTTATTATGCACGAATATAATATATAAAAATGGTACAAAATTAAATCGAATCATTTTTGAGAAAGTTTTCATATTTTAAAAATATGAAAATGCTTTCAGGTAAATTTTGACGTTTGCCAACGATACATGGAAACTTTAATACAAATAATTGGTCTAAATTCCAAGTAAATTAATTGAGATTATTGCCAATTCATAAAATTGGGCCGCATAGAAACGAAAAATTCAAATTGTATTAGGCATCGCAGTCGGAATCGATTCACTTGTAAATACTGAAAATTTGTCTGTCTTCATTTTGCTCAGTTTTAATTATGATCAGCTTTGACAAAGTTATGACCGTAGAATATTTGCACCTGTTTCTTCAAGCACTTTTTGGGGGTATAATTTTAACATAGAAATTTGAAATGATCAAAAAGCATTAGTTGGTTTTGTTGGGGAGGATCAAACACTTTTAACATAGAATTCGAGCCAGAATCGCGTCTCCAACTTTGAGTTTAATGTTTTGGACTAAAATGTCCTGGTTTTCTAAAATCAGAAATCGGTAATCGATACAGTTATAATCACAGCTGAATATATTTTTCATTCTTATTCAATTAAAAATATTCAATTTTTATTTTTTTTTTTAATTTTTTAACGAATTCAATTTTAACAAGGAGTTTGCGGCTAACTAAATACCGCGGAATCAAACCACATTGAATTGCGGTTCTGGTTCCAAGTTTCAATCGGTTAACGATACCGTTTGTGGTTCGAGTCCCTGCTAAATACACATGGATAATACGCTTTTATTGAGGGTATTAAAAATCAGCCATGATATATAGTATATAGCCAGATTTGTCCGTCTGCTTGCTTGAACGCCGATTTGGTGTACTATATATAAAATAGCTCATATTAGAATTATTAAACAAGAGCTGAGTTCTAAATTTGTTGCCCTTTTGTACCTTAAACAAAACAACTCACCTTCAACATTGAAACAACACAAAAATTGGCTAAATGGGCAATATTATTATGTCCTTCTAATGTCGTTATAAGCCATTTTTATAGAGTAGACGTTGCCAATTTTAGTTCGATTTATAAAGAAATTCAACGTATCGAATATAAAACCTTAATGGATAAATCTATAAATCATACACGCTGCAAAACAGTGAAAACAGTACAAAATTCGTCTAGATATATGCACACACATACATATACACATATGCATATATATATACATATATATATATATATATATATGTGTGTATTTGTATGTATGTTAACTCACATGTATTTTATAACTTGTGTGTGGGTACAATTATTTTAAGAAATAATTACAACTTGTTTATATTATACATATATTTAGTTCAGCACATATATATATATATACACATACAGTACATATATATATATATACACATATATATGTATGTACTAAGGCTACACATACATATAAACTATGCTCGAGGCTTTTAATTTTGTATTTAAGTGTTATTCATCATCTTGTTCTTGCTTCGTTTCTTTTATTTTCTTTTTATCGTTTATTTGGCAATAAACGCACAGAAGGCGAAAATCATTTTCTAGTTTTGCACACACGCAATAAAAAAAAAAAAACAAAAAAAAAACATTACATTTTTACGTGTAGTGTATTTTAACTGTATATATCTCTATATATATATATATATATATCATATTAAATATTCATGGTACAAATTAAAAAAGATCTGAGAGGGTATTCGTACGAGGGGCTCGAGAGAAATGCAAACAAACTCAATCACAATGAAACAATCAATCAATCAATCGATTTCGATCCTATCGATCATCGATCGATATTTATATATATATATGTATATATACATATATATATATATATGTATATGTATATGCTAACGATAATAGAGCTACACTAGCTCGATATATGCTAACGATAACGATGAGATAGCTACCACTATAGATAGATCGATAACGCTGCGCACCAGAGAGACACACATCGATTTGGAATCGATGGCAACTCTTCATTCCGGCTGCAGCTGGATACCCGGCGGTGGTTGGCCTTCCAGCTGCTCGCCAAACAGCTCCTCTAGCGGCTTATCGCAGATGATGCGAAAGAAGAACAGGTGATCCAAGCACTTCAAACTGATTGAACGCAGCGCCGGCAGACGCAGCAGCAGCTGCGCAAATCGTCCATCATCCCCGGGATGCTCCAGTCGACAATGCTCGTCCAGACAAGCGTACACCTTCTCGCGGCACAATTCGACGTCGGACCGATTCTTAATGCCGCGTATATCCGGATTGTATAGAATGATCGCCTTGAGGCATGCCAATTCGCGCCGATCGAGATTCAGGCGTTTCATCTTCACACTCAGCTCGGACAGGATGCGATCGAAGATGGCGTGAACGCCCGCCTTAATGGCGCTATTCCGATGATACGAGAAACTCTGATTGAGGAACAGCTGCTGCGGCTGCAGCACCGGCGAACGCCGATCAAAGGCGCTATCGCCATGCCCCAAACCGGTCAAGGATTCATCCAGCGATTCAATGCTGCACCAGGCAACATTCGCAATCAACAGCTCATTCCAAGCGGCCTTCAGCAGTATGACCTGATCGTCCAACGGCAGCTTGGAAAAATGTGGCATGAGACGTGCATATTCCACCATCTGATAGAGCTGCTTGTTGACCACCATGCACAAGGCGGAGACGGCTCCTTTGTAATCCGGCTGCACCGTGGAATTGGGGCCAACACGCAGAAAGGATAACGCCCGATCGCCGCTATTCGCCTCCGCACGCTGTTCTGCGTCGAGCAGGCGCTCGATGGTGAAGTCGCGGGATATGCTGCTCGGCATATAATCATCCGATGAGCTATTGGCGCCACCGCCACCGGCACCACCGCTGCCAGTGTTATTGCCGCCACCGGCGGCCGTATTATTGCCACCCGCACCACCACCAGCACCGCCAATACCACCACCACCGGGACCACCAGCCGTTCCGCCAGCATTCGGACGTCCGGCTGTGTTGCGAGCACCACGCTGTCGCTCCTCCTGCACCGCCTCCCGTTTCATGCCGCACGACAGGCACTTCTGGTAGCGACAATATTGACAGCGATTCCGCTGACGTTTGTCAATGATGCAGTTGCGATTCTCGCGGCACGCATATGTGAGATCCTTGCGCACCGTTCGCTTGAAGAAGCCCTTGCAGCCCTCACAACTATAGACGCCATAGTGTTTGCCACTCGCCCGATCTCCACAGATGGAGCACAAATGCTTTGAGCCGCTCAGCGGATGATTTGGCGGATATTGTTGTTGTTGTTGCTGCTGTTGTTGTTGCTGCTGTTGCTGCTGCTGTTGTTGTTGCTGCTGCTGCTGTTGTTGCTGTTGTTGATTTGGATTGTTGTTATTGTTGTTGTTATTATTATGATTATTGTTATTGTTGTTGCTGGCTGGCATTACATTTACCATATTCATGGCCTGCAGAAAGGGCACTGGACTCTCGGCCTTGGGCGAGAAACTGCTATTATTGCTGTCATTCAACTGTGAAATGTCCGGCTTGACCTCCTCCTTGATTTGGCCCAAACGAAAATTTGCATCTTGCTCGCAATTGTCCATCTTCTTTTTTTTTTATTGTTGCTGTGTCCTCTTCTTCTTGCTGTATATATATGTACGTGTATGTCTGTCTGTCTGTGTATGTGTGTCTCTGTGTGCGTGAGTGTATTGGCGACTTTCCCCACTGCAGGCTGCTGCTGGCCCGTCTGCAGTTTCACTTTATGGTAGTCGAGGGGAACGCCACCGTGTCGGCGAGTCTGTCTAAACTAGAAGACTCTTGTTTTAATTGCATTTATTCTTTACGTATTTACATAACGTATTTGCGTATTTCCAGTTCCAGTTCGTCTTCGTCTATTGTTGCCAATTTGCGCTTTTTGCTTAGCACACAATTCTGGAATTTTTTGTGTTTTTTTTTTTTATTTTATGAACACTGGTGCGCTTTCTGACTAATGATTAAATACTTTTCGCGTCGACATTTTTTTTCTCAACAAAGGCGCTATTCACCACACATCAACTTCAATTCACCAAAAAAAAACAGCATACCAGTGTTGCGCAGCGCTCGCAGCAGCTTGTGGCGGCTACAAACAAAATAAATAGAAAGCAAACACAAAACACACCTACAACAAACGCTTATTTGACAATTATTATTTCGCTTGCCAAAATTTATAAAAATATATGCTTACATTGCAAAAAAAATCCAAAAAGATAGTTTTCACCACAACGACGCAGAGCAACTCTGTGTCTGCCGCAATACAATTGTTGTTGTTGTAAACGCAAACACGCACACAGGCGCAACGAGCCAGACAACGCAAACACATACACATACACACACACACACACATAGCAAGCGACCCTCCTTGCAATTATGTACGGCATATGCAAAAAAGAGACACACACATACACACTTGCATACGAACAAAGCGCCAATTGCCCGGTTTCGGCCTCGGCCCCAATAATCGACAAGTCAACCAAAACAACATCAAACAAACTTGCCTTCAAAACACACAAATTTTAACAATAGCCAACAGCAAGCAAATAATTCGACACCACAATTAAAATTATTCGAATCGAAATGGGAAAATAAATGCAACTTACTTGCATGCGCACTTGTTTGAATTCACGATGTCGACTGACGCTCGGATTGTTTATTTTATTTGTTTACGCACACACACACACATACGCACACATGCCCACATTTATTAATTGAGAGATTGACGAAAAACAATTGATGGCTGCGTTTATTTGTAATTACTTTTCAGTTTTTTTTTTTACCGAACACTGATCTGCTGTCCAATTCAAACAAACGCACTGTGGCCAAGAAAATACCATACAAATACACAAAATGTGTTAATTTTCACCTCAATTATGGCACTACAACAACTATCGATAGCAAACTATCGGATAGAGCGCCAAAATGCAAAAATTCAAGTCGGATTTTTGAAATTCATAAGTTTCTATATTTTTATACTTTTCGCTTCAATCTGAATCATTTGAGGTGTAGCTGTGGCCACGCCCATAGATGTGCTGAAACGTTAATTGCTCGATGCGTGTATTCAAATACTCGATCTCGTCGCGAAACAAATGCGCTTCATATAACAGATTTCCAAATTCACTCTCTCCATAAATCATGCTGCTAGACGAAGTCTGCTCCTGCGCCAGACTGGCCTGACCGGACTGTTCGTCCGCATCCTCAAAGTCCAAGTAAATCTGATGAAATTCTCTGCGAGCGCTGCGACAAATTGGACATTGGTTCGATCTGCATGAATGAATGAGAAAAGGCACTTGACAACTTTATATGAATGCATTAAATCGATGGGGATGCACACTTACTCCTCTCGCCAGCGCTGCAGGCACTGCCAATGAAACACATGTCCGCAGGTGCCTCCATAGATTTTATCCGTGGACTTATAACGCTCCGAGCAGATGGTACACTTCACATTGCTGGTGCTCCGGTTGCTGCCACACCGGTTGCTGCTAGTCCGGTTGCCACTCATTGTAATAATGGCAATTGTTGGTTACACATCATTGCAGTCTGCTTATCAGCAGCAGCAGCAACATCAGCATTCGGAGCGGCAGCATCAGTTGCAGCAGCTGTTTGCCTCTCAATTCGCTTAATACAAACACATTTGTAATGATGATAACGTCACGGATAAACCGAATACAGTAGTCACTCCCAAATTGCAACTTCAACTTATATTATATAATAGTGGATTTGTCATATACATATCTATAAAAATCATTAAGTTTTATGTTGAATTTTTGAAAAGTATTTCTCATTTATTTAAGGTTCTTCAATATGCAATTCGAAAAAATCCCAGAAATTTATTTTGTCATCTTTGACAAAATTGCTTGTTTTTTTTTTATCTATGCAAATTCCTATTAAATTTGGCAATGAATAGTATTTAATTTTTAGTTTATCTTTTGAATAATTGTCATTTTAAATAGTTTTAAAGTATTGCAAATAAAAATATGATGTTTTCATCTTTGTTTTTTATAGATTTGATTTATTTTGAATATTTTAATGGAGGCGTTTTAATTATCGAGTGACGATTGTCGACAAAGAGCGAATATTTTGGGCGAAAAAACAGGCCAACAACTGATAGCAGCATACTCGTATGTGTATGTATATGTGCATATGTATATATATATTATGTATTATATTATATATATATATATATGTGGTCTGTATGTGCATCAACAAATCCGTTGGGCGTACTTGTGTCGCTCTCTTTCCTTAGAGATAAGCAGGCACAGCAAAGATTAGAAAATGCATTATAAAATAATTCATATTTGCATATATGTAGATTGAATAAAATACGTAAATAATGAGATTGAAATAGGCTTTTCATAAGTATTATTGTATATTCGATTGTTTGAAGTGCATCTCTCTGTCGTTGCTGTCTTTTTTTTTTTGCTTTTGTTTATATGTATATATAGAAATATATAGTTTAGTGTGTGATCTAAATTAGGTACAAACATAGAGTAAGTAGGTAGGTCTAAATGGAATGTTTTATGGCATACTATATACTATTACTACATTGTTATAATCATTCTAAACTGAGGCACAAGGACACAAACTAACCCCAAGCCAATCAGATCTTAACAAGATTGTGTGCACAAAAAAAAAAAAGGAAGAATTTCGGGTCACAAATATATTTTATAAATAGTATTAAACCAAAATATGTAATAATAATATATAAAAAAAAAACATTATAGTCGAAAGCATAATCGACAATTGCGTGCACCGTGCCCAAGACGCAAATGTGCATCAAAAATGCTACATGGAGGGATATGCAGAGATATGTATATCGATAATATATATATAGATATATGAATTATCGATATCGATATCAATTGTAGGTGTAATTAGAGTGTTGGGCGCGGTGTTTGGAGATGGCTTGGTTAATACTAAGTGTGGGCAACGATAAATAGTTAAAAGTAGGCACGATTACAAAATACCGTAAGAGCATACGATATATGTGAATCATTTACAATAAACAGAAATTATAATATCGTAAGCGATATTGAGTGTACGATATACGCCTGATATGAACAATTGTGTGTGCGCATATCGTAAGCGAATATCGTATCGTACACATTTACTATATACTATCATCATATACAATAAACAACAACATTTACATATTTGTTTTATATATATGCAAGCATACCGTAAACGATATTGAGTGCACAATATATATACGATATGCACATGGGTTGTAATTTTTTTTTTTTTTTGGGGAAGGAGGAGGGAATGTAACATTTACGATATTTGGAATTAAAGCATTTCGTTAGTCTTTTGGATTTGCAAACTTTGTGATGAGCACTTTGCTAGTAGCATCCTTATCGGGCTGCTGCTGCTGCTGTTGCTGCTGATCCTGTTGCTGCAGTGCATCCTTGACCGGTGCATTCGTATTAACGCTATAAGATTGCATTTGCATTTGCATTCTCTTTGGACTGTTCACGTTCATGTAGATGGGCGCTTTCGTTATTTTGCTGGGACTGGGCGGCGTTGCGGGCAACTCTTCCTCCTCCAAGATGATGTCGTCCCCCACCATGGTGATGCGACGCAGCGACGATGGAGCTGGGCAGCCAGCTCCGGGGCGATAAACGGGACTGGGATTGCTTAGGCTGCTGCTGGTGTTGCTGCTGTTGCTGCTGCTGCTGTTGATGTTGAAGCCGTTGTTGATGTAGGAGTGATTGCTCCTCTTGGGCGGCAGCTTGGCCACCATTACTGACGGCGGCGGCGGCGTCGCCAGTGATGGGGATGGGGACATAATCAATGGTTTCGCATTCGTTCTGCTTAACAAATCCGGACAGCGGGATTGTAGCTCCAACGATTGTGGGACTGGAGTTGCCAGTGCCGTTGCCGTTGCCGTTGCCATTGCCATTGCCGGCTGCTGTTGCTGCTGCTGTTTGTGGCAGGGTTGGCAATCGGATATCGTTTTGGGGGCCATTGCTGCAGCTGTTGCCGTTGCCGTTGCTGCTGCGCCGCCGGACATCTGGGAGACAATGGTGCGGCTGTGGTTGTTGCTCAATCCGGTATCTTTCCATTTCTCTGAAACGAATTCCAGACCGTGACTTAGTGGATGCAGTTCATCAATGATATATTTGTCATATATCCTATAATACGGTTACCTACCTCCCGCGCTGCTTGCCCCCCCGTTCGTCTTGCCAAATGGATGCAGGAGTCGCGCCGGCTGGCACAGGACAACCGTTTTGTAGGCCTTTCGATACTGTTTGTTCATGATCACATAGATGATCGGATTGATGCAGGCGGACAAATACAGCATGATGTAGCTGAAGATGTGCAAGCTGGGATGCTCCACATGCTTGTCGGCCACCTTGACAATCGTTATCGGCAAATAGCAGATGACAAACGATAAAAAGATGGCCAACACCATTTTTGTGATGCGCCACTCGTTCCTCTTCGCCCTCACTTCGCGCTGATCCTTGACCCGAGTTGGCTGCTGCTGTTGCTGTTGTTGCTTGCTCGGATTCAGCTCGGGCGGCACAGCCACATCTGACGAATAGCTGCTGCTGCTGTCGGAGGACACACGACTGTTGGCTGCTGGATTTGGATTTGATTGCATCGATTGATTATCGAGTCCAGCTGCTGCTGCAGCTGTTGTTGTTGTTGTTGCTGCCACACCACGCAGATTATTGGGTATGGAGTTCTGTTTCTTGGCATGACGCTTGAGCCGCTGCTCCGATTTGTGAACAACCCAAAAGATTTTCGCATAGCACGCAATGATGACCAAACAGGGTATCACAAATGCGGTAATAAACAGCGTCGTCTTGCTGCTATGCCCATGCGAATCACTCATTATGGAGCATGTCTGGAGTCGTGCATCGTAGCCGAATCGACCCCAGGCACCCATCAGCGTTGGCAACTGCATCCCATAGGATACCAGCCAGCAGGCGGCGATCATTACAGCGATCCAATGTCGCTTATAGATTCTCGCATAGATCCCATGATGGGTGATCATCACATACCGATTGATCGTTATCATCGCTATGCACAGCAGCGACACTCCAATATTCCCGTACTGTATGAATGGGATCAGTCGGCACAGCACCTGACCATGGCGCCAGGTGCCCTGCACAAAGCGCAGTCCCTGGAACGGCAGCACCAGTGCGCAGAAGAGCAGATCAGCGATACAGAGACTGCAAGATAGATATATAGATATAGATATAGATATAGATATAGATATAGATATAGATATAGATATAGATATAGATATAGATATAGATATAGATATAGATATAGATATAGATATAGATATAGATATAGATTACCAGATTACCAGATTTTAATTTTGATTATACCTTAGCATAATGTGGATCAACTGTAGATAGACGATAGTATATATATATTCTTGATTCTTGATTAGAACTAACAGATAATCAAGATACAGTTAACCATGTTTTTTCTTGACTATAGCTTAACTTAATACAAATCAACTGTACAAATTAGCTGAAGATCGTTAAGGAAGGACAAAAGTTGTTCAAGAAATCGTCGATTGATCTACATAGTATATATTTATTCTTGAAAATTAACAAATAAGCAATATAAAGCTTACCAATTTTCTATTTGGATTGTACCTGTACATTGTACATTATATATAGATATATATATGTATATCTGACTCAACTGTACAAATTTTGATGAAGATGAAGATCGTTTAAGAAAAAAAGTCATCTATTCATCTATCTTAAGTAGCGAAGAACTGATTAAAAGTGAAACTCACAAATATAAGATAAACCTAATCTTAAAATCTTGCTTCTTTCTGCAAACATATTCAAAATAGAGATAAGCTTGGACTTATTTTAAATTAAGCATGATATCATATCATATATATATACATATATACTGTATATATTTGATATATATATGTGGGCAAATACCTGATTATAAAGGCGGCGGCAACATTGCGCACTTTGGGGCACTTGAGCAGAGCGACAACTGTCAGGAAGTTGCCAAAGATGCCAACGATCATTATCAGAAAGGTCATCACTGCCGCAAAGGTCAGCAACGACTGCGAGAATCTGCAAATGAAATGGAACCAAACATTTGATTAGCTTTCTTAACTTACACTCTTTTAAATCTTGGGGCAGCTATTTCGATTAAGTTTATATATATTCTTGTTCAGCAGCATCAACAACCGAGTCGAGTCCAGATGCTGTATTTTTGAATATAAGTTCTTGTAGTTCTCAAGTTTATTTCATTTGATCGATAACTGCAACCGTTAAGCGAATATCGATTTAAATCGATTTTAAGTAGCAATTAAAGAATTTCAATTGAATAGACACCATTTCTGATTGGAACTCAAGCGAAATTTCAATCTCATATAATCCAAATGGGAACGGGTAAAAACTTTCCAAAATTGGTTTGGCCTTTAGTTCTTCTTTTGACTGATCAAGTAAGCTTCTCTGGTTGGAGGCAGGATCAGTAGGCAGGCAATCAAATATTTTTGCCAAAGCATTATTCACATTTTCTCCAATTTCTCTTGATTTGAGATTTGAATGTTAAAATTCTTAGTTTAATCTATTTATATTATACATATTAGAGTACTGTACTTTATTTATTGAACTCTTGGGGGGTTTCTTGAGATTAGTTCCCTAGCTGGCAGGGTATGCCATGTTCGGTGTGTTATTGCAGTTGTGAGTGAAGTGAATCCTTGCAAGCGGATCGGATCGTGTTGACCCTTAGCCATGTGATGAGAACAAACATACAACAAATATATGTGCACAAGTACAGAGACATATCTGATATCTTCGTTCGTTGCATCCGCTAAGAATCGTCGTGCTTTGTTGACACAAACTCAGACAGACAAACAGACAGACAGACAGACAGACAGACAGAGAGAGAGAGAGAGAGAGAGAGAGATAGAGAGCGAAAGAGAGAGGGTAATCTTTGATGGGGGACTGACACAATCTGGAGCGGCGCTTGAAATGGGCCGCGTAATATTAACGATCTGTTATCAGACCTTTCACACTACTCTTCGCGGGCGCTGCGCTATAATTATCCGTCGCTGATAGGGTCGAGGGCAACTACTCACCCGCTCTCGTCCGCATCGATCAGGCCGCTGTCGATCGCTGGAGTCGCCGGCATAAAGTCATCGCCATACCCCAGACTGCTTGCTGTTATTGTGTCGTCACTCATTCTACAAGAGAGAGAGAGAGAGAGAGAAACAGAGAGAGAGAGAGAGAGAGAAACAGAGAGAGAGAGAGAGAGAGAGAGAGAGAGTGGATGAGTGCATAATTGTGGCATGAGTTGAGGCACATTAGTTCTTAGCTTGAGGCAGGCCACAAGACCAGCGTTTACAGATAACATTTTTATAATTTGATTATAATCATAATTCTATATTTATTAAAGCGAACTGATGCAATATTTTTTAATTTTACTTCTTATTATATTAAGTAAGATTTCTATTTAAAACAAACTACAACAAAATACTTTAAAGTAAATCACATTTTTTTTATTATATTTCTTTATAGTATTTTGTATTTCATTAAGTAAGACTTACATAAAAAAAAAACAACTACTTTCAAGTAAATCACATCTCTTTTTAAATTAAATTAAGTTCTTTGCTATCATTTTGTTGTATTTACACTTTTTTCACTTATATTAAAAGAATTTATACTTTCTAAAAGAGTTATAAAACAAATTTGAATCGTTTGGAAACAAAGTATATTTATATTTAATTATATTTATATTTATTTAAATATATGTCATATAAATATTTATGACTGATTTCTACACACACAAAATTGAAGTTCTTATGATTATTTTATTAAAATGAGAAAATGTTTTTTGAACTAAATGCTTAACTACAAAATTTTCTTGCATCATCTTGCTGAAAATTAGCATACTCGATTTTCTTTAAGCAAGTAAAACATTCTTGATGGCAAATTTCCTGATTGGTTGTTGTTTGTTTGTTTGATCCGAGTACCTATTTTCAATCCGTTAGCTGGTTGTGGTTTACACTGGGAGAAATGGGTAAACACTATAAGGGACAGTGCCACAAGTAACACCCGATCGTCAAACGTGAAGCGAGCAATGCCAACTGGCAACTGGCAACTGGCAACTGGCAACTGGGAGCCAAGCTGGTCGTACCACCCTGGTACTGGGCACTGGCTACTGGGTACTGGTTGCTGAGCCTAACTATTGTTTCTCGCGCTCTTCACAGAGTGCTCCTTGCGACTGACTCGTAGTGCAGTAAATTAGTGTCAATTAAATAATTTAAAGAGGTCACAACGCACTCACTCACAGACACTCAGCCACACTCAGTCACTCAGCCAGCCAGTAAGTCAGTCAGTCAGTCCGAATGAGGAGACAACATGCAACATCATCTCTTTGGCTGCGGGTGCCAAAGATCAGCGCCAAACCTTAATTAATTGACTCTCTGTATGTGTATGTGTATGTGTGAGTGTGAGTGGTGCTACAATTTGGTCAGACTTGAGTACCCGTAACACCCTCAAACCCCGACCAACCATTCGACGACAATATATCACTAATATTGTGCACTAGAATGCCGGAACACTCTCATTTTTCTCAGAAGCTGACGCCCAGTTTTATTATATATTATTATTATTACGAGAATCGGTGGGGTTTATATGCCACATAAGATTCCCTCTAATTAGACCAACACTAAATGATTATGGTATATCAAATCTCTCTGTCTCTCTCTCTTTTTTGCATCCAATTCGCACTTATCATTTCACCCCATTAAAAATGATCAATACTGAAAAATTGTCCATCTTATTTATGCAACTTTATTCCAACGAACTCAAATAATTATTTTCGAATCTGATTCATTTGTTTGGTATTTATTTTCAATTGAGAAATTGGAGCATTTGTTGACATTTTGAAATTACAACATTTGTAGTTTCATCATCATTTTATTGAGTAAGGTATTTATGCAATTAATAAATAGTGAATCACAATGAGAATTTGATTACTAATACTTTTTTTTTTTTAATTGATCAATTTGAAATCTCTTCATTGATGAGACAAATTAATTAATCATTGTTATCGGACTTACAATAGTTTCATCCATTTACCATCTCTTCTATTAATAATAATTCTCATTTGTAGTATCATAATTTAGCTCTTTTCTTAACCAATTCTTCACTAGTTCATACTAACTTTTTCTGTTCAATTTGAATATTTAAATTTTAACAGACTTTAACAGAGACATTAAACATTTGCAGACATTTGGTTATATTGCAAGCACTGGCAATAATGCGCATTTGTTAACACTGCAACGATAACAGAGCAGCGGCTTTTGGCATATAAACATACTTTGCAAGAAGAACGCGATCACAACAACACAAACGAAAACTAAAATTAACTGTAACACGGTCAGGTCAAATAGCGTTGGGCGTTTGTCCCCATCGACTGCACGTTATCGAATGCTGCCGCTAAGTCGCCGTCGCTGCTTAATTGATATTCTGTGCTGCCGCCTGTTGACAATTTCTGTTCTCATTATCTCTCTTTTCTGTTCTCATTAACGTTTCGCTCTCGCTCTCTCGCAATTGCTGCTCCTGTAATTAATGCTACAATTAAAATATATCAAATTCCGAATTCGAATTGCTTTCGTTTTTTATACAAATATAATTGTGAAAAGCCAATAGTCAATCAAATGTTGGATTTTGCGACATTTCCTTACCCACTTCTAATTGTTTTCTTTATACATCTAAACTAATCTGAAGTTACTTCGCAGATTAACTGACAGACGGTCGAATAATGCAATCGATCGGCGATATTCCTATCAGATCTACTATCAATAAGACAAGAAAATGTTAGTCAGTGGTAAAAAAACATTTTGAAATGCGCGAGTTTCTGATTATATTATTGCCTTTGTTTTATTTGTAGGCGTTTCAAGTATGCTGTTGGATATCAATCCGACTCGGAAGATTTAATAGTTGTTCGCATTGTTATGCTGATGATTCATCAGCATTTTGTATTTTATATATTTATAAAGAAGAAATTGTAATTTTAATTTTAATTTCATTTCATTAAAAAATCAACAAAATAAACTAAGTATATAATATCTAACACACGGTTCGTAATTTGATTTTGGTTACGTATACGCCAAGTCTAACAAAAAATAACGATCGTTGACGTATACATATATATATATATATATATATATATGTATTTGAGTATGTAGACAAAAACAAATGCCTTATCTAATCAGTAGGGTATATGGACTTACCTTGTTCAGTGGTGTCTGTGTGTGTGGCACATGCGATTGCTTTTTGCGGTTTGTTGTACACCCGATTTGTCCAGCTGTGTTGACATTCACGATCTGAATGCGATTTACCAAAAACTAAGCTGATCACCGATCACAAATCACAATTCACAGATGTCTGTTCGCAATTCTTATCGTTTGTTTATTATTTACGTAATCGCTGATAGGGCGAAATAGTTGCCACAATCGACACAGTCAGAAGACTCAATTTAATACCGAAACGAAAGCCAATTCAAGGCTCAATCGCATTAAGGTGAATATTACTCATAATTCCACTTAACTCGAACTCAACTCGAACTCGAACTCAACTCGAACTGAGCTGCGCTGCGCTGACTAAATGTAAACAATTCGAGATGCGTGCTCTGTCGCCCTCTCTCTCGCTTGCTCTTTCTCACCTCTCACACGATTGCCGCTGGATTATTCATGAATGCTGAGCGCAACAGGTGAGCAAGGGTGGGGAGCGGGAAGCGGTTTATTGCAGTCCGTTGGATGATTCAAATGTTGAAACAAACGAATCACGATCATGACTAACACACAGTTGAGCGGAGATTCAAGCATTTGCTTACGCGTGCCGCAGGTAACAATGTTGTTGCAAGCACTCACTCGCAAAGACACACATTTGTCAACACTGCAGCGATAGCAAACGGCTTTTGCAAGAAGAACGCGATCACAACAAAGCAAACGATAACAGCAACAAAAATAAAAAATAAACCAATTGTAAACGGCCAAATTGCGTTCGGCGGAGAGTGCGTTTGTCCACAACGACTGCACGTTATCGAGTGCCGCCGCTAAATCGCTAAATCGCCGCCGCTGCTGTCAATTGATATTCTCTACTTGCCTGTTGACAATTTCGCTCCACATGCACACACACACATAACTCGCGCGCTTGCATGCAGGCACGCTCTTTTTTCTGTCGCTTAACGGCTCTCTCTCTCGCTCTCTCGCAATTGCTGCTCTTATTGTTATTGTGCCTTGCAGTCTGAATTGATGATTGCCGATCGCGTTAGATACTGCACTTAACATGTACGTATGTATATATATATATATGTGTGTGTGTGTGTGTGTAGTATGCGTGTGTAGTATGCGTGCGTGCTGTGTTCTTTTTTTGTATTTATTTTATTTGATTGGCGATACGCACGACGAGAGACGCGCAATTCACATTCACATTCCCATAACCAAATACAAATACAACTATTGTGAATTACATACTGTACATGCATACAAATATGCTTAGAATAAATATTGGCAAATGTACGATGTACGTGCAACTCATGCAATTAATGCCACAGTTGGCTCAAGCTCAGCAAGTAGTTAACCAAATATACAATTTTGTGGCATTTCCATTCCCAATTCTAATTAGATTGTCAAAGTCATAAATCAAATAGGGATGCTGCCATGGATTGTGTCATCAATTTCGAAAAAAACGGTTTGAAAGTCGAGGATCTTCAGTCTGTCGGCGATATCCAACATGTTCAGCAATGAGGCAATCAAATAATAACCCAATCAAATAATAACCCAATCAAATAATAACCCAATCAAATAATAACCCAATCGTTCCGCTTTTCATTCAACCAACAGAAGCAATTTCATTTAACTCTTTGGGGACACAGATGGATCTCATTTTAAACGAGACTCAAATAATAATCCTAGGAAGTAACCGGAGCGACTAAGATTCCGTTGTTTCAAACCATTCTAATGAAATGACATTTGTAATATCCAAATTTTCTGATATTGAGTTCCCAGGATCAATGCAGTATGTATAATCTTTAAACTTTCGCTAACAAAAATTTATAATGGAAATTTCGAATTTACAGTGAAGATCAACAGACAGTAGAAGATCTGCAGCTTATCGGAATACAGAAGAATTTTATGATATATAAATGCAGTAGATATATTTTTTTCTGAATGGGTGTGTTAATAACATAATAAATAGCTAACTCATATTTATTTGCTTATTTATTTGTATTTGGTTTCGCTGTCAAGGTTTTTATTTTTTATACCATCTATTTGACAATTATATAAACATTTGGCGTTTAGTGATTATTATTAATAGATTGCTATTGCTGTGACATTTGTCGAGTTCACTGTAGTCGATACTGTACTGTGTACACGGGACTAACGCTCATTGCCTGAATCGACATTGATAACGAACAGTTTCAGTTTCCATTTCTATTTCAGTTTCGGTTTCGATATCGGTTTTGACTTCAGGTTCTCAAAATGTTTACATAAATCGTATTTGTTTGTCAGCACGCGTTTGTTTATGGTGCAAACAACATGATCATTTTTATTGATATCTATGTACATATGTACAGTGCTGGCAACAAAAATATAGCACAATTAACAATTCGGAATAGCTATACAAAATGACCAACAAATGCTCAAAATAATCCCCAATGCATTTACTAATGATTCTTATTAACTATGCAATAAATTTTAGAAAACATTTACAATGGAATTGGGAAAGGAAAAACTCTGGTTTTTACTTTCTGAAAAATTGGATGAGTTAACCTTGTCGCCAAAAGTATAACAACTTCCTTAGTCAATTTTAAATATCGCCTGATTGACTCCGGTATGCAATTTTCTTCCTAAAATTAATGTGAATTGATTGATTGGCAGAAAGATAGTTTTTTCAAGCCAGTTATACACACTATATATATATATATATATTTATACTGACTGAAGCAATAACCAGAGTTCTGATTTTGGTTTTGATTAGTTAGGATTGGATCAGTTGGGTGGAATCTGCTATTCCCCAACCCATGTCGCAAAGTAGCTGCTTTATGTGTATATAGTAGATATACACAATCTTTAAAAATGTGCATACGATATACATATATAAATATATCTGTTTGCCCGCTGCCTGCATAAAAAGAATGAACCACGTTGAACAAGAACGGGCGGGGGGAAGGGTGGAGCGAAGGGGGTAGGGGCGTTGTCGGTCAATTTTCAATTGTTGCCAAAGAGTTTTTCAACTGACTCAGTTTATTTTGTTATTCGTGTCTTTATTTTCTGGGCCGTCTTGTACCCTGTATTCATACAAAATAATTCAAATGCCATATATATACAAATACCTAGAAATATGTAGATATATAGATAGACAGATATATGTATATAAATCAGAATCAGCACCATTTGGACAACTGCATATATCGCATAATCAATTATATCAATTTCATCTTACAGGGTATATGCTGGTCAGTCTTGCAGCTGCTTCTGCATAGAGAGCACGAGCACACTTCACTACACTACACACACACACACACACACACACACGATCAGCACAATACTCTCACTCTCATTCACAGAGTGCCCCCGCCCCTCCTGCTCACATTTTCCCGTTTCCCATTCAAAATATTCTCGTATCTCTCTCTTCTACTACTCAGTGAACCCGGGGTGGGCCCGCAGCCAACGATAGCAGCTACTGAGTAAGTGTGTGTGTGCTGTGTGTGTGTGCTGGGTGCGTGCGCTGTGTGTGTGCTGTGTGTGTGTGCTGTGTGTGTGTGCTGTGTGTGTGCGACTATTTCTTCATTAATTAATTAAGACTTCCATTTCGATGACGCGGACAACAACAACAACAACAGCAACAGCAACATGCAGTCAGAAGCATAACCAAATCGAATCGAATTTGATTCAAATTGCTCCTGAGTTAATTTAGATAACTAGAAGAAGTATAAAAAAAGAAAAGAATCGAACACGCCCAGTCAATCACAGAGGTTATACATAAGTTGCCAAAGTTCATGAACTCTATGCGGAACGCAATCGATAACGATTTGAAAAATAGAATAGCGAATTGAATTTTGCTCGATTTACGACACAAGAATATACATATTTCTGAAAAAGTCAACAAATTAAATTGAATCAAGTGTATATATATATATATATATATGTTGCTTATATGTGTATGTATCTACTATATGTGTACATCGTCAGACTTTAAGTACGATTTGCTATTGACCTGTTACTTAAAAGTGTCAACAAGAAATATTTGTTAGATTTGACAAGTATGCTAGACTTCTTAAGTAGTGCATCCCTCATGCCATAGTCTCGTATTTTTCTTCAATCTGTGTGTGTATAAATATACAAATATATATATATATATATATATATAGGTATATATAGTATACAATTTGAAAGTTATGCTCTTTTGAGCATACCGATCAGATATTATTCGCAGCCAAGCGGAGCCAAGCACTCGTACTATGTAGTCTTTATATGCATCATGCCCATTGCCTATTGCCTAAGCACGAAAGATTTTTGAATTTCAAAAATTCTATTTGAGAGAAACAACACCAGGGCAGTGGCCAACTACACTCGGAGAAAACAGAACGTTCTTTCATCATGTACAAATTCGTTCTAGCAAATATGAATTACAACAATTGTTGTCTTCTAACCAAGTTAAGTATTTCAATTGTTGTCTTCTAACCAAGTTAAGTACTTCAATTGTTGTCTTCTAACCAAGTTAAGTACTTCAATTTCAAATCAAATCGAATTCTCGATTTCAGTAATGTTTAAGAACGTTATTTATTCTAAGTTTTTAACTTGTGCTGCAACAATCTTGCAATTTTGAATGTCGCAAAAGAAAGGCTGGTTTAAACCTGCTTTCTTTGAATCAGTTCAAATTTTTGCCCAGTGTCTTTGATCGAATTTAAATATATAGATATTTGTGGCAATATGTGGCTAAGGAATCCCTGGTTCTGCTGTTGTATTTGAAAATTCCAAAAAGTAACAATACCGATAAACAACAACAACTAGAAAATAGAAAATGTAAACAAAGAGCTTCGCTCATTTCAAATTACCCGATGATGAAGTCAATTGTTGTATACAAAAATGAATTTTTGGTTTCCTTTACGAAAGTTTTTGTATCGTTTCATTCTTAATACCCTGTAACCTGTACAAACCACACCGAAGGGCTGCTCAATTGTCAAAGTTTATTGATTTTGTTCGAGTACATTTCGATCCCTGGAATTATTCAAGCAGCAGACCAACAAATTTGGTATGCAGATTGCAATGAATAAAAGATCATCTGAGATATGATAAACTCAAGACCTAGATCTTGAAAGCATGTGAATGGGAATGGGACTGGAAAATGAGGCTGAAAATGTTGCAAGAAAAGCGTGAGTTTCTCGCAAAATAGAAAGTGATATTTATTAGATGATTGGACTGTTGACATGTTTGCTCATTATAAGTGTAGGGTATTTACAAGTCGTGCCAGCTCGTTGCCCATTGAGCACTCTTGATGCTGTTGTTTTATGTGGCTGCTATTATTATTATTGTTGTTGTTGTTGTTGTTGATTTTTAGCTGGATTTTGGCTGCTCTATTTGGAGGCTATTTGGATTAGTGTGCTGGGGATGTATAGAATTTAGTTTTAGTACAAAAATCGGCGCAGGAACGAACGCGTCATAGTTTAAAACAAAAAAAAAAAAACAAAAAAAAAGAATAGAAAAAAAATCATATAAAAAATATAGACACATCGCATTCCTTGAGCAAAACGCATGATTCATCATCCGTTGGAGAACCAATCGTCAACGGAGCACATCCTGCTGCCAGTGGCCATGGCAGCCCGCAAGGCTGCCACCGCTGCCACTGCTGCTGCTGGTGTCGCCGCTGGCAATCGGAGCCATGTCGAGCATTTGGATAACGAACTGTTCGAGGGCTATTCGGAGACACTGCTGACGGTCGCCTGGACATTTTGCATACTGTTCACCGTTGTCGGTGTGCCCGGCAATCTGCTGACAATTGTCGCGCTGTCGCGCAGCAAACAGACCCGCAACTCGACGGCCATATTCATTATAAACTTATCGTGTTCGGATCTGTTATTTGGGTGCTTCAATTTGCCGCTGGCCGCCGCCACGTTCATGGAGCGTGCCTGGACCTTTGGTGATCTGCTGTGCCGACTGTTTCCCCTGTTGCGATATGGCCTGCTTGCCGTCTCACTGCTCTCCGTTTCGCTGATCACCATCAATCGGTACATTATCATTGCCCATCCGCGACAGTATCCACGGTAAGTGAGTGATTTGATTGGTCATCGAATTGGATTAACTGTATTCATTGGTGTTGGTCTTGCAGCATCTATCAGCGACGATATCTGGCTATGATGGTCGCCGGCACCTGGCTGATCACCTTCTCAATTATGATACCGACGTGGCGGGGAGTTTGGGGTCGCTTTGGCTTGGACACCAGCATTGGGTCGTGTTCGATACTGCACGATAAATACGATCGATCGCCGAAGGAGTTCCTGTTTATAGCCGCCTTTATGCTGCCCTGCATTTGTATTGTGATCTGTTATGCCCGGATCTTTCTGCTGGTGCGTCAGGCAACGATTCGGGCTGGCAACAAGAGTCAAGAGGTTGCCACAACGCCGACGACCATTCAGCCACCGAACGATAAGCCGAAAAACCGCGATAAGCAACCCGACAAGACTAAGGTTAAGGACATTGAAAAGCACAAGGATAAGGATAAGGATAGGAAAAACACTTCGGAGGAGGGCTCCTCGGGCACAAGGCATGCCTTTGTGGTCAGCGAGACTTTCGCCTTTATTGATGACAACACATCCTCGGAGAGTTTTCCCATCTCGTACAGCACCAGTCAGCGGCAGCCACATCGAGAGTCGCCCATCGATGCCAACATCGTCCTGCAGGATCTCAATGACCATAGCAACAACAAGCAACAAGCAGCTGCTGCCAATCCAGCGGACTCCAGCATCAGCAGATCACAAAGCCAACTGGAGCAAAACCGCAACGCGTAAGTATCGAAAATGTAGTAAATCTACTACAATATACAATAGAACACGCAGAAGAGAGTATCTTCGATCCCAAGTTGTATGCATATATAGCTTCTTGATCAGCAGGAACAGCTGCGTCGATCCGTGCTCTCCGTCCGATCTGAGAAACAGCTGTAATCAGTTCTCCTGTGCCACACGCAGTTCGAGTTTATTTTGATTTTATTCTTTCCGAGATAGGTATTTGAAAATCGATAGCCGATAACACTAAAAGATACAAATTTTAATCGATAACTTTCTTATTGGGTATGTCTAAGTCTTGACATTACTTTGATCAACCAGAACAAATTGGAATAAGATCGGCTTATGAATATAGCAAGTATATTTTGTGTTTAGGTTTAGGATATCTCCTGATCGAGGTCTCTCTCTCTCTCTCTATACCTATTCTTTATGCTTTATATATGACAATTTGGACAATTAATTAGATTAAGTTGTGCTCTCTTCGGGTGCTCTCTTCATCTCTCTGCAGTAAGAATCCAATTACGACATCATTGCGCACATCGTTCACACGTTTCAGTCCACGTAAATCGCATTATGTGTCGATGGGGAATACGTCGAATGCATCATCAATTTATCCGGGTCGGATGAGTCCCAAGGATCGGCGATTGCTCAAAATGATACTGGTGATATTTGTGTGGTTCGTCGTCTGTTATCTGCCGATAACGCTGACCAAGATCTGGAAGAGCGCCAACGATATGCATGTGTTCAACATAACCAGTTATATACTGATCTATATGACCACCTGCATCAATCCGCTTATCTATGTGCTAATGAGCAAAGAATATAGACGGGCCTATTCGCAAATGTTTCGATGCCAGCAAACGGAGCAACAGCATCGCGTCCTCAAAAAGCACATCGAATCCAATCGGGCCGCACCCAAAACGTGATCAAGTTTCAGTTTCAGTTGCAGTTGCAGTTCCAGTTCCAGTCGACTGCCAGACTAGTGTCGACTTCCGTCCCAGCAGTGACTACTCAACATGTCCATCATTATATACATATATATATATATATATATATATTTACATATGTATATGTATTAAAGGGAGGGACACATCCATCTCTGTTATCCATTGTCCATAAATCCATAGAACAGTCATGTATTATATATAGTAGAACGAATCGAATCGCAAACATCCATTTATGTCTGTACAAATATCTATTTCTATTTAATGCTATAGACACACGATATACATATGCAAATATATATATCCAAAGCCATGTCGGTCCATCATCTGATATATGTATGTTTATGCTTACTATGTGCATATATAGTCCAACTTTCTTGGCTCCAAAATTCTATACGATTTTCTCGAATCGTCAAAGGGTATTCAGGAAGAACATATATAAACATATATATCGGCTTTATCAAGATGGATTATGTTATTTATGGCGATATTTTTATATGGGATGTGCACTTTTTGAAAACCCAATTTAAATGTATAAAAATTACTTTAAAAAAAAATTATATGTACACATTTTTTTATTTCAATATTACTATCAGACCTCTTTTGCAACATATCCCTAATCATATTACAGTTATGAATGCCATTGGAATGTTCAAATATTTCCGGTTGTTTAGCGTATGTACAAATATCAGAAGAGAATATTTTTTAACTGTCAAGTTTTGGGGTCGCCGCCTCTCGTTCGCCCATCATTCCCACCACCCCACAACCCCCCCACCTCTGCCAAAGAATAATCGATAAATCGATAACAGAGCATGTGATCGAAAAGGTGTATTGCATTTTATACCAAATGACTTTTAATATCTGGTTTACATTTGAATTCCATGTTTAAGAACAATCGATGTTTTATTTATTTGCTTGCCGCTAATTATTGTACCAATACAAATACAAATACAAATGCACATATACATATATATAGATATATATCTGCTATATAAATATATATATGTATATATATATTGCATATCCTATGCCTTCAATAAATGCTTCCAATAATTGATATATGTAGTTTTACGTTGTTTTTCTTAATTCGTTTCTGAGTTGTATTTTTTTTTTGTTTGTTTTGTTTTGGGAATTTAGAATTTTGCATCCAGTACCAGATAATACCAGTTATATATAAATAGTATAGCTTAATATATAATTATTATCAATATACATATTGTATATGCCAGTGTCTGTGTGTGTGTGTTAATGTGTGTATTTGTTTGATTTGCGTACGAAACTTGGACTACTTAAAGGCTAGTAACACAACTAAATGATCCAATATTCTGGTAATACATATGAATCTGTATGTATCTCACCGCCATTCGATACCGATATCGATATTGATTTCGATTTCGATTTCGATTACAAATTTTGAACTGTCTGATTGAATGATCGGATCGGATCTCTAACAATAAGTTATAATGTATTTTGTATGCATGTATAAGCCTATAAATGTGTGTATGTATGTATATATTATTGTATAATAGTATCGTATATTATATATGTATATATATATATATGTATATATATATTTATATATATATATATTATTGTATGGATTAAATTTTAACAGTTGTCGCTCACAAATTACAAAAACTTCACAAACAAAAATAACAATCGAAAAACGATTTTGTTAGAAATTCTATATAAAGTATTTATATTATATAAATTCTTTATATATATTTGTATATATATATATATATCTCTCTCAGATTCTTTGCTAGCAAACAAGTCTCTCAGTTTCATTGAAATTTGGAATATATGCGTATTTCTGCTGCAGTCCGTGCATATATGAAAGTCAGCCCAGATCGGCCAATTATATCCGATAGCTGTCATAGGAACTATCGCTCAAATGTTGTGAGTGTCTTTAAAGATATCATGGTGTGATGAAAAATGATCAACTATAACATATATAGCTGTCATAGGAACAATCGCTTGCAAATTGATCAACTATATTGTTTTCCAAAAAGATATCTTCAATCCAATCAATGCAAACTGCTCAACTAACAACATTGGACAACAACATCGGACTACTATATATGATATAGCTAACATAGGAACAATTTAACAACATCGGATTACTATATCTTATAGCTCGCTTAGTCATCCTCAAGACTCTTTCCAATTGATTGTAATATCTTCTTTGTGTGAGGATATTTTCGATCCTATATATATATATATAGATATGCTTGATAAGCATCCGGCGTGACTCAGATAGCTGCTCTTCCTTCGAGTTGAGTATGAACTTAAACAAAATGAAATTGTTTGAACTTTTCTCAGAATTGGAAATGATTCTAATTTACGAGCGACCACTGTATTTACAGTTTGTTACTAATTAATTAATTATTTAATGACCATAATTATTTAATTTGTAATTTGTAATTTGTAATTGTAATTGTAATTGCGATTGCGAGCGTAATATTAATATAAAAAAAAAAAAAAATAGAAACAACAACAAAAAAAAAACACAACAATGTTGTCGAGTTGGATTTTAGCTGTTGTTGGCTAGTTTCAGACGGACTCCAGATGCTCGGATATCTCGAGAATGGGACTCTCGCTGAGGGGCTTCACCAGCGTCTGCCAGCTGGGCGTGAACAGGCTCAACACTGGCGCCGCTGTCGCCTGGCCACGCAAATGATGATACTCGGCCTCCGCCAGGGAATGCGAATGCGAATGCAAATGTGGATGCGAATGTGGATGTGGATGTGAATGTGGATGTGGATGCGAATGTGAATGTGGATGACTATGTCCATGCACTGGATGGCTGTTGAGGAGTGCCGCTTGTGGTGGTGTCGCTGGCGGCGTCGCTGACGTTGTGGACGGCATTGCCGCTGATGCTGATCCAGCGCCAGCTCCCACTGGTGCTCCTGCTGCTGCTCCAACCACTGCTGCTGCTGCTGCTGCACCCACTGCTGCTGCGGCTGCTGCTGCTGCTGCTGCTCCTGCTGTTGCTGCTGTCGAAGTAAGCGGTTCGCTATTCGTGGACTGTTGACTGATGTAGGATGTCTTTAAATTCATCTGACTGTAGGCATGTGCGCCGGGCATTGTCAGCGAGTGCTGGAGACGCGGCGGCCCACTTCGTGGTCGCTCCAGCATGGCCAGCTCGTACAACTCGTCGGCCAGATGCGGCTCCTGCTGGTGATGTGCATGCGGATGATGATGGGCCAGTGTGTGGTGTGCATGTGCATGATGCGAATGGCGACCAGCCAGCTGTGCCTCCAGTGCGTATTGTTTCTGGAACAGCTGACGCTTCTGCTGCAGCAGACGATGCTGCAACAGCTGCTGTTGCAACGGTGGCTTCTGCATGGGCGACAAATGTTGCTGTTGTTGCTGCTGCTGCTGTTGCTGCTGCTGTTGCTGCTGTTGCTGCTGTTGCTGCTGATGTGATAGGGAATAGATGACGCCGCCGGGTGGCGGTGGCGCATAGAGCGCATTTCCACCATACAGTTCACTGCTCACGGCGGCATCCAGGAGTAGTGGCTGCTGCTGCTGCGGCGGCGCAAACGACAAATGCTGATGCGGATTGTGATGATGATGATGGTGTTGCTGCTGCTGCTGTTGCTGTTGCTGAGGATTATGATGCAACGCATAGAATTGACCCTGTGGAAATTGACAATTGGCCGCCAGTGTTAGCTCCTCGAGCGCCAGTTGATGCTGATGATGTTGTTGATGATGATGAGCAAGCGTATGGGCATGATGAGCATGTGCTGCTGCTGCAGCATGATGATGATGATGTTGTTGTTGTTGTTGCGGCGCATAGATTGCGGCGGCTTCTTGCTGCAACTGCTGGATCTCCAGCCAGCCGCCGTGCCGCTTGGCGTGCTCATAGCGATAGCTACCATAGACACGACTCGCACCCAGCAGCGTGGTGGAGCTGAGCAATCCCTGGGCGACCAGGCCATCGCTGGCGCGTCGCCCCTCCCGAAAATGGATGGGCGAACGCTTGTCGGCGAAGGGCGGCGGCACCGGCGCTGGCGCTGCCAATGCCGTTGCCAATGGATGGACAATCAACGATGGCATCTGTGACGGCATCGCCAGACTCAATGCCGTCGGCATATGGATGCATGAATTGTGGCTGCTATACAACGAGTGCTCCGAATCCGAATGTTCGCTGCCAATGGCAACGGTTGATGCAACAGACGATGCAGCAGCAGCAGCAGCTGATGATGATGATGATGCCGAAGCTGTGCCAGCAGCACCAACCATCGTTGCCAGCATCGAGTTGCTCATGCAGGAGGGCAGACTACCATGTCCGTGTCCCATATCCGGTTGTGTTGCTGGCTGCAGCACAAAGTCCAAGCTCTCGTAGGCGCTGCAATTGCTCTTCGAGCTGCCGCGACTCAAATTCTGTGATAGACTCTTCGAGTAGCTGCCGGCGAGGACGCCGCTGGAGCTGCTGCTGCTGGCATACGAGCGTGTCCTTGTCGCTTGGTGTTGGGTGCTCGTCAAATCGGTGGATGATTGTGAGCCCTCCTTGTTATTGTTGTTATTATTGTTATTGCCGACGGTTGTGGGATCGTTGTGGCAGCCCTGATCCGTTTCGCAGCCCTCGTCGGTGCTGGAGCTACCCTGTGCGAGCACCTTCTTCTCAAACGTCTTCTTCTTCTTGTCACGTCTGCCAACAAGGAGCAACAACAACAAATTATCTGCTAATTCCGTACATCTCTCTCTCTCTCTCTCTCTCTTTCTATATACATATTTTGTTTGGGTGCTTCATCATCATCATCATCATCATGTCACTCACCCGTCTCCATTTGGCTTGCACTTTGTCGTCGCGGCAGAGTCTTCCTCCTCCTGTGTTGTGGGCGTGGGCGTGGACGTGATCCCATTACTGCTACTATTATTATTAGTATTATTACTATTATTATTGCCATTTGTCGTTGCTGTTGCTTTTGCTGCTGCTGTTGTTGTTGCGTCCTTCAGCTTCGCTTCCTGCAACAAACCAAAAATAAAAACGTATTTCAATAAGACAAAAAAAAAGTCCAAAGTTTTCAACTCTTTATATTCTTAGGAATAAATCAATCAAATATTTATATACGACTTGCTATAGTATATAGCTGCCATAGGAAGAATTCGACTTTTTCCTTTCATTTTTTTACTTATAGTAAAATTTGGATGACGATGATTTAGAACTGATCTTTCTTCTTTTTTTTTTTTTTGTTAGATCTCTTTTAAAGACTGAAATAATTCAAGTTAAGTTAATTATAGATATTTGCTAATTATATTATGGAATCAAGAGAAATGAAAGACTGCAGTTGCCTAACATCTACTCATCTTCTACTTCATCAACTTCATCTACCAATTATTCCTATGAGATTTGCTGTTCATATATATCATGAACGGATATAACGGAAACTCGTGATTTTATACACATTAGGATAACTTGTATTCATCATTCCGCATTATTCCAAGAAAGAAACTCATCGAGTTCGGATGGGTCGGTTGGGTTGGGTTGGTTAGATCACATATCGAAGCTATGCAAGTGTATATAAGGATATACAAGGGATAATAATGATAGAGAGGTTCGTGTTTGCCTACCTCAACTGGCAGTGGACTCTCTTGGAGCGTCTGGAAGAGCCTGCTGGCCTCGACGGACATCTTGTAGCGAAAGCTTTGATTGAGATTGGCGGTGGAATCGAAACTGTTCGAGCTCGACATGGGCTTCATTATTATTGTCTTGTTGTGGTCGTGGGCCGTGGGATTGGCAGCCGCTGTTACACTTGAATGTTGAACGTCCGCATCCGTTTCCACAGCCGGCAGCAGCTGCTGCTGTTGTTGATCCTCCCTGTCCAGCTCCTGCTCCTTCTTCGTCGTCTCAGATATGGCAATAGACTGGCAAAATCGGAAATTGATATATATATATAGATGTATATGAGATTATTATATATAATTGAATGAAATCGCACCTGCTGCAGCAGCTGGCGACAATCCTCGGTGCTCTGCTTGATGATATACTCGCTGATGGTCTGATGGAGCTGCTTGGGCGCCGGCGACGGCAGATGTTGCTGCTGCTGCTGCAGCTGATGATGGCCCAGATGATGATGATGATGATGATGATGATGGTGTGCCAGCTCCAGCTGCTGGCTGGCATTCAACAGCAGCTCGCGACATCTCAGATTGGCCAGCGAGGGCAGATTGCCAGCTTGCTGATGATGTTGCTGCAACTGCAACTGCTGCTGCTGCTGCTGCTGCTGCAACTGCAACTGTTGTTGCTGCAACTGCAACTGCTGCTGCTGCTGCTGATGATGATGTTGTTGAGCGGAGACGCTGCTGGTGCTGCTATCGATGCTCAGGGAGATGGCAACGGATCGACCATGATGATGGCCAATCCTTGTTGTGCTGCTGCTACCCGCCGGCAGTGGTGTATATCGAGTTGGCAACAGCTGCTGTTCCTCATGCCCGTTCAGATAACGGGCATGTCCATGTCCATGCACATGGGCGTGGGCGTTGGCATGGGCATGGCCGTGATGTGCCTGCTGCTTGACGGCATAGTAGGGATCGGCAGTTTGGAGGCGTTCGCTCATCAGCACCGTCTGATGGCGGCTAAGTCTTTTGTGGGTCGGATCCTTGGCCAGGATCGTGGTGGATATTGTCTTTGATTGCTGTTGCTGTTGAAGTTGCTGTTGTTGTTGTTGCTGTTGCTGTTGTTGGTGCTGATGGAGCTGGAGCAACTGCTGCTGCTGCTGCTGGGTGGCGGTGGTGGGCAACTGTTCGAGTAGCATCAACGGCTGCTTGCTGCTCTTGTAAATTAAGCGACTGCCGCTGGCGGCACTTGAGCAATTCTCCGCCGGTTTCGCCTGCTCCTTTTTGTGCGACACCCGATCCTGGAGCAGCAAATAGATGGCTGCCACATGATCGTACGTATTCTTTTTGAGGCTCGCCCGCGTCTTATCGGGCCCAATGCCCACATATTCGGACATTATACGCAATATATCCTCGCTCGGCTCCAGCACCGCCTGCCGTTCCATATTCAGATTGTATTTGGCGATGAGCACATGCTCCAACAGCTCGGGGCACATCCAGCGATGCCGCTTAATCTGCTCGATGGTATAGCGACGTGTCGGCTCCAGCACCAGCATGCGCCGTATCAAATGCTCACATTCCGAGCTCATAAAGAACGGTATACGAAAACGACCCGACAGCACCCGATCCCTCAAACTCTGCAGCGTTGAGCCATCGAAGGGCAGAGCACCGCAGACCAGCACATAAAGCACAACGCCCAATGACTAAACAATAAAAACAACAACAAAATAGACAGAGACAAGTTGAGTATATGGATTATTATTGTATGTGCGCGGATGTGTGTGTGTGCGTGTGTGTGTGTGTGTGTGTGTGTGTGTGTGTGTATGGGAATGAAGCCTTAAAAGTCATATGTCGAAAAACAAATATGATTATGCTAAACAGTGGAACAACAAAAACCCATACAACATTGTTAATGGTTCGGGTTCGGTTCAACAAACTGTTCTTTCATCTTTCATTTATGAATCTAGTCAAACTATAGTTTGGTTCAGTAAGGCATATATCGAAAATCAAATACGAATCGAAAAAATAAACCCATACAACAATGTTAATGGTTCGGTTCAAGCAATTGGTCTTCCATCTTTCATTCCATACATTTATGAATCCGCTCAAATTATGGTTTGGTTCAGTTTTTGTTAAACTTGCTTTGTACCACGTTTGAAGAAGGTTCTTAAATTTAATTTAGAACAGTGAAAACCAAAGAAACCAAATACTCTGGCAGATCGTGGCTAAATTATATATAGTGGTTCAACTCTGCCGATTCAGGCAACTGACAAAAAGTGGATATATTCCAAATTAATCGGGCAAATATAGCAGCTAGATGGTATCGACTGCTCATGGCTAATAAAGTATATACATTTTTGATATATACATATATATAATGTGGGAACATTGAATAACTGAATAATCAAAAAATAAATAAAAAAAAAATGGTTGCTAAGAAAATGTATGATTTTTTGTTGTTGTGGTTGTTCCGGTTGATCTCTTCTTACCCAGATATCAATCTCTGGCCCCGTATACTGTTTGCCCTCGAAGACCTCGGGTGCGGCATAGGGTGGTGAACCACACCAAGTGGCAAGCAGTTCGCCGGGCTTGAAATGATTGGAGAAACCAAAATCGGCTATTTTAATGTTCATGCCAATATCGAGCAGTAGATTCTCCGCCTTCAGATCACGATGCACGATGCCCTTCTTGTGGCAATATTCCACCGCCGAGATGATTTGCCAAAACTTGAAGCGAGCCGCCGACTCCGACATACGTCCATACTTGGCTATATAATCTGATGTGAAACAAAACGAAGAAGAAGCAGCTGATGATGAAGACGAAGAAGAAATCAGCAAAATGGAGATGCTTACCAAAGATTTCGCCCTGACTGGCATACTCGGAGACAATGTAAATCATGTTCTTCGTTTCCATCACCTGCAGCAGAAGAAAGCAAATTTGAATGGATTTGATGCCGGATTGGTCTTGGTTGGTTTTAGGATTTTACCTGATATAGCTTGATGATGTGCGGATGCTTGAGCTTCTTCATGATCTCCACTTCGCGATAGACCTTCTGCAGATTGGTATGATCCAGCTGCGATTTATCAATGATTTTGATGGCCACCTCATTTTTGGTGATGCGATGCCGCGCCAGCTTCACAACGGCAAAATTGCCTTTGCCAATGGTCCGTTCGATGTCATAGAAACCGACACGCATCGGTTCCTTGAGTTTGAGCAGCTCCTTGGGTCCGCTGCCGGTGCCGGCAAATAGCTTTTGGGCCAACAGCGCATCCTGGCAATTGGCTAATGCATCTAAGGAGGGCGCCGCACCAGTTGCCGCACCCAATTCCGTTTCATCCATTTGGCTGCCATTCGATGTTTGTTGCAACTCCAATTCTTGCTGCTGCTGCTGTTGCTCCCGTTCCCTGTCCCTGTCCCTGTCTCTGTCCCTTTCCCTTTCCCGTTCCTGCTCCAGATGACCATTTTGTTCGCTGCTGGTCGGGGCTGAGTCATCGTCTGTCTTTGTTGTCGTTGCGGTTGTCGTTGTGGTTATCGTTGCAGTTGCTTGAGCCGGGGACTCCTTTAAATCCTTTTTGGCAGCGCCCTCGCATGCGCTCATTTTTGGGTTAAATCAAACGTAGCTGATGCTGCCGCTGCTGCTGCTCGTTGCTGCTGCTGCTGCTGCTGCTGCTTCTTGCACTCTCTGCTTTCTGCTCATGCTTCCGGCGCATGCAACGCAGCCTCTCTCTCTCTCGCTTTCTCCGTCTGCGTCTCCCGCCCCCGCCTCTAAAGATGCCTCATTGCACGCTCCTCCATATTGGCAGCAGCCGCCCTTCGAACGAACAGTTGAACAATTGAAATAAATATGAAATCCACACTCAAATATTGCAAAACACCACAAAACAACAAAAACAAATAAATAAAATAAACGCAAAACAAGTTCACAACAGTTTTTTTTTTCTTCTTTTTTTTGTTATTTTTTTTCTATACTCTGATAACAGATTAGCTCACACACACACATGTGTGCTCATACACATGTGGATGTGTGTGTACGAGTGAGTAAAAGTGCTGATGCATGTGTGTGTGTGTGCAGCATAGAAAAATCAATAAGCAGCCGCTGTGTGGCTCTCGTTCACGTGTAAAGCGAAGAGAGCAAAGAGATTACGCACACACACAGACACACACATACACAGTCCGATATGCAGTGAGTGAGAGCATTTACCGTTAGTTGCTTTTAATGTATTGCAATTGAAATTGTTTGTATTTCGCCTTTAAAGTCGAATTCACTTAATGCATTCGCCGCACAACTGGCTCGCCGCAGCGGAAATTAATGAGACACCCAATCGAAAGAGGCGAAGACCGTTTAAATTGACGACGGCAAGGCGACAACCGTTAAGCGTAAGCGACACAAACAAGTCCAGCGCGTTTCTGTCGCGGTTCTGTGACCCCCAGGAAAGTGCAGAGGCGGTTAGCGTGCGACTAAAAAGCGTACGTACTTTTTTTCTCTGTAAGGGTTGCCAAACTTTTGCAATGCCTGCCAAACTGACCGAACTGCGACTGCTGCTGTTGCTGCGACTGCTACTGCTGCCGCTGCTTGCTACTACGGCAACCCCAGTGGGGCAGCAACTAGCTGCCGAATGCACTGCACTGAGCATGCGCCTGATTTGAACCCCAAACAAAAATATAGAGCAATTGGGGCTGGGGTTCCATTTGTGTGTGTTTTTTTTCTTCTAAAAACGCGGCTACATTTAACATTTATCGAATGTCAGTTATCGAAGTTAATAATGTATAAACTATAAAGTTGAATATCAGAATCAGAATATCTCCGTAAGAAATCACTTTTTCAAATTATAATAAGCATTCTTTTTTTGTTGTTGTCTTTTTGTATATGGTTTTTGTTTAATATTAACACATAACGTATATTTATAGAGACATGTTATGCTTAACAGATTTTCATTTTCATAACATTTGATTTGAAAAAAAAAACGTTTTTTTTTTTTCGAATATTGCAAGTTCCCAGGAAGCGTCTAATTTTCATTTTGATAACATTTAATTGGTTTTTTCCACGATTCCCAGAAATCGTCCAATTCCAGTAATGCAGATTCCACTGTTTTCTTGCTAATAACTGTGTTTGATTTTTAGTCCTATTATTTAGAGAGAAACAAAATATGCTCAAAATTCTTTACACAAAATTTCGAAAGCAAAAAATCGAATAAGAATATAAAACATAATTGATATGTCGTATCAAATGTTATTGTGCCATAAAAAGTATTTACTTAAAGTCAAATAATAAGAAAAAATGTTGAACTGACTTTAAGATTGAAGTGGATAACTTAAGACTGCAACTGAAGACGCTGTATTGTATTGCTTAACATAAGAAAAAGAAAGAATAAAAAATACTACTCCAATTACGTATAAATAAAGACGAGTTTCTTCTGTGCATACACATTTATATATATATATATATATATATATGACTTATATTTAAAATTCACTTAAACTCTTATGGAACAGGTTTAAAATAATATGTAATAATATTTGTACAGTGGAACAAGTGCAGAGAGCGACAAATTACAAAAACAGAAGCACAGCGACAAACTTTGCGCTAGCTTTCTCTCTCACTCTCTCTCTTTCTCTGTCTGTGTGTGTCTCTCTCTCTTTCTCTTTCTCATACGCATGTATATATATATATGTATATATCTGTCTCTGTCTCGGCCAACAGAGAGCATTGCCCCGGTTTTCAGCAGCAGGCGAAAAAAAATGAAAGCGTTGAAGAGACGACATTGTGAATTGCTGACACGGTGTTGTTCCCTAATCAAGTTTAATATATATATATATATGTGTATATATATATATATATATATATATATATATATATAGCAGATATAGTAGTTATATATGTACATAGATCGGTAATGTGCGAGACATGCACACACAACTCATGTTAGACGCGACACATTATACAAAACGCTTAATAAATATTGGGCCAACATTTGCACATTTGCCCCAAGAGAGAAAATTGCCTGGATTTATTTTTTGGGATTTGCGGGTCCGCCTGCGAAGGAAGACTGTCAGCTGCCAACAGCGACATCATCCAATTGATTGTGGTGGTGGCTTGCACTTGCTGCTTGTTGTTAATGAGCCATCATTTTTTCGCCAGCAGCTCTGTAGCAGCTGTGTCAGCAGCCGCTGTTGCCGTTGTGGCAGCGCCACCAAAACTGGTTGCAAGCGGCGCATCACCGTAACAGCGTCGCTTCAAGTCACCAAAGAGATCCTGACGCTCCTGCAGACTGCGCTGCGTATCAATGTGTACCGATTGCGTTGTGTTTCTGCCAGATGGAGATGGAAAGACTTCAAAAATAAAGAAACGAAACAAAACTATGCAAAAAAGATGGGGCTGCACATACCTCGTCTTGGTGAGCACCGTGCAACTGTGCTCCACAACCATGTGGAGGGAGTAGAGCGTGGCGAGATTTAGCAGGCTATCCTGCTCAAAGATCTCAATGTCGGGCAAACGGATTTGGGTCTGGCGTGGATCTTGAAGGAAGCGTGCCAGTCGCTCGTTGACGCTCAGTTTGATACTGAAACCGGGACGATCGCCGTTGATGCGACGGCAACCGGCGCGGATTTCGCGCACCTCCTGCACCTGGACGGGCGGCGAGGAGGAGAGGAATGGATTCGATGTTTCGCCGGACATTTCGCTTTCGATTTGCTTGGAGGATGTCGGCGGCATGCCAGCAATACAACTGCTGCTGCTATCCATGTCGAAAGCATGCCGCTGATCAATGTGGATGGCATCGATGAAGCCACCACCACCACCACGATGATTGCCGCCACCGCCACATATCTCAATTGGTTTCGAGCTGGCAATCGGCTGAAAACGTGACAAATCTTGTCGCACATCCAGCGCCAATGGCGGCGGCGGCGATGACAATTGCAACACTGTGTTCGTGTTGCTGCCCAGACAACTGCCATCGATTGTGGTTGTTGTTGCTGTTGTTGTTGTTGTTGCTGTGGTCATCATCTCGGTGCCGGACATTAGGGTGTCATCCTCGCCAATGGTGTCATCGGATCGTATTTGCGGCAACAGTGATTTCTTTGTTAGCTTACGCTTGGGATCATATTTGCCACCGGGTCCCAGCTCGTTGCCGGGCCAATCGGTTAGCTCGTCATCGCCCTCACCGGCCGTATCGTGACGCCGTAGATCGTCCTCGCTATCATCGGACGAGGAGGAGGAGCTCAGCGAACTGGAGCTAAAGAAATCATACAGTTCGCCACAGTCCATTTTCGACTGGTGGATATGCTGTTGCAGCTGCAGTTGCAACTGAAACTGTGGCTGCTGCGGTGTCGGACAAAAGCCACGGCAACGACGACTATGTGACGACTTCTTGCGTTCCAGGCACATGGGTGGTTGCGGTTGCAATTGCGGCAGCTTCTCGGCTGTTTTGTTTGTCTTCAGCAGCGATTCAATATCGCTGACAGGCACTAAAGTTTCCATACTAAAATCAGCAGCCAGAGCCGATTGACTGCCAGCTGTCAGCGGTTCCAATTGCTGTTGCTGCAGTTGCTGTTGCTGCTGCTGGTGTTGTTTTTGTGGCTTCGACGATTCCTCCTCTTCCATGTTCGTTGTTGCTGCTGTTGCTGTTGTTGTGTTGTCAGTCTTTTGTGTTTGTTGTTGCTGTTGCTGCTGGTGTTGCTGTTGTTGCGCCATGCGATTTATCTTGGATAGCAGTCCCTTGTTGAGCGGCAAGAGACGATCGCTATGCGGCTTCGATGTGGATGAATAACTACGCGGTCGCATCCGATGATACTCCTCCATGTGCGTGTAGCGCGGCACACTTGACGAATGCAACCTGCTGCTGGCAATGCAAGCGGCCAGTTGACCCACATGACCATGATCATGCTCATGATAACGATCCCGATTCGAACGCTTTCGTTTGCCGCAAAAGAATAAATTCGAATTGCGATTTCCGGCGTTATTTTCCATTGTTGATGTTGCTGTTGTTGCAGCTGCTGCTGCTCCTGCTGCTGCTGCTGCTGTTGTTGCCTTGAGCAGACGCTTGCGCAATGTGCCAGTTGCTGTGCCGGCGAAACCATAGATACAGCCACTCAGCATGCCCGGATGCAGTGGGGATTCGCTTGCAAAATTGCTATCCTTGCTAAACTCAAATTCCATGGACATCCGCTTGATCTTTCGCTTGCGTCGCGAGTTCGGCTTGTAGAAACTGTAATTTTTTTAGATTCCATTTTTACATTTGATTTTTACATAGGACGACAGGCCACTCACCGTGCTGGACTGAAAGTGGTCTCATTTAGCGAATCCGATTCCAGGGCGCCCAAGCCCATGCGTACCGCAACTGTGGCAGCATGTAGACGCAGCGGCAACATTGCCTCCGCCTTGTCATCCGAATCGCTCGCTGGCAGCAACGCACTCTGCATGTGTCCAGCATCCAGGCCATCCATATTCGATTGTGCCTGATTGCCGTGTCCGGCATGGGCATGCAGTGCTGTGTCTGTGGGACTGCTCGACGAATCCTCCGTTGGCTGCGGTGCACAAGCTGCGAAGTGAAAGTCACACAAAAGCGGATATATATATATATATATAAATATATACATATCTATCTCCATATATATATATATATATATATACATATTTATCTCCATATATATATATATATATGTATATAAAAAGACATATATTTATATATATATATGTATTTTTGCGTGTACTTATGTGCATTTGCATGTGGGAGAGACTTACGCAAATTGCCCGTTGATCGAGTGCGTCGACGAGAGCCCCACCTACCAACGCCGCAGGCCCTGTCCATCAGTGAGGTCTCCTCGAGGGCGAGCGTCAAGTCGTGCGAGAACTGATCCATTTCATTTGCATGCAGCGACGAGCGACAAGAGACAATCGACAACAACAATCCTCGACTGCCTTCTGCTTTCAATTGCGTTTCATTCAACTAAATGCATACAAAAAAGAAAACCGAAAAAAAGAAACGAAACGAACCGAACCGAACGAATCCACAAGGCAAGCCTCAACAATTGGCTGAGCACCTCACATCGATAGTCGCAAATTAATCGATTTGGCTATCGATTGTATTTAACCATTTGCGTTCTTTTGCGATATATATCGCTTATCACTTATTTCGATATATACAAATATTTTCCATTTTCTATTTGGATTTTAAATTATTCTTATAGATATTAAATATTCGAACTTTTTACAATAATTGAAATTTTTGAAATATATATATGTATATGATGCAATTTTAAAATAAAATAAATATGCGCGTTTTAGTATATATTAATCGCAATTTGTGCGTTCTGTGTTTGCCCTCTGGTCACATTGCGCGTTGGCAGTGCAATGCAGAAGCTCATGTCCAAAATAATTTATATTTTATTATAATCAAACGCCCGCTTGCATTACAATTAAATTCACTTGAACACCAGATCGTTCTTATGCACTCACAATAAGTACAAAACAAGCAAAAAGCACATACATTACACAAACCAAATTTGCATACGCTTCACGCTTGTGCTGGTAGAAGAAGCAGAACAAAAAAAGAAGAAAAACTGATTAAAAAAACGCCGAATTTGTCGAGTTTTTTTTTGTGAGTTGTGCGGATTTATTGTCTGTTCCTTTTTTTGAGTTGCTCGTGGTGGATACAAAGATGAGCCGTCGACGCGCACACGACACCGAAGATGAGAGCTATGGTGAGTTAATTGCTTATGGTTAACTAATTTGCAAAATTCATCACGATGCCGCACACACACAGATCACAGACGCAATAAGCGGCGTCGCGTCTCCGAGAATCAGGAGATTGAGGATCGTTTGGAGTCGCTGATTTTGCGGGTGGGCGAGCGCAGTACATCGTCGGTGGAATCGAATCTCGAGGGTCTCGTCTCGGTGCTGGAGGCAGATCTGGGCACATTCCGTTTGAAAATTCTACGCATTCTGTCCGATTGTGCGGTGCGAATGCCAGAGAAATGCACCGTTTACACAACGCTGGTGGGTCTGTTGAATGCCAAGAATTATAAATTTGGCGGCGAGTTTGTCGATCATATGGTGAAAACGTTTAAGGAATCACTCAAGCTATGCCGCTGGGATGCGGCACGCTATTCACTGCGCTTCCTTGCCGATCTGGTGAATTGTCATGTAATATCGGCAACGAGTCTGTTGCAGTTGCTCGACACAATGATCGATGTGTCCAACGAGGATACGGTGCCGCAAGTGCGACGTGATTGGTTTGTCTTTGCGGTGCTCTCAACGCTCCCATGGGTCGGCCGTGACCTGTACGAGAAGAAGGAATCGTCGCTGGAATCGCTGCTGTTGCGCATCGAGGTGTATTTGAATAAGCGCTCCAAGAAGCATCATAATGCGTTGCGCGTTTGGACATCGGATGCACCGCATCCGCAGGAGGAGTATCTCGATTGTTTGTGGGCCCAGATACGCAAATTGCGTCAGGATAACTGGGCCGAGAAGCATATACCGCGTCCCTATCTTGTCTTCGATTCGATACTGTGCGAGGCACTGCAGCACAATTTGCCGCAGATAACGCCGCCGCCACATCACGATAACTTTGAGTATCCGATGCCGTGGGTTGTCTATCGCATGTTTGACTATACCGATTGTCCGGATGGACCCAATTTGCCCGGCGCCCATTCGATTGAGCGTTTCCTCATTGAGGAGCATCTGCATCACATTATCGAGACGCATCATAGAGAGCGCAAGGATTGCGCTGCTCAGCTCTTGAATTTTCCATTCAAGCACAAGATTCCGTTGGAGTATTGCATCGTTGAGGTTATCTTTGCCGAACTGTTTCATATGCCAACGCCACGGTATCTGGACATTTGCTATGGCTCCATACTGATCGAATTGTGTAAACTGCAGCCGGGCACATTGCCCCAGGTGCTGGCCCAGGCCACCGAGATCCTGTTCATGCGCATCGATTCGATGAACACATCGTGCTTTGATCGATTCGTCAACTGGTTCAGCTATCATTTGAGCAACTTTAAGTTCACCTGGTCATGGGATGAATGGGACAGCTGCCTGCTGCTCGATGCCGAGCATCCACGTCCCAAATTCATACAGGAAGTCCTACTCAAGTGCCTACGGTATGCAGCGTGTCTCCTTTTCTAAATTATCCTCAGATCATCTCAAGTTTAAATTCATTAAATTTACCTTTCTATCTATCTCTCAAACACAGATTGTCGTATCATCAGCGAATCACCGAAATGATGCCAACAACGTATGCGAAACTGATCCCAGTCACCCCTGTGCCTAACTACAAGTACACCAGCGAGGAGGCAGGTGGGTCTAAAACCATTTCCATATCTTTCACGAACTCAACTCGCTCAAACTTTGCTAAAATGTTGAGAATGTTGCTCTAGAGAACCAACCAAATTCAGAGGGAACGGTAGACACCCAATAATAGCAACCACACTCTTTGGCTTATCACTTATCTTATCTCTATTTGTGCAAATGTATGTAACAGGGAGAAGGAAACATCTCCGACCCCAAAAACTATATATATTCTTGATCAGGGTCAATAGCCGTGTCCGTCTGTCTTTATGAATCTCTGCAGATAAGAGCTAGCGACTTCAAATTTGGAATATAGGTTGTTGTATATCCGGCGCATATCAAGTTTGCTTAATTTCATCGATAACTGTCTCCGCTTATCGAATATCGATACGTTTAAATTTCCGATAGCAATAAATGCTACAATTTTAAAGGCAGAATCTTCTAATTAATACATAATATGCATTTGCATCTTATTGATCAACTACCCAAATTTCATCAAGTTTGGATAAGAAACATATTCTCATATTGATCTCATTCCCATCAGCAGCCGCAACCATTTTCTGTATATGCAAGCACATGTGTAAGAAAGAGATGGCATGCTGCAGAGCCCCATTAACCCGTTACGATTGCGTGCAGACCTGTTCACATTTTGGTGCAAAACTTTCAAAAGGAAATTTTCCAATCAAACTGGAAAAGATTTAACAACTGGGTTCAGGGTATATCGAAGTCGAGCAGCACTCTTAGTTTTTAATTAGTTTGAAACGCCAATTTATGTGTAAAATTATATTATTGTTTATTTTATTGAAAATTTGTATTTGCTTTGTTGGAAAAGTTGTCCCTTTTTTTGTTGTTATGTACATAATACCCTTTAATGTTGATGCGCTTAATATTTAGTCAATGGATTTGTGCTTAACTGTGCTTAACTTCGTTCTTATGATGATTATCGTTTTCGTTATCGTCATCGTCATCGATAATGATGGGTATCTCCTCGCCATTGGGGCCCACCTTAATGCTAACAGATTTGCTTACCGATTTCTGGGTGAGCACTTCTATAATTTCACCCAAGGGCAGCAAAGCAGCTGAGTTTGTTGTTGTTGCTGCTGCTGCTGCTGTTGTTGTTGTTGTTGTTGTTGCTGTTGTTGTTGCTGCTGGTGTTGTTGTAGTTGTTGCTGCTGCTGTTGTTGTTGTTGCTGGTGTTGTTGTTGGTATTGCTGCTGGTTTAAATGCCACCTTGGCCTCATGACGATGACTGCTTTTTGGCTTGCTATCCACATTGCTGCTGCTGCCGTTGCTGAGGCTGCTGCTGATGTTCTCCTTGCGTCGCTGCCTCCATTTGCTGATCGCTGGCAACTCTGTCGCTGTCGCTGTTGTTGTTGCTGGTGCTGTTGTTGTTGCTGGTGCTGTTGTTGTTGCTGGTGCTGTTGTTGTTGCTGGTGCTGTTGTTGTTGTTGTCGTCGTCGATTTGCGGTTCGTTGTCCGATAGCGACTCAAAGCGCGCAACGGTGGCAAATTCGTCGAGGTGGACACAAAACTGGCGCTTAAACTTGTGCTTGTTGTGGGTTCCAACGTGGAAGTGCCCACTGTAGTTGCTGCTGTTGCTGTTGCTGCTGTTGTTGTTGTTGGCGCCAATTTGTGTTGCTTTTGACTGCCAGCTGACTCCGTTTCCAAGTCGTCCTCTGGCTGCACTTTATCTATTTCATGCTCCCCAGTCAAAGTCGTTTGTTGTCGCTCATCCTCCTGCCCCTCCTCCTGCTGCTCCTCCTGCTGCTCCTCCTGATGCTGCTGCTGTTGCCTCTGATCCACCGTCTCCAGCTGCAGCACATCCAATGGATGCTGATTCACATAGAGCGGATCCGGTTCCGAATAGCGATAGATGGTCTCCTCCAGCGGTTCGCTCTGCACAAATGACTTTGGCGCATCCTGTGCCACATCCTGTGCCGAGCCGCTCGCATAGATTAGCAGCGGTGTCAGCTTGGTACTATGATACTTGGGCGACTGCTCAAATCCTGCCAAAAAAAACACAACGCTAAACTCTTGCAAAGATCGTGCAAAAACCGAAATTCAAAGTTCGAACTCACCGCTGAGCAGCGGATGCTGTTCCTCTTGCTGCTGTTGAACCTCCGCCAGTTCGCTCGTCTCCAAAGACTCCGTCGACTGCTCAGCTGGCTCGCGATTTGTGGGAAACTGCACCTCGCCATGTTGTTCCAGTTGTTGTTGCTGCTGTTGCTGTTGCTGTTGATAACGATGCTGATGCAGCTGAACTGCTGGTGATATTTCTGTGGCTGCTGGCACTGGATTGCTGCTCAGTTCGTTGGCATATGTGGAGGGACGATAGGTCAGATCTTGTGCCAGTCCAGCAGGCGACATATAGAAATGATGATGGAAATGATGCGTAACTGGACGCTGGCCAACCAGTTCACCAGCATCGCCAGTAGCAGCAGCAGCTGCAGCAACGACAGCAGCATCTTGGGTCAACGGATAAGGCTCGAGTGGATTTTGGTGGTGTTGGTTTGGTCGTGGACCAAATTTGAGCATAGCCGGATAACTGGGTCGATATGTTGTCGCCGGTATAAAATTGGGACGCAGCCCCAAATTGAATGCCAGGCCCGGCAAGTGTGAACCATCTGGCTTGGTCTGCACATACTCACCGATATTGAGATTGGGTGGTGCTTGAAAAATGCCACGCACAAATGTCGCCTGCGGCTGTCGATCCTGGCGTCGTTGTGCCCGGAACGCCTGCTCCTGCTGCTCCCTGTAGTTGGGGCTGGCAAAGCTCTGCGGATAGTCGGACTCCCGCTGGATGAAGCTCTGCGCTGGATAGCCAATGATGCTTGGCGTCACACTAAACTTCAGCTCGTAGTGGTAGCGCTGACCATAACGTGGATCGGCGACATCCACACGATGCCGTATCCGTTGCACGTGCCACAGAGCACGCAACTCAACGTTACGTGGAGTTGGCGCATTTCCCTCGACAAACCGATAGCTGCCATTGCTCATTAGCTGCTCCAGTCGTCCGCTGGCCACGTTGACAATATCCCCAAAACGACTGGAGGCGGCGGGCGTTGCTCGCTCTGCTGGCAGCTGGTATGGTGTCTGCAGAAAATCGTGATAATCGTGCAGCTGACTGCCGCAACAGCCATTAAAAATGGTCAACAACCGCTCATGGGATGTACCAGCAACTCCAGCTCCAGCTCCAACTCCAATTCAAGATTTTGTCTTACCTGAGATTGCCGGCAGCGGCGCCGAGCGCTGCATCCGTGAAGAGCGTCACATATGTTACATGCTTCAGTGTGCGCTCCCAGGGACGTGCTGTCTGCTGCTGCTCCTGCTCCTGCCCCTGACTATGCCCCTGACCATGCCCATGTGCCTGCTCCCCATAGTAGATGCGTTTGCCGCTCAGCTGCAGCGATTGCTTCGGGGTCAGCACCAAATCCCGTCCAGCGCCCACAATCGCTGTGCCCTGCTGCAGCTAGCCAACAAAAGCGAGACAAACAATTAAGGTTGCTGTAGTCGAGTGAGCTCAACTACGATATACCCTGTACCCAGTGGTTAAATATATTCTAATTGTATTGCAAAATGTGCCTTTGAATGTTTTACACCAAAATGTGAGCAGGTTTGCAAGCGAGCTCTGCAGAATACAAACAACAAATTCCAGTTTAAATCTTACTTTATTTATTACAACTTTATTATAATAGAAAAATCATATTTTATTTGATGGATAACTGCTACCGGTTCGCTAATATTTAAAAATATTAAAAATATATCAAAATATTCTTAAATATTACTAAAAAGAAGAAATGCAAACCCTTTTTTTCTGAACATTGCACTGATTAAGGGGAAATAAAAGCTAAGACTTTGATGAATTAATATTTATTTAACAACTGGGTTCAGGGTATATCCCCGTCGAGCTCTCTCCCTTCTCTCTCTTTATATATATACATATATATATATATATATTTATTTTTTTTTATTCGATAACAATGATTAGGAATTAAAAAAAAAACCCCCAACAAAAATAAGTTGCAAAAATATGATTTATTATTTTTTTTATTAGCTTGGGCGCACTTACTATTGCCATGAGTATGCTCAATAGGCAACGATATTTCCTCATTTTCACATTCAAAAAACCAAAAAGAAACAAAAAAAAATAAAAACAAAAACAAAAATAAAAACAAAAAAAAGATACGAAAACAGTAGAATTTTAAAAGCGAATCTGTTGAAAAGCGAAAACTTTGCGGCACGCGCGCGAAAACTTGACTGAAACTAATAATGAAATCGTCAAACAGACGAAGCCCCAGCAACCGTTAGACTCTGCTGCTGCTGCTGCTGCTACTGCTGCTGCTGCTACTGTTGCTGCTGCTACTGTTGCTGCCTCTTCTTCTTGTTGTGTCTGCTGCTGACTGCTGATTGCTGCTTTCATTGGGGCAGCCAAGCGACGCATCGCCAGCGGCGGCAGTTTCGCAATCTTGCTCGTTTCTAGCTGCCACAGGTATAGCTGCTGGTTGGGGTGCAGCAGGGCGTTCGGCTTGGAGACGCGGCTTGGCAACGCGCATTTATGCAACACTTGCGGATGTCTAGAGACGCCTCAAGCCCAACTCAACCCCCCGAAAAAAAAACCCCACCAAACAAAGCCCAAACCCAAAAATCTAGACGACCCCGCCTAACCAATGCTGAGCCAGTGAAACGCTTTTTTGGTCAACGTATAAAAACCGAAAAAGTTTGTGCGACTAACAAATACCCTGCAAATATTCATGGCAAACATTCAAAGATTGCAAGTTGATTGTCTACTTCAACTTCCCCCATTCAATCTTTGCACATACTCGACTTGAGTTTTTATTTATTTGCTTTTTAAGGCGCATACAAAACTTGAGTTAAGCCCCGACTTGATCTGATCTCGAGCTGAGCTTAGCTTGGAGCTTAGCTGCACTCTATTTGAGATTCCCGGACGAGATAGGCGCTGTTCGCTTCGCTGAAGTTCAATAGTGGAACCATTCCATCCGATTGTCGTTCTCATTCGCTTCTCATTCATACAGATTCGTTCACCTTGCTCAGATTCTGTTTGCTTGGAGATCGGATTGATAGACGCCAGAGATGAGTGAGTCTTAAGATGAGGCATGTACGGTATATGGGGCATATGGTGTGTGGCAGAGAGATGCGTTGAAAGTTGAAAGGTGACTTGAGACGAAAATCAAGATGAAACTTCAAAGAAAGCATGATTTACAAATTGGAATAGAGGAATAGAAATAGGCAAGATTTGGAACAGAAACACGTCTTAAGGAAATTACATAAAATCAATCTTCGAATTGGAATTCAAACTGCAAGACTTGAAAAAAGACTATATCTAAGACTATAAAATATCTGACTTGTCAAAAACAAAATAAATAAAATCAAATAGGCAAAAACAAATGCAAATCTTTTCCTTTTTTAAGCATAATTTTTCACAAATCAAATTTAAATATTTCAAAATATTTATTGAAAATGTAAATTAACAAATAAATCTGAATACATTAAAGAAAACTTTTCAAATAATTGCAAAATTATGAAAATTGCAATTTACTTTTGTTGTCTGTCAGACAGACAACCTTTAAAATTCTTAAATGTTCCAACTAAAAGTTGCTAATCATTAAGAAAAGAAGAGCAGCAAGCAAAAGAAGCGAAGAGAAGAGAAGAGAAGGGAAGAGATGAAGTAGCTGTTAGCTGAGATCTGGACGCGTTCCGCTTGGTGGAATGGACCCCTGAACCATAGATCTTTGAGCCGATCGACCTGCCGCCTTGGGGACATGCTCAATTTGAGCTGAGAATCAAAGATCCATGAAAATACAACAAGCCACTAGTCAAAGTGAATGCCAATCAGTCTAATAGTCTGAGACGAATACCCAGTAAAATTCGAACTTTGCTTGACAACTGTTGATAATGTTATTATATCTAAGTACAGCAAATCGTTTTTTTTTTTTAAAGAGTTTTTCAGTAAAATATGAAACATTTTCCACAATTGACTTTTATTTGTTTTTTGGTTTTTGGAATGTTAATTTTTGCTCTTAACTTGGCATCTTTTGAGTCTTGTGGCTTGGCATACTTATTTTTTTCAATTGGCTTTCGGCACGCGTCATTCAGCAGAGCTAATGAGCAATCATGTTGCAGTTGCAGTTGCAATTGAAGTTGAAGTTGAAGCTGCAGTTGTGGTTCCCAGCGCTGTGAACTTTGCACACTTTGATCTTGACACGCTCCACTTGTGTCCCACAATGCTGACTCTTTAGCAATGTTTTTCTCATCAACTTCTCACTCTTCTCTCTTCTGTTTTTTGTGTGTGCGTTTTTTTTTTTTTTTTTTTTGGTTCTCGCTCTGTTCTCTCTTTTTGGCCTTACTTTGGCCGAGGTTGGCGGCTTAGTCACAGCTAACTGGGTCGACTTTTGGCTGTTTCCGCATTCCGCATTAATTTGCTTAACTTATCTTGCTTCTTTCGCTTTTGCTGTGGCTTAACACGCATTTCATTGACATAATCAACTCAAGTGCCAATAAATTGCATGTAATAGCTTTTGTCAGCTAGTCTGTCTGTCGAAAGGTACTCGACCAGGCGGATGAGGGGAATGGGCGTATGGGCGGGGAAGGGATGTGTGTGTGTGTGGAAGAGGGCCCGTGGAATTTGAACATCAACATCATCATTAGTAACGCAGCAGGCAGTAACGCTTGGTTCCACGCGGCAGCGCAACTGGTTGCAACTGCCGCAAGCGAAAGTGTCAAATAATAATCAGTCACAATTGCCCCTTATCCTACTACAATCCCACCTCATCCTCCACACATTCACTGCCACTACAAACTGTCACTCCTAATAACCATTTAATGCACATATGTAGATATATATTTTGATATATACATATGTACTTAGTTGCATCTTTCATTTGTGGCATTAATTGTGTTTAAAAGAGGGTGTCAAAAAGAAGGAAGCATTTCGTATAAGTATATATTAATTCCTGATCGACAACAACAGATCACAAAAGCTACACACTTCAAATTTGGAATATATGTTCAAGTTTATCATTTTGAATACTGGCCGATAATGGCAATGAAAGACACACTTGTAAAGATATCGACTATTATTATACTCAACTCCAAAAGACTATTTTTATCAACACCTAATTGGTTTTATTGAAAATACTACAATCAGCAGCTGGCTTCGGTCGAGCTCTCTCGACTGGAGCATTTTAACTTGCCAATCTTGTTGTTTAAAATACATTTGGATTCGTGTAACCAAAAGATACTGCTCCATTTAGCCTGGGTTCGATTGAGTTAGCTTCGACGGTTGTTTGCCAATAATTTCCCAAGTGGATTATAATATAAATATTTAGTATTTATAACAATAATCTTTCATTTAATTTTTTAAATGAATATATTTATAAACATCGAACTATTTACAAAGGCATTCCCCATTTCAAGCCCAACTGTGTCATAAAATACAAAGATTTAGTAATTATAAAAATCGAATTAATTGATTAGACATTCATAGCTTTGGTATATATATTCAACTAAATAATAATATAAATGTTTGGCATCGAAATATTTGAAGAGACATATCACCATTCAAGTTCAATGGATTATTTTGTATTTATAAATTGCAACTTTATTGATTTTTTTAGCCAATTTGCCGGGGACAACTGTGGCGCTGCAGCTGGTGGGCGCCATTAGACAGAAGTGCACGCCGGAGGAGGTGGTCAACATATTGAAGGAGATACCAAGCAGTGGCTACAGCGGCGAGGAGATGTCCGATGGCAGTTTCAATGCGCTCAAGATCGATGTGTTCGTCCAGACGTTGCTCAATTTGGGCTCAAAATCGTTTTCGCATAGCTTTGCGGCCATCTCGAAATTCCATGTGGTCTTCCGTGCACTGGCCGAAACGGAGGAGGCCCAAATCTGCATATTGCATAACATCTTTGAGCTGTGGTCCTCGCACCAACAGATGATGGTCGTTCTCATCGATAAGCTGCTCAAGCTGCAGATTGTCGACTGTTCGGCGGTCGCCACATGGATATTCTCCAAGGAGATGACCGGTGAATTCACCAAAATGTATCTCTGGGAGATCCTACACTTGACCATCAAGAAGATGAACAAACATGTCATCAAATTGAGTGAGTTAAATCAACCAAAACCAGCAAGAAAAGTAATCCATATTAAAACCGCTAATCCTTCAATTTGTCTGATGGCAGATGTGGAGCTGAGCGATGCCAAGGAGAAGCTGTCCAAGGCGGATTCCTCATCCAGCGACACAGACGAGGATACGCCGCACAAGCGAAAGAAGCCCATCACTCATGCCGACAAACCCTCCGAAGAGGTCAGTTCCCAAAACAAATTCTCAAATTTCTCTTTTTCTCACTAAACAAAATTCGGAACTTCCCACAGGTGGTTGAGCGCATGGAGGAGAAACTGGAGGCAGCGAATGTGAATCAGAAGCGACTCTTTCTCATCGTCTTCCAGCGTTTCATAATGATACTATCGGAGCATCTCTTGCGTTCCGATACAGATGGACGCGATCCGGATACGGACTGGTATCGCTGGACAATTGGCCGTCTCCAGCAGGTGTTCCTCATGGTGAGTTAGCCAACATTAAGATTGAGATTGAGATTATCATTGTTTCACTTGAAAGCAAACTAAATTTGTTGTATTTGTTTTTTTCTCGAGTTAAATTCCTTGATTCAAATGAAATGTTCTCCTGACGAGGCACAGAAAAAGACGGTTTCAAAATACTTGTGAAAAGCACAGAGGATTTAGAATGGCGGCAACAATATGTTCTCGTGATTTGCATATATTTTTGCTCAGTTATAATACATATAATGAATTATTTGAATCATGTTTTAATTATTTATTTATTTTTGGAAATCCTGCTTGAATTTCTGGATTATTCATTGTTTAGCGAGCGTTAGCCCAATGATATTTGATAGGATTTTTCTTGCTGGTTTAATAAATAAACAAAAACAATCCAAATGCGTAAAAATGTGTAGTAGATATATTCAAAATGTAGTTAAATATTAACAAATTTAGAAAGTGTACAATTTCTTGGAATTAGAACACTTTTAAATATATAATCAATTAAAATAAAGTAAGAAAGCAATACATATATGAAATATAGAAGACTCTGCATTACTTGGTAATTAATTAGATTAGCTTTGACTAATTTGTGTAATTTGTTGACTTTATTTGTTCTTTTTATTATTTGGAATACAGCATCACGAACAGGTGCAGAAATATAGCAGCACTTTGGAGACGCTGCTCTTCACTTCGGATCTGGATACGCATATTTTGGAGGTCTTTCAGCAGTTTGTCGCACTGCGCGCCTAACGAACACTATTAACAACAGCAGCAACAATCACAACAACAACAACAAAAACAACAATATCATTAACAAGAACAATAAAAACAGCTACAACAACAACAACAACATCTTCTGAAGCCTGTTTAGATGGTTTTAGGAGCTGTTTGTTCAATTTTAGAATTTAAGTTTTTTTTTTATTAATTGCAATTGTAAATTTTAATTTAAAAATCAATTAGCGATTTAACAAAAAAAAATTTGGCACACACACTAATAACAACATCCCCCCCCCCCCCCCCCACACACACACACACACATACACACACACACATCAAATGACAAAAACCGTGTAACTTGTAAATAAATATAAGAATTTCAAAAATGCAAAAATTACAACAACAAAATGCAATCGATATTGTAAATTTTCTTTTTGTTTTTGGGTTTGTTTGAAGTAATTTAAACATTTAAATTTAAAACAAATAAAAACGGCTCTTAAAATGGTTTAATGACAGCTGTGCACAGTTGGGCAAGTATTGTGCACAAAACGCGATTATCGTACAGTTTTGATGCGTACTGTGTACGATTCTATTATGCAGTTTAGCAGCCACTGTGCAAATGATGCCGCCTGAAAAACGTTATGTTTGAAAACACGGCCTTGATTGTTTCTATCGCAACTCTGTACTTATCGATTAGCCATAAGCTTTATCAATTTAAAAAGTAACGGCTTATAGATATGTATAACTTATGTTAACCAACTGTTAATAACAACGATTGTTATGCGCGATGCTTATAGAATGTTGTATGCAAATTTATATTATATACACACCATAAAATCGAAATAAATGAAATTAGTAAGTTAACAAGTTGTATGAAATGTAAGCAGACGCGCAAGTTTCACTTCAGCAAAAAGACACCTGTTATGCCTCTGTAAACACATAACAGCGTCGTTAAATAACACTCACTCACTGATGAGCATAACAGCAGCAAAATAGAGCATTTTGCGTTATTCCATGCTGAATTTGAATTTTTCTTTGTCTTGTGTTAAAATCAGAATTAAAACTTATGCGGTTTCAACCAAAATCTTTGCAACAGTTAACGTGAGAGAGAGAGAGAGAAGGGTAGAGAAAGAGAGACAGAGGGCAAAGAGAGCGAGAGAGAGAGAGAGAGAGAGCGCGCGTGTATGTGTGTGTGTTGATCGTGAAATGCAATTGGGAATTGATGCCCAAATGCGTGGAGGAGCATTTCGTAAATAATAAAGTGTCGCTACTCTCTTTTAAATATCATTTTCAGTGCGTTTTTGCATTTCGTGCGTGTCAGATCGTGGGTCCGTTCATCGTTCGTCGCTCGTCGTCGGTCGTTGTGCACTTCGTGCGTTTCTCAGCAGCGATCGTTGTCGACGCTGCTAACAAGCAACAACAACAATAACAGCAACAGCAACAATAACAGTCGCAACAAGTATAACAATATTAATAATAATAATAATAATAACAGCAACGCTACAAGCAGAAGAGACAAATATATTTATAAATATATGTATATACATATATAGATAGATTTATATCTATCTATAAATGTTCATGTGTATTACTTAATTTAAATTCGTGGCTCATACATATATAAACATATGTGTTTATTTACTATTATCTCTTTATTTGTTTAATTCAGTATTTGCTGCTGCTGCGCCGCGTTTATTTCTTTTATTTACTGTTGTTGTTATTTTTTTGCCGTTAAAAAGCGCGCGCTCATTTGTGAAAATAATATTCATTATTATGATAATTAATTGTTAATTTTTGGTGCAATTTTTTTTTAAGTGTTTTTCTTTTTTTTTATTTTATTTTTCTTTTGTGGTGCTTGACAAAAAAAGTGACTAAAACAACGCCAAAAATTGTCACATGTAAAAAAGAGTAAAAAAAAGTGTGTGTGCTTGTGTATATATGTGTGTGTGTGAGTGTGTGTGTGTGTGTGAGGAAGTTACAGTTTAATGTTGGTTAGTCTCAATTGTCGACGATTGATGCGCAGCTTTGCCAGCTTGTTGTTGTTGTTGGACATATTTATGCACGTAAGTATGCAAGTGTCTGTATCTGTGTGAGTGTGTGTGTGAGAGAGAGAGTGAGTGAGTGAGAGTGAGAGCGGAAGACAAAAGCCGCAAGACAAAGTGCAATGACAACAACAACAACAACTAAGCAGCAAAGAGCAGCCGTTGATCTTTTTAAGCTGCTGCTGCTGCTGTTTATCAATGAAAGTGTTTTTCGCTTTGTTGTTGTTGTTGTAGTCGTGGCTTAGTTGCTACTTGTCTCATTCTTTTGCTAGTCTTTCGCATATGCAACTGTGCTAACACACACACACACAACACACAACACACAACACACAATAGAAGCATACATATGAATCATGCACTTAGGTTAATTTTTTTTTTTCATATTTACTTTTAACCTGTACTCTGCACTTCCAAAAAGCTGACAGAGTATATGCAAAATATGCAATTCAAAGTAGCTGAATTCAATTGCTTTGTTTCTGGCAGTTATTTCAAGAATTAAGCAAAAAATAATATATAAAATATATATATATTTATTTTTATTTATGCTTAATTCTTGATTTAACTGAATATGTATATTTACACACAAACACATGGTTGTGTAAAATTCACCAATTCACGAGGACAATTGCCAGTTGGAGAGATAGAGTATTCCGCAGTCGTTTCGATTTCGAGTGCAACTTTTTCTAAAGCTTGTTGCTATTTGCTCTTTTTTTTTGAATTAGTTGTTTTTTTTTGGTTTGTTTGTTTCGCCTAAAATTTAACGCCACAAAACGTGACATTTTCTTAGCGGTAATTTATTTAGTGTATACCCATTAAAAAAATTCGCCCTAATGGGTATGTTGTAGTTGTGCATTGTTATGCAATAGGCAGAAGAAAACATGATCGGCTTATTAAATGGAATATATACATACTAAATACAATATATAAATACATACCACAAACTGCAGTTTGTTTACGGGGTATCTGCTAGTCGAGCACAGCCGATCCGCTTAGGTTTTTGCACTTGGATTTAATATTCGCTTGTTAAGGTTGCTTGTCGAACAAATGTCTGTATTATAGAGTAGACCATTCTCAATTTGCTGCTTTACATACCTATATATAAGTACAGTCTGTGTGTGCATGTGTGTATGAGAAATGCCGTTGCCAACAGCAACAAGAACAACAACAACAACAACAACCACAACAGCAATGAGAAGAAGCCTTTTGATAGTCATATCACGCAGTTCCACTGATAATTCCAATTGTATTCTTCTACTCTTGCTGTTCTTATTGTTGTTGGCGCCGTATTATCAGCTGTATTTTTTTTCTTTTTCACTCCCTCTCTCTCTCGCTCTCCGTCGTTCTCTCTCGCTCTGCAATCGCCCCCTCCCCCCATTTTTATTCGAGTCTGTTAAAAAGAGCAAGCAATAAACATAGTCCACTCATTTTTTTTATTTATTTATTTTTTTTTTTTTTTGAATTTTGTTGCGTACAAGCAACATTCTTGTGGATTTTGTTTTTAGATTTTGATTGCTATTATTAAATTTAGAATTCACTGAAAACTCGCTCAGTTCGATTGAACCCATCGAATATATCATATATATAAATATGTAATACTTTTTTCTGCATAGAAAACGTATCTTTGAATTGTTCAATAAGTCAGCCGATAACATTTGTAGCTCAGATTTTGTATGCTTATCTGAGTCTTCTGGTGTCTCGTTTAATAATAATAATAATATTTAAACATTTGCTTATGACTCTTTACTATTGTATATAGTTATTGGATACTTCAGATTCTAATATCAAGCCATCGCAATTTAAGTTTCTACGGTTCTCTTTGTGAAATTTAAGTGTAGCCAATGAGTTCTTGAAAAATAATCTGAATTATTGTTTATTTGCTTCCAATTCAAGCACACTATTGTTTACGGTAAGAGTATCACCCTACGCTACGGAAGTTTATGTTGTCATAAAGAATTGGAATATTTCGTAAAATAATCTATAAAATATCAAGTTTTTATTAATGCATCCGAAATACGTTGAATAAATCAGGGTGTCGAACGGAAATCGTATTTTTTTTTTTAAGGTTTCAAGAATTGATATTATATCCATAAATTCATATATTTGACAACTCAGAAAATGTCGCATCTTAAAAATAATCAATATAACATCCATCATTCTCACATTGTTGCATCTTCAATTTATTTTAGCTAGTATCTCGCATCTAAAAAACCTAACAATATATGTATATACGGGTATGTAATGGGATTGGAACAAAAACTGTAACGATGAATGATCAAATTAAACGTAGCCAAAAGACGAAGATGATTTCGCTCTGTTATATTGTGTAATTTACATTAACGAGCGGATGTCGTTGGTTTCTACAATATAATGAACCAATTACCCAGTTTGTCTCTTGATTCGATTGCTTGCACACAGCAGCAGATACACAGATACAGATATACAGATACACAGATGCAGATACAAATATAGTGGCTACTTTGTCAGAGATTTTTATCCGCCTTTTGTATATATATCTTCATTCATGTTGGACACGATGACAACCACTTGATTATGATCAGCAAATAAATATTCATACTCCAACGCACACAAGATTTTGATAAGATGCAAATGGTGGTGTTCAACGAAAAACAGTCATAAAATAGCAAATTATGATATTTGGGCATCAATGTGAATTCAATCCCAATATAATTTAGGTATATATTATATATACATTTAAAAATTGATCTTAGCGACCAGTGAAAACGTTCCAAAACTTCTCGAAAATCAAAGCTTTTTAATTGTGCTTTTACCTCTAGATAAATACTATAGTGTAAGATGAAAATGCGGATTAAGACAACAGTAGACAACATATATCTTATAAATTGTATAATATTGATCATCTGTAAAAATTTCATTTTCGTGTTCTGGCTTGGTTTCAAGCTCGACGAGAGGCATTCTTACATATTTATTTTTTATTTCTTGGAATGCTAAGTGTTATTTCCGCATTGGCATTTGCCGGCCACTCGCATGCTCCAAATTTGCCAAATAGTATTCATAAGTACCTTTGAGCATGAAACGAATATCAAAGTAGTTGTACTCGTTTCCATCAGCGCCCCCAAGCATTCCCAAAAATGCCATTTGAAATGATCTCAGATAAACTCATTTCATCTCATTTCTTTGAATGGAACTCAGCTCAAATCAAGTCAAATTCAGTAGCTGTCATTCGGCAAATATGACGTTAAGTTCTTCAATTACGAATAAGTAGCCCAACTAAAGTGCCCACATTCATTGAACAGGATTATTTACCTTTAGCTGAATAAAAAAATATTACATCTGATTAAACGTTTATTTATTTAAATGAAGCAGAATTTATTTCGCACTACTTGATATAAGAAGTTTATATTTACTTAAAACAAAATGTCTTTTAGGCAGTAATATTCTTAAATGAGATCAGCAAACAATATTCATGGGAAGAATAGAATTGGGAAACTCACTAATCTTATGATAGAACACTTAGCTAAACTAGATATAGTTTTTAGTGGACTCTGACTGAATTTGGTGAAGTTACTTTTTACAAATAATCAATAATATATCTAGGTATTCAAATACCAAATTCCAAAGATATAACTTAAAAATTGTTCTATTTGTGACAACTCTCTCTCCCTCTCTCTCTCTCTCTCTCTCTCTTTCTGTCTCTGGCTCTTCTCTTTCTATGTGACACTCAATAATGTTTATCTTAATGACAATCGTTGTTGTTGCTGCCGTTGTCGTTGACTGATACTTATTGTTATTATTATTACATACTTACATTCAATATTAATATTATCGTCATATTGTTTTCTTGTGTGTGTGTGAGTGTGTGTGTGTGTGTGTGTGTGTGTGTGTGAGTATGTGATTCTGTCTGTAGTTGGTTGCGCTTTTTTTTGTTGTTGTTGACATTTCTAAGACGTATTGTGTGATTGACACGTTTACTTGATTTAAACACACACATACACACACTAAATACTTACTGCATCATAGTATGCACACTGATGGCCATAAAACTGGTAACACTAATTTCTCATTAAGTCTAAACGTATATCGCGTTTTTTTCTTAGTTAAATGAAAAAGCCGATCATATTTATTAAACTAAAAGTCATTTATTGTTCATATTATTATTTTATAAGCTGATGGAACTAATTGTATGGGCAGCACTGTATTTGTATATGAGCTTATGCATGATACTCGCGATAAAGTGACGACAGCCAGTTTTGTAGAGTTATTGGCATCCGATGGGGATGGGTTGGATGGGTGGTAGAGGTGAGGCAGGGAATAGGGGATGCAAGGCCTTCGTCTATAGTTTGTAGTTTATAGTTTGTGGTTTGTAGAACTGTTCAACAGTTGTTTTGAATACGTTGAATGCTTTAGTATTCGATAATATATATGTAGCAAGTATTTGAAGTATGTGTAGCGTCGTTTTATTAAATTTATTTATTTATTTTTTGTTTGTTTATGCCAATTTTTTTTTGTGTATTTTTTGTTTCAACAAACCTTTGTATATATTTATTTATATTTGCTTACTCTACCAGACCCAAATATCGTATTTTATTTATTTTACACGTTTTCTTCCTAGCGCAACAAAATATACAATTATATTTATATTCGGTTAAATATTCTCAATAATTAATTTTACAAAGTTTTCTAATACATATCTTATTACCAATTTAATTAGTTTAATTTTAATTATATTGTTGCGTATTAATTGCAAGATAAATTTAATATTTAATAGTTTTGTCTAAAAACTCATATCTTAATCATCTCAAGGTACTTTTACTACAGTTTATTTTGTAAAAGCCAATCATTCGTACAGTTTCTGGTTATATATTCTATGACACAAATAAACAAATGCTGACCATTTTTGAATATAAGATCTCATATACCAAACACAGATCAAGTTTCATGATATTCGATACAAATCGATTTCCGATAGCAATAAAAGACACAATTGTAATGCTATAGTATAACAATTGATATATAGTATACCCAGACATATTAAGGAACGT